GAATCAATAGGCGTCATTTGGCTATTGCAAGGCGAGTTTATATGAAACTCTCGGAGACTCGGTACAGAGCACAAAAAATGAAAGAAAAAAGACATTTTTTCTCAATTCTCGAACACCACTAAATGGTCAACTAGAAAAATCACTAATCAATCAAGAAAAAGGTGAAAAAAAATCTCAATCATAAATTGAGTTATAATAATACTCAATCAAGAAAAAAAGTGAAAATAAAAATCGATCATAAATTGTGTTTGACTTTTATTTTCAATTTTTTTCTTGATCGACTTTTATTTTCACTTTTTTTCTTGATTGAGTATTATTTTCATAACACTTTATGATTGAGATTTTTTTTAACTTTCTACCATTATCTACTTTTATTCTAAGCGGTTCAAATGAAACAAAACAAAAATATTTTCAGAGAATTTCCGGATGTTGCGTCTCGTGGTTTCCTGCATTGTGATTTCATTGGTCAGAAGTTCATATGTTATTTGCTAAAGAAGACTGGCATACTGATGATGTATCGATTGGAAAAATCAAATTCACCAGATATCCCAACCATGGGAAAATCATCGTCAATACCGGCAAAGGATGCAGTTTGTATAAGTGTACGTTTGTATATAATTCGATAATTTTTTTTTTAACTTGAAATGTATGTTTCCCATTTTCACGTTTGCAGGCATTAAAAGTAGTAGCTGTTTTGGCACATTGTGGATCATTGATTTTGTATAGTGGTTCAGTATTAATTGGAAAAGTGGATATTAGTGGTATAACGCTTACGCGTCAACCTCAAGTGACACCGTCTATTCAGTCATCATTTCCACGCCGAAGTAGCCTTTTGCCAACCGTCTCGAACGAATCAAGTTTCGATGATGAAGTACATCTGTTATCGCCAGTATATCCGTTACAATCGCAATACAATTTACGATCTGGCAGCGGTATCAATACATGTTCAAGTTTGCGAGATGTATGTGGTAGTCGAGTCACTTTGCAGTTCACAAACGATACGATGTATCGTATCACATTGCCGCCGTTGAGTGAATGTCCGCTGGTGACCAAGTGTTTGGTGGTTTTGCGTACAGTTTTAAAACGTGATATGGCCATTGCAATCATTTCCAAATGGTACAGCATTCGAAATACCCGAGGTTCACAAGACATTAGTTTTGAAAGTGAATGGACAACATTTCATAATTATTTATTGAATGCAATGGGCCGAACATTCATTTCGACGAGAACATTTTCATCAGCACAGGATGGTGGTGGTGGTGGCTCATCGCGCACATCCACCGGAGATAATAAAAAACGTCGTAAAACCGATGACCCGATCGGTTCGGACACTGATTTTCAGTATTTAATGGCCGTTTTGAATAAAACAAACAACGAGAAAAAATCATCATCAAAAGAAACGAAATCAAAACGTCGCATCGATATGAATTCAACGCTAGCACCTTATATTCCGATTATCTTTTTCAGCTTCCATTTGCTGTACGAAGAGTTAAAATTCGATGAAACATTAAAAACGCAACGAACAATGCTGTCAGAATTTCTGAATCAACTTGCTCTTGATTTGCAATTGCATTCATATTGTTTGCATTATTTTCTGGACTGTCCCGATCTGGTGTTGATGTATAATAATGGTTCGATTGCTGAACTCGATCGAAATGCTCTGTATGATCAACAGTGTTTAAGTGTAAAAATTCCAAGTGTGTATGGCGTAATTAACGATTTATTCAACAATGGTGAAAATGAATTCACCCCGTATCCATACATTCCGAGCGTGAATCCAATCAGCAAACAAATAGTCGATTTGATTTCGATGGTAACCAGCGAAGGACTCGTCGATGGTACGTATCATTTTAATGCAATCAAATCAAAAGATCAACCAATGGATATAAATCGATCAAAATTGAGCGATTATGAAATTCGGCAAAAAGCCTTAGAACAATTGCTTGCAATAAACTTATCGCGAAAAGAGATGTCACGCTTTCCACCGGCCATCCAATTTTTAATCGCCGAAATTCTCGAAAGTTGTCGCCTCGATATGCCAAATATAAATGATGCCAGAGCATTTGGTTTACTCTATCGCCCTGAATTATACAGTAATACAATAACCGATCCACTGATCAGAGAAATTGCGTCAAAAAAACATAGCAGCTTCAAAACGGAAAACTCATTAACACTGCGCGGACAGTCGGCATCAGAAAGTGCGGCCAATGCAAGTGCCAGTTGTGATGGAATGGCACACATTTATACAAAATTGATTCGATTGCGATGGCCCAAGGATTTGCGTATAGAAGATGTCCGACAGATGTTGGCCAGTGCAAGCCCGGTTATTGTGGATATTGTACAAAAAATCGGTGTCTCCGATCATGACTTCATTGAAGAGCGTGAACGGCAATTGTTAGCAATTTGTACAAGAACAATGTCACTGCCGATTGGACGGGGTATGTTGACATTACAAACATTTTCACCGGCCTCCACCGAGTCGTTTGACGTTCCGAAGTTGTGTTTGACCGGAAAGGAAAAGGAAAAAGGCGCCATTATTGAAATGTCAACAATCGAAGTACCCCAAAATATGAATATGTGGCCATTATTTCATAATGGAGTAGCAGCTGGGTTGCAATTGTCATCCGATAGTAAAAACATTGATTCAGCATGGATTGTTTATAATAAACCGAAATCATCGAATGACAGTACAACCGAACATGCTGGATTTTTAATGGCACTCGGTTTAACCGGCCATTTAAAAATATTGTCGGCGATGAGCTTGTATGATTACCTCGTGAAATGCGATGAAATGACCAATTTGGGCATTTTAATTGGAATTTCAGCCGCACATCGTGGCACTATGGATACCTCCGCAACGAAATTACTATCCATTCACATTGAAGCACTATTGCCGCCAACCGCCTTGGAATTGGACATCTCACAAAATGTTCAAATCGCCGCTATTATGGGCATTGGAATGTTGTATCAAGGTTCGGCGAAACGGCATATTGCAGAGGTTTTGGTTCAAGAAATCGGTGAGTTTGTCTTAAAGATTTAATGTGTCACTTTTTGACGGAATTTTTCATTGATAAAAAATCTGAATCTATTGCATGTAAAGGTCGTCCACCCGGACCCGAAATGGAAAACTGTGTCGAAAGAGAATCGTATGCGTTAACAGCTGGACTGGCATTGGGTTTGGTGACACTTGGAAGGGGTGAGACTGCACCGGGCTTAGCCGATCTCAGATTACCAGACATTTTGCATCGTTATATGATTGGTGGCAGAAGAGACACATTAAGCGGTAATGAAATGTGCATTCAATAAATGTCGTCCACTAATATATTAATAATACATTGATACAGGCTCACAAAAGGAAAAATACAAGTTTCAATCGTTTCAAGTGCGTGAAGGAGACACAATTAATGTTGATGTTACAGCACCGGGCGCAACATTGGCATTAGGTTTGATGTTCATTCGAACTGGAAATAAATCAGTGGCCAGTTGGATGAATCCGCCAGACACTCATGCTGTTCTTGATGATGTACGACCCGATTTACTTTTGATACGGGTCATTGCACGCGGTTTAATCCTCTGGAATGACATACAACCGACCAAAGAATGGCTCAGAACCAATTTTCCAACATGGCTACAAATTGATCTATTGCAATCGCCAATGAGAAACAGCGAATCTCTTGCCGATCGTGAATCATTTGCGTGAGTTGAATTTAAAATTTGAAACTTATTTCGATCGATCGTAATCGATAATTTTTAATTTTAGCCAAGCATACTGTAATATTACTGCGGGTGCTGCATTTTGCTTAGGATTACGTTATGCGGGCACCCAAAATGAAGAAGCAAATTCGATTTTGGATCAAATTTTCAAACTTTTCTTGAACTCAAATTCGGTGTATCTCAATGAATGTGCAGGAAAACCAACCGTTGAATCATGCTTGATGCTAGTTCTATTGGCCAGTTCATTGGTGAGCATTATTTTTTTCGAAGTTAATTTAAGTTTCTATTGAACAACCATTCAAATGACGAGTTTGGTCTTTTAATTCAATTTATTTCTCATAAATAATTTTTCAGGTGAATGCAGGCACAGGTGACTTGCGTGTGCTCAGAAGATGTCGTATGTTGAGAAATCGTCTTGGTGTTGGATATTCCCATGTCACATACGGCAGCCATATGGCTGTGCATATGGCGATTGGTTTCCAATTTTTGGGTGCAGGTCGCTACACACTGTCTCGTTCGCCAGAGGCAATTGCTGCTTTGATTTGTGCACTGTTCCCGAAATTCCCAATTCACAGCAATGATAATCGATATCATTTACAAGCGTTTCGACACTTGTACGTGTTGGCTGTTGAGCCACGAATCATCCTGCCGCGTGACATTGACACCGGTAAATTGTGCCCGTGCAACATCACATACTTGACTCTCGATGGAAAGACTGTTTCGAAAATGGCACCATGCATATTGCCCGAACTCAGCGATTTGGATGAGGTGCGGTTTGAAGACCCCAATTATTGGACTATCAAATTTAAAAAAGGTTGCAACTGGGAAGATTTCGAGTGAGTGATATTCTCGATTATAATTTATGTTTTTGGTAATTTTCAATGTCATATGATTTCTCTTCCAGACGAATCATCCAGAAATGTCATTGCATTGATATTAAACAAAAAGCCGGTTGTGTGTCTCACATCGACGATCCAACCAACTTGCGAAGCACTTTTGCCTACACACTTAGTACGGAACGTTATGTGTGTTGGCGCACTCATCCATTAAATTTGCTGGCATTCACAAATAATTCAAAAGTTCAGAATTTCATAAACAAATTTTTAACGAGCGAAGATGAGCTGAGCGAAGATTCGAAATTTTTGCAATTATTCATGCTGCAATTTTATCATTGTTTAACCAAGGACACGATGCATGCGCTGTACATTTACGTTGATCTGCTGATGTCATACTTTCGGCTAATTAACTCACCGGAAAGTTTCGACGTTTGTCAATTAAAACTAATACAAACGATTGTAAAGAATCGTCCGAGCAATATTATTTTATCGGCCGAACATTTGAATGCGTTGGTCAAGAGAGTGGAAACATTGATCGAACGAAAGATCATCGAGTACGCTGGCTATTTACAATTATTTTTACAAAAAGATGATATTAAATTCCTTTCCACCACCGAGGATAAGGAGACACTTCGAAATATCGCAGCATTGATACAGTTTCTTGATTTACCGATCAATATTATTCGTCAAATCTGTGTTAAGCCCGGCGAAAAATTTAATCCCAGCGAAATTCCACTGCAAATGGACTATTTGCGATTAATTGTGGAAATGAAGAACTTTAACATCAACACCGATATGACATTGATTATAACAAAGATTTTAAACGCCCCCGGCCTTTGAATTTCATCCTTTTAATATATTAATCTTTTCATTGTTCCATAAGCTTAATAAAATTCATTTGTTTTTTCGAAATATAATTTCAATGCAATTATTACTGTAATTTAATAACTATTATTCATGAACTTTGCATGTTTTACGGCTAGTAAAATCTGTGGCTATTTCAAAATATGCCGTTCAAATATGGCTACAACTATGGCTGGTACGTGCTGCACTTCAGGAAAATGTTACATTTCTCTTTTTATTCTTTAAGTCCTTTTTTTATCCTTGAATCTTTTCGAAAAAAAATGATCTGATTCTAGGTCTGATTTCGGTCAAGCACCACTATTGTGTGAATGACTAAAGTTGAAGTGTATTGTCAATGTCAAAAATATGATTGGTTTGATATCAATAAAAAAAAACACTCTTATCTAAACGATTAAATGATAACAGTAGCAAAATAAAAATGCGACTGTATTGATCATTAGGAATAGTTGTATACTTGGTTAATTAAATTCCTCATGACATTCAATATTTCTCATAAAAGTGCCGAATCATTCGGTCACTTCAATTGAATAAAATTACGTTTCCTATTCGGTTTGCTGAATTAACGTAACTGCGATTCAGCAGTGTTTCTGATATCAAAGCTATATATTTTTTATATCACAATACGATTCTACTAATAATTCGTACTAATACAAAAGAAATAGTCATGATTATTTCATACTTTGTTTATACACGAATTGAATTTTATTAAAATCATTGTGATGTATGTTATTATTAAATGGCATGATTGACGATTAATGGCGGTAATGATGCTTCAAAACCAATGTCAAATGAAATCTATTGCTATGAATTGTAGAAATAAATTGCATTGCTCATCAACAAACTATGCAGTTTCAGTTAAACATTTGACGAGTGATAAAGTTCTAAGCAGAAATTTGGATTTCTAGGCCTTATGATAAAAAATAATTTAAAAGAGTTCAATTAAATAAACAAGTTTGTCTCCATAAATTTGGGCACTGATGTCATCTTCTATCTTTTAGTTATTAACTAATCTATTAACTAATCTTTTAACTATAAAAAAGCAAACAGGTTTTTGAAGTATTTCAGTACAGTATTTGGTGGCACATAGAGTGAAACGTTTACAGAAAATAAAGACGGTTAATTGAATTGCTTGGAATTAACGAAAGAAATTTCTGAGGAAAAAAAATGGCTGAATCATGCTTATCTGAAATTCCCACCGATTTAGTTCGATCGGTGCTGTGTGAAACAATTGAAAAAAAGTTGAAGTCGAAAAAGTACAAGATGACAGTGAGCTCGGCATCAAAAGCTGGCGAAAGTAATTTCATTGGTATTGTATACCGTGTAACGTTCAACAAAGAGGGTGAAAACAGTTCGGAGAAATTAATTCTCAAAGTTGCGCCACAGAATGCAGCGCGTCGGGAACAATTCAATTCACATGAATTGTTTTTGCAGGAAATTCAAGCGTATAATGTGGTACGTCACATGTTGGTATTTTCTTAATCTACACTGTCAGTCATTTTAGTATGAAAACGTCAAATTCACCATGTCCATGTAATCGTCCACTATGAGTATACTAATACAATTGCAAATCTATTGTTATCGTCAAATTTGACGTTTTTATACTAAAACGACGAACAGTGTAATCGATATTTGATTAAAAAAAACATTTTACCGGCGCATACACAGATTTTGCCATTTTTCCGAAAATTCGAGCAATCAAAAGGTTTGGTAGTTGAAAAGGATGGATTCTATGAAAATCCGGCATGCTATCGAACGATCGATGAAGAACCCAGCGAATGTCTTCTGCTCGAAGACTTAAGTGTTCGAAACTTTTCCATCATTGATCGATATACGGAAGAAATTACTGCTGATCATGTGTTTCTGGTCATGAAAGCATTGGCCAAGTTACACGCAATTTCATTCGCATTAAAAGATCAACAGCCAGAAAAATTCCATGAGCTTGCTTCAAGTTTGAAAGAAATGTTTATACGGGACAATGATATATTCATACGGAAATTTTTCAACAAACAATTCCAAGGTGTGTTCCAAGTGCTGAATAAAGAAGAAGATGCCAATTTATTGGCCAAAGTGAAAAATTTATTCGAAACAAAGGATGTATTGGATGTCGCTCGTGATTGTTTGGATTTACAAGCGACCGGATCAGGCGCTGTTATATCGCATGGAGATACATGGCAAAATAATACAATGTTCAGATACGACAACAATGGAAAACCGATCGAAGTGAACCTTTTGGATTGGCAAATATGCCGCTATTCATCTCCAATCATTGACATCGTGTATTTCATGTCCTGTTGCACCACAAAAGAATTGCGCGACACACATTATGACGATTTCCTGAACGTGTATCATAGCAGCTTGTCTGCACATGTTCGACGGTATACTTATGATTCTCTAACAGTCAATTTATGTTTTTTTTTTTTCAATTCATTCATTCAATTTATTGCTAACGTAAATATTTGTACACAACATCCTTAGATTGGGTTCAAATCTTGATAAATACTTCCCTTATGCTACGATGCTAGAACATTTCCGCAAATTTGCAAAATTTGGTTTGATTTTGTCTACAGTGTTGCTGCCAATGATTACAACGGATCGTGGAAATGGCCTTGATTTAGATGAACTCGCTGAGAAGTTTAAAGACCAACCAGCAAATAATGAAGATATTGATGCATTTCAAGCATTCATATCCGAGTCTTCGCAAAATAAATTCAATAAACGTTTGCGAGACGTTGTTGTTGACATGGATCGATTGGGATACATTTAAAACAGTATTTCACTGTTGTTAATTGAAAAAAATGTGTTTTTATATGATTTTCAGCAGTCTATGTATTTCGGATGGATATCCATCCGAGATATTTTAGAATATCTGGATATTTAACGCAACTGCACAGAGCCAGAGCTGTGTGCGTCGCACATATAATCTACGGTATGTCGCTACACGTAAAATACAGACACAGTGTGACTGTGTACGTGCGGCACTTGATACACATATACATCGCGACATACCGTAGATTCTATTTGTGACGCATACAGCTCTGTCGCTGTGCAGTTGCGTTGAATATCCAGATATTCTAAAATATCTCGGATGGATATCCATCCGAAATACATAGACTGATTTTCAGAGTCATAAACTAACGATGAATTCCAGTTGATTTTTAGTTTAAAAAACATATGTTTCTGTTATACAAGTGTGTACTATATTTATATCATTGTTCTACCATTGTTAATAAAATGAACAATCATATAATGGCTATGAAGTTTTGCAATTCACAAGGTTTGCCTAAATAATTTAATTTTTATTGGTGATATTCTTTTCCTGTGGTTTAATAATCAACATGATTGATGGACTTGGCGGCAATGACCATTCTAACCAATGTCAGTTTTTTTATTGATTCAATAGAAACAACGTCGCATTTAAATTGATTACTTGTAATCATCTTAGCATTTTTACGAGTACAACATAGCAATTTATTAGAACCTCAGTTAACATTGGGAATGGATAGCGCACTTAAAAATGTGACTGATTTATCTACAAAATGAATGCAACATGAAAGCGCTTTGTAAAATGCGACCATGGTACCAATACGGTTCTGGAGTTTCATCAGGTGTTTGTTTTCGTTATAAAGTTATTTATGTCTTTGAAAATGAATATATTTAGATGTTTGGTATATAGAGGTATGTTTATCTAGAAAACAAATTATTAATGATTTTAAGTGATAAAAAATATACCCAAATAGACTAGCAAATAGAGTTCCAAAACATTTTGGTTCCAATATTTATCACATAATTAAAAATTCATTTGGATTTGAACGGGGAGTGTACTGTTCTATTGTTCATTTTGAATTACAATTGATTTTCCACTAGAATATTTAATTTGAATTATTCCGACTAATACGTCAATCAGAACAAAGTTAAAAATAACAATGTGTCAAGAGAGAATATTTTCTTAAACACAATAATAGAAGATGCAATTTCATCGCACAGAAACATAAATGGATTTTATTTTCATATTTTTTCGTTTTTAAATGAGTATTTTTATAAACTTAAAAAAAGAAAGACCAGCAACCCGAAAAGTTTAAAGAACTTTCATCGAATTCAGATGACATTTTCATCGTCGAAATGACTAATGCCAACGCGAATATTATAACGTTCCCAACCAGACATTATATTGAGATATTTTCAGCCAGATGAATCAGCTCAGCCAGATATCGTCAGGAGCTGAAATTAAGTGAAAACAATAGAAGTGATTGTTATGGCTATAATTACACTTACATTGCTCAATCACTATAACAATCACTTTTATTGTTTTCAATCGATTTCAGCTCCTGGCGATATCTGGCTGAGCTGATTCATCTGGCTGAAAATATCTCAATATAATGTCTGTTCCCAACATATTGCGAGTGAAGTATCTGGTGATGAAGATTATTTACTGGAAATAGTATAAGAAACTTCTGGAAAAGAATCCAATGGACATAGTGATAGGATATGAAGACATGTGACAAAATAATACAATGTTTAAATATGATAACAGTAGAAAACCAATTGAAGAGAGCTTATCGGATTGGCAAACATCACGCAATCATTGACATCATCTTTTTTGTATTCGATTGCACCACAAAGGAATTGAGAATCGTGTTTTTTACATTTTTTTTATTTTTGGCACATAGTTAAAACCTATGCATGGCTCTGATCCACAGAAACTATTCCTCTACAAATTGTTGTCGGAACATTTTACAAAGTTGGATTGATTTGGACTTCTCACTTACTCCCTTGACCGCCGGGCAAAGGAATCGTTATCGATTTTTTTTAAATATGTAGTTTAACTATTTGTATAACGAATTGTTTTAAATACTGTGAGAAATGCCAAAAATAGTGATGTCATTAATTAAAAGTTACAACAATAACTCTGAAAAAAAAAATTATGATTTCATTTTATTTTCCAGGTCGCTACAATTCTAATCCATTCAATTCACACTTTAATGAAACTTTCACAAGATTTGATTATAATTTTATACATTTGTACGAAATTGATTCAAATACACTGTAATATTGCAAATATTAGATATATTATGTTCAAACTGGCTGTGTATTGCAATTTTGAGCGTCCTCTTTGATTCTCTTATAGATGGAATACATTACGACCCAAAAGTACGTATGAAGAGCTGAAAAAGAATAATTCAATGGTTTAACATATCCTATTCTTTAGAAGTGCACACCGACCTGTGATAATGCAATAAGCAATAATAAAAGGTACGAGATCGCCTGTTTTTATCTCTGGCCGAGGGCTAGCTAAGACAACCATTAAAAAGATAATTCCAAAAACGGACAAAATGAGCCCAATTCCAGTTGTAATCACGGATATAAGCAAAAAGCCAGCTTTATTCTATTGAAGTATAGGATGTTTGTATTTGTTTATAAATCTGTGGAATTCTTACAAATTTTTACCTTATAAATTCCATAAAGCCAGCATGTGTAGATAATCAACGGAATGACTAAAGTTCAACATTAAAATGTCACTTTTAGTCATTGGAAATCAATTTCTAATTAATTCGAATATCAAATTTACCAAATACAGCTGCATATCCTCCTTGTCCTTTTACTATGCCACCAATTAGGCATATACAAGCACTAATTATATTCAACCAACCGATTATTAATCCACCAATTCTTAAATCAACGCAACAACAGCAGTGAGGTACAGTCGGAAATTTCATCGTTGTTTTTGCTCGAAAATAGAGTACGTATTGGAAAATTGAAAACGATAAAAAATTGTTTTTTTTTTATTTGCGGTTTAAGTGAATGTGTCAAATGCTCAGAAACTAATAAACGTGTACCATAAAAATGAATGGATATATATCCTATATGGTTCTATCGGTATTGCGAGAAATTACTAAAAAATATCACGAAAAAACGATTAGATAAAAAAAAATATTTCACGAAAAGATTCGGACAATATTGTACGTCATAAGTAATAAGCAGGGTGGGTCAAAATGAGTCACTCACCAACGAAAAATACCATAGAGGTGAGTTAATAGCGGTTTACAGATGTTTGATTGGCCTGGATTTGGCAGATTTCTTTTGTTGCTACATATATGGAGAATGGAGTTGCATACGCAATATCTCAACTAAAGAATACCACAGAACAAAGTTTCAATCGAACCAATAAAAAGAAATTATCAATAGATGATATGTTCTTTCTTTGTCCAATATTAATTTTGAGTAAAAAATTGAAATGTTGAAAACAAAATACTTTGGTGCTTGCAAAATATTTTGACTGACCCTATTTATTGGTAATCGAATTATGGTTGTTAATATATATATCGGTTATTGTGTATGGTCTAACTCTTCTTGAAAAACGGCGCACATATGGAACACGTGTGTAATCAGCATTTTTATTTCTATTGATTGCAATAATAATAAAAGTGAATTAAGATCACGACAGTATTCATTAACATGCCAAAGCAGACAATATGATTGTTAAAGGTACAAAAATATTACCATAACTATAACAATCATTTCTATTGTTTTCCGTCCGTATCATCGCCTAACGTCATCCAGATGAGCTGAAATATCCAGATGACAAAATCCAAATATATTGCCTGTGCCAAAGTAAAGAATAAATACTAACATGACTCAGCCATAGACTAGTGGTTAGCGTGCCAGGTTTGTGAGCGTGAGGACACGAGTTCGATTCTCGGTCAAATTTCGTCCGGTATTTTTCCACCGTGATTCGCTCAGGAATTGTCAGTGGTTTAATGAGGAGAGGTTTGGGCCGTGTCTCGGATTTGTGGAGTGCTTCGGAGGGCACTTAAAGCCGTCGGTCCCGTGTGTGTGCACAGCGAAGATATGGGTTCAGCACAGACACACGTAAAAATGGAGTGCCTTCGCGTTAGGTTGATGTCTTGGATATATCAATGTCCAATACATAAACCGCAAAAAAGGTAGTGCCGAACTACTGGTGAATATACCGGTAAATCAGTGGTATTCGCATTCCCCCATTTGAAAAAAGAGCTCAACGCCATATATGTATCGGTGGAATTGTGACTGTCACGACAATTGCATTGGAGGAATAATCCAAGCAATCGAATGACAGCACCATGCAATAGGGTTTGTGTCAAGGCTAATTAGATAGCGTAACCCCGTAAAAAATGCATCAGGCTTGATAGCATACCTTCAGAAGTGCATCGGTCTAGATAGCGTACTTTCCGGAAATGCATCGGACTATGGCACAAAAACGTAAATTGCATGTAAAAACACCATTGGGTCTGCGCAAAACACTGATGAAGCGTACGCGTGATGCTACAAATAGCTCCCCAATTCGAAAAAAAAAAAAAAAAAAAAACATGACAAAATACAATGCTTTTGAAATTGAATTTTGACCGTACATGTGTAACTCAAGAAACATTGAATAAAAAATTAAGAATATTTCAAGATAAGTCTTTTTCGCCAGTTTGAAATATTGAACAAACATATTTTTTATATATTTATATTTTTGTTAATTGAGTTCTTTCTTAATATAGATTTTACAACCCGTTTTGCGATAATTTTGTATGATACCGGGTTTTAGCAATCGTGCTTTTATTTCGTTACTTGATGTCGTTATCATTATATAGTTTATTCTTAGATTTTGTGAGTCATTAAAATTACAGAAATGACCATACTTTCGTCCCTGAGTCACCCATTTTATCTATCAGCAATGAACTTTTTCACAAAAATCAAACATCAATTGCGTTTATCATACTTGTATTCAGATGAATACTTTTGCAAAAGTAAAAGTTAGAGGGAAAATGTACAAATGACTCATTTTCATTCAAATAATCTGAACGTTTGAATTTTGTTGACTTTCAAATCGTCGTTTTGTCAATATATTTCAGTTTTGTTTTATCAAGAATAAATAATATTTGATCATAGTTTTTATTAAAGCTTACATCATCAGTTAAAATGGTATTCTGACACCAAACGTATACAGGAAAATAAGACTGAGTTTCACTGATAATACCATGATTAAAATGTGAAAGTGAATCTTGATAAATATTGAATTTTGGATTAAAATGTTATTATAACAAAGATTTTAATTATCGTTTATTATTTTATCTTTGTAATCATTGTGGAGCTTTTTTCATATGTATGATTCGCTTTATAGAAGGATGACTCACATTTTTGAATGTAATTCTCAGTCATATTTCATTAGTGTGTTCATGTTCTTTGTTAATTATTGCCAGGAAATGCTTTTATTTATCAACAATTGTTCTTTCAGATAGTATTGAAAGGAATATTTCATCATGTTACCACACTTGTCGCAATTTTGTTGTCATGATTTATCATTTATTATGGAGCGTATACTCAACTACCATGAATAAACGAATGTGGAATTAAATTTAGGTCGCGATTTTCTTTTTTAAATAACTTTGGCTTAATGGAATTGAAAGTTAAAAAAAAACTCGAATTATTTTGATCATTTTCAAATATATGCTTTAATTTCGAACGAACCAAAAATCATCTTCACACTTACACCTTAAATTAAATTTCGTTCAGGATTTGATTATAATTTTATCGAATTGAAATTTAATATGGCAAACAAATTTATTATTTTTTCATTCAAGCTGGCGATGTATGTCTTGTGTTTGTAGCTGATCCGTCGTCTTTGATTTTTCCGTAGATGGAACGTAGTACGATAAACCAGTAGGTAAACAAAACTGTGAGAAAAAATATTTATTAAAGAATTTAAATATCAACGGTTTTTTTGGACTCTTGAACTAACCTGCAAACATGCAATAACCAATAATAAGACCTGCGATTTGTCCACCATCAATATTTACTTTTTCAGAGCTGTCCAATACAAGAATTAAATACAGAATTGGCCATAAGTACACAAAAATGAGCCCTAGTCCATTTATAATAACGATTGGGAGCATAAAGGGTGATTTATTCTATTGAAATAAAAAAAATGAATGCATTGAATTTTACAATTTCCAAAAAATAACTAAAATAGCTAATATTACCTTAAAAATTCCATAGAGGCATATAGAATAATCGGAAGAACTGAAAATCAACGCCAAAAATTTGACTTTTAATAATTTGAATGAAAAAGCTTATGCAAATGTTAAACTTACTATATGAAGCTGCTGCTGCTCCTTGTCCATTTAATAGGCCCCCAATCAGGGAAATACAACAAACAATTAAACCCAACCAACCGATTATTAATCCACCAAGTCTCAAATTAATACAACAACAGCACTGAAGTACGGTTGGAATATTCATTTTTTAGCTTTAAAATATTGCTTTATTGAAAAATTGAAAACGACATAAAAAAATTATTTCTTTCGCAGTTCAAGTAAATTGATCGACTGCATAGTAAGTAATAAACTCAAATTGCCCAATGCATTTCAAAGCTATTGTATTGTTATTGTACACATACTTATAATCATATCTTATTTTTCGCAAAAGAGTACTAGATAAAATATAATCTTTTCCAGTAAAAATGAATCATTTCGAACCCAAGTATTGTAGACAACATTTTAATTAAATAGAGCCAATGCGAGCCAATACAAATATAGTAACCATTGTAATAGTTGTGCATACTTCACACACTTTTTTCGTATCACATCATTTACAATGACTTTATTTTATCTTTATCTGTTATAAAGTGGCTCACCGATAACATTGTAACAATGAATGCATTAGTATGACTCACATGTGCTCTTGTGTTGCAAAAAAGGGGATTTTCTTCCATATCAGGACGACAATTTTTACCCAGTATTTTTACATGCTGTTTGGCTTCTATTTTGTTCGTCTATATATTTCATTTTGATTCGGGCCGGCTATAGCTGTTGCATACTTTCTTTTAACGAAATATTCACTGCAACTCACGTGTAATATTGAATGACGTGGATTTAATGAAAGCGACTGTGAAATTTCGTTGAGTTATTACTCAAAATAATACAACCAGAAAGAGATTTTCAATAAATTGTTCCGAAGGTTGTATGAAATACAAAATATCTATTAAAAATATCGAGAGGAGAGTATGTTTTTATTCAGCGCTGAATAACATACTGCTCTTAACCCAACGGTTAGGAGCATAAAGGCCGATTCATTCTATTAAAAGAAAATAAATGTATTGAATTTTACAATTTCATAAAAATAACTACAGTAGGCTACTGTCAGTAGCTGGCATTACCTTAAAAATTCCATAAAGCCAACAGACGTTTGGAATATTCGCAATAACTGAAAATCAACGTCAAAATGTCACTTTTAATTATTTGAATGAAGAAGCTTATGCAAATGTTGGACTTACTAAATGAAGCTGCTGCTACTGCTGCTTGTCCATTCGCTATGCCCCAAATTAGGGAAATAAAAGTACAAATTATACTCAACCACCCCTCATATAAAAACGAATGACGGTGTACACGTCCATTTAACGTTAAAAAAAAGCGTCACGTTATTTTTTGTTAAAAAATTGTTGTCGAATAAAAAAAACACGTTGTAAATAATATTTTAAGAGCGTGACGGCTTAAAAATTATTTTAGAACAAAAATCAGTTGATTTGAGTGCTGTTGCATTGACATGTAGTCTATAGCGCTTGCTCCTTTCTGGTTTAACCAAAAGAGTGGAAGAATGACAAGGACAGCGTATGACGTTGAACGACGCTCACTGCGTTAGAAAAGAGCAAGCGATATAGACTATATGTCAATGCAACAGCACTCAAATCAACTGATTTTTGTTTGAACAGATGTTCATATATGAGCAATTTTGAATTTGAGAACTGAGAGATAAAAATTTTTGTTCGGTATTGAAGCGATTTAAATGACTTTTTTCTTTTTATTCATATTAAATTCATAAAAATCAAATGAAGAACAAAAACAACTAGATTTTAAATATTCGTAGGAAAAGATTCGTTCATATAGTCGCGATGTGATAAAAGATTGCTAATTTTTTCTAAATTGCGGTTCTTTTTGGCTTCTATCGTGTTCTTCAAGTTCGTCTCTACAAGTTTGCAGGAAATTTCATCTTGATTCGCGCCGGAAATTCATAACAGAAAAACTGGCTCTGTAAATAGTAAAGAAACACAAAACATTTTCTGATTCTCATTTCCAATTCTCTCAATTTAGATAACAACAAATTTACAAAATATCAAAACTGTTTGTTTTTTTTTTAAGATGGAAAGAAAATTCGCAGATGTTCATTTTTTAAATGTGCATGGAAATATTTTTCATTCACATGTTGCTTCGTATATGATCAATTTTGAATTTTGGAACTGAGAGATAAAAATGATTGTTTTCGGTATTGAAGCGATTTAAATGACTTTTTTCTTTTTATTCTTATTAAATTCATACAAATCAAAACAGGAACAAAAAAAACTCGATTTTAAATATTCGTAGGAAAAAGTCGGGATTGAATTCGATTGATGCTATGTTTTTCACTCTATCGTGTTTCACGATCTGGTCTCCACAAAATAAGATAGTTTTCAGATCATTTATATATGTACAATATAGAAGTGTATATCTATTGAGTATGACGTTCGGAGAGTTTTACTCTCCGCCGTATATTCGGCTATAGCTGCTGAATGCATACTCTCCTCTAACGTAATATTCACTGCAACTCACGTGCAAAATTGGATGACGTGCTTTTAACGAAAGCGACTGTGAAGTGTGGTTGAGTTATTATTCAAACTATACAACTAGAAAGAGATTTTCAATAAATTAGTCCGAAGGTTGTATGAACACATGCACATCAAATGAATGAATAAAAGCAAGGTCATCTAAAATTACAATAACATAGCAGTAGGTTGATTGCGCATCAAATACATTCTCGGGCGACAAAATGCGATTTAGTTTTATTCAAGTAGCCAGTGCTTGTAATTGATAATAATCTATTGCAGTTGTTGATAGAATCTGACAAAAAAATTATTAGATAAAACTCGCTATTCTCCCACTTAATAACGATTGCGCGCACACAAGTGATCAAACAGTATTCTATTGGCTGCCCTAGTGATCAGTTGATTTTTATTACGTTTTTGAATTCTATATATAACAAATATTGTTTGAAATTTGATTTTCTTCGAAAAATATGGAGAAATCGGATCTATCGCAAATTCCCACTCAATTGATTCGCGATACAATTTGTGAACTTATCGAAGCAAAGCTAAATACAAAAAACTATGAAGTGACTGTAAGTTCAGCATCGAAAGAAGGAGAAAATAACTTTGTTGGCGTTGTTTACCGAGTATCATTTAATAAGACCGATGACACGAATTCATCATCAAAACTGATTGTCAAAGTTGCTCCACAAAATGTTACGCGCCGAACTCAGTTTCGATCACGAAATTTATTTCTGCAGGAAATTTATATGTACAATGAGGTGAAATTTTTGTTTGTTTTTATCCGAAATGAAAATAAATAAATAAAAAACGAATATTTTTGCCATAGGTTTTGCCATCTTTTCGTCAATTTGAAGGGAGCAAAGGTGTAACTGCCGCTGCAGATTGTTTCAGTGAATATCCGAAGTGTTTTAAAACTATTGACGATGAGCCAAGTGAATGTGTTTTACTTGAAGATTTAAGTGCACGTGATTTAAGTATCATTGATCGTTATAGTGAAGAAGTTACTGCCGATCATGTTTATTTGGTCATGAGCACGTTGGGTAAATTTCATGCAATTTCATTTGCATTGAAAGATCAAAAGCCGGAAAAATTTCATGAGCTCGCTTCAAAATTGAAAGAAATGTTCATAGATCCGGACGATCCCATGTTTCGAATGTATTATGAGAAATTTACCGAGAGTATTTTTAAAGTATTAGGCAATGAAGAGGATGTTGAGCTATTGGCCAAAATGAAGAAACTTTTTGAGAGACATTCAATTGATATTGCTGCCGACTGCCTTAATCTTGAAATGACAGGGTCAGCTTCAGTGATATCGTACGGTGATTCCTGGCAAAATAACATCATGTTCGGATATGACATGAATAAGAAACCAAAAGAGGCATGCTTTTTAGATTGGCAAATATCGCGCCACTCATCTCCAATCATTGACATTGTTTACTTTATGTTCTGTTGCACCACAAAAGAATTACGAGACGCACATTATGACGACTTTCTGAAGGCATATCATGACAGTTTATCAGCACACATTCGAAGGTATGCGATCTATTTCCACGTTGGCTCTTATGCCATTTTTAATTTCCTTTTTTCTATCGCTCTCTGTAAGATTGGGTTCGGATCCAGAAAAACTCTTTCCATTTCCATTGATGCAGGAACATTTTCGGAAATGTGGAAAATATGGTTTGATTATGGCAGCCGTTCTACTCCCTATGATAACAATGGAAAGTGGAAATGGTATTGATTTAGATGAGGCTGCCAATTCAATGGCAGAAAAGCACGATACGGACGCATTTGATGATTACTTTATCTCAGTGAATTCGCGAAATAAATTCAACAAACGTATGCGAGACGTTGTTGCTGATATGATTCGCTTGGGTTACGTTTGAATTATTTGCAAACAAATTCAAATGTTGTTGTTTAAATTGATCATTTGAAATGGAATAAGTTACACTTGTTTTTTGTGATTTTGTTGTTTGCAACATTTTACAAAACACAACTTAGATTGGCGCTTGTTAAAACGATTTATTCCATTAACATATGTTATTTTAGGATTTAAGCACATTTTGTAAACAGTTTTGTATTCATTCCGAAGTTCATTGATCCCATAGTAGCACATTTGTTGTATATGACGTTATGCCATAACGATCACAAAATCGCTTTTATGGTTTCAAGGTTTTTTCTGTTTTGTATAAAGCTAGGTGTGCTAATAATACACACGGTGTTATATTTGTCACTACGCTTGCACCGTAGACTATGATAATGATACGGATATTTTAAGATGACGTGACATAAATTGCTATTTTACTAAAAAAAAATGCGAATCATATGATTCTCAATTTTTCACACTTTTTTAAAACAGATTATAATTTTCGGTGCAATTTTACACATTCATTCATTGTGAATAGGATTTTGAGTGCTACATTGACATGCTCGATACTTCTGTTTTCATATTAATTCATAAATTTACAGCAAAAATAAATATTTTTAATATGAAGAATAGAAAACTTTGACGGTTACACGAGGAACTAAACTTACATCCCATCCATGCAAATGAATGTAATAAATATTGTTTATGATTTCAATTACTAAAAGCTGTTCATCGCAAATTGCGATTTGCAATTAATAAATCCACGCAAACATTTTTAGAATAGTTTAGTTTATGCAATCAGACAATAATGTGAAAACAAATAAATCAAGATTTCAATAAATTAACATAAATTAGTCTTTATATACACTGCCGTTAGAAAGTTTAGGTACGATTAACGATATTCATACAAAGTGCCGTTTTTCACAGGTGTCGCGGATCATGAAGGAGCCATTTCCGATAGATGGTCTATTCAGACGAAATGTAAATCACAGTATGGACTGCATTTCATCTGAAGACAATAACTGTTTTTTTGGTATTCAAAATTGCAATCTCCTGAAAAATGTTTTTTTATATGAAAAAATGGATTTTTCTGAGTATCTGCGCTTTCAATCAATAAAATTTTATGATGGAATCACTTCTGAGAGTTGATGTCTTCAGATAAAATGTAGTCGATACTATGATTTAAATTTTGTCTGAATAGACCATCTATCGGAAATGACTCCTTCATGGTCCGCGACACGTGTGAAAAACAGTCATTTGTATGAATTTTGTTAATCGTACCCAAACTTTCTGGCTGCAGTGTATTTTCAATAAATCAATCGCATCGCATAATTAAGAATGAGAGTAGACAATTGAACATTTAATGTTGTTTGCGTTAGTGGACATTAAGTGAGCTGATTTATGGTTATTTATCAATTGATTTTTGATGTCGCTATACAATGTATAGTATAAAATGTTTATAATTCAATCTCATGCATATCTTCAAGCAATTTATCATATTCATATCTCGTGCAATGTGAGAAAATTGTCATATTTTTTATAAAAATTCAAAAACCAAATTCATTTTGGTTGAGAGAAACTTGAACTTTGACTCTCAGCAGACTAATTAGTTAGAAATGTCATTTAAGAAATGTGCAAAGATGTAAGGTATCGTATATAATGGTCAAAGTTCGACATTTCCCAAGGAGCGTCAAAGGGTTGCCAACAAACGCAGATAAAAAAACATAACATAGACATTTCTACCGCAAGTTTTTCGGAAACAGTACTTTACCGTTGGTGACAGTTCAAACAGTAATTAGCTTCTATTACAATATACCTGCTAACTAGTCACTCGTTTGCTTCTTTGGTCATCACTTGCTTGTTACATTTCGATCAGTTCAGTTCGGCTATAATCCTTTTTGGAAGTGTGTTTTTTTTTTAAATAGCTAAACTTTTGTTGTTAACAATTTCATTTGAAAATATTGTTTAAAAAACGTAAATATGGTTGAGTTCTCAGATATTTCAAGTAAAGAAATTCGTTCGACTCTTTTCAAAACGATTGAAAATGCTTTAAAGACGACGAACTTCAAATTCAGTATAATTCCGGCATCAAGAGCTGACGAAAATAACATCGTTGGCATTATTTATCGGGTAGTTTTTGCCAGAAATGATGAAATTGAATATGGAAAATATTCAATTCCACGACAATTAATCCTGAAAGTTGCTCCACGAAATGCAGTCCATCGCATTCAATTTCTCACTCGGCCAGCATTTGTTCGGGAAATTTATGCATATAATAAGGTAATGTTTTGGAATTTCATATTTATCAATGGCGAATAAATTAAAATTTTCACGTTTTTTTCACAGGTGTTGCCGATTTTACGTAAATTTGAACAGTTGAAGGGTGCTTATCACTTCGATGAATACCCAAAATGTTATAAAACCGTAGATGTTGACATCAATGAATGTCTTTTGCTTGAAGATTTAACGGTTCGTAATTTCACCGTGATCGATCGACACCATGCAGATTTAACCCCTGATCACGTTCGTTTGGTAATGAAGACATTGGGTAAATTTCATGCCATTTCATTTGCGCTCAAAGATCAAGAGCCGCAAGTATTTAAAGAGCTTACATCGAATTTGGATGAAATTCTCATTCGAAAAGATGATGATAAATTAAGAGATTTTTTCAATAAACAATCGGAACATGTTTTCAATTCGGTATCAAGTGAAGAAGATACTGAATTATTCGACAAAGTGTATAAATTTTATGAGAAAGATGTTCTCGATATTGCTGTTGATTGTCTTGACTTGAATGCAGCGGATGGGGCTACTGTAATCTCGCACGGAGACGCTTGGCAAAATAATATCATGTTCCGACATGATCGAAATGGAAAACCAGTTCAAATGGCACTTATTGATTGGCAAACTACGCGTCATTCATCCCCAATCATTGATATCATTTACTTTTTATTTTGCTGTACGACAAAAGAACTACGTGACAATTACTATGAAGAAATGCTCAACGTTTATCACGTCAACTTAAGTACACATATGCGAAGGTAAGCAAAGAATTAATTTAACTTGAAAAATTCTTGAAATAAATCTTAATATAATAACGCTAATGTTTCTATTTTAGGTTGGGCTCAAATCCAGATAAACTCTTTCCATTCACAATGTTATTGGAACATTGCCGTAAATTCGCCAAATTCGGATTGATTTTATCCACCGCGTTGCTGCCAATTATGACATCGGATGATGGAAATCAAATTAATTTTGATGAACTTGCAGAGGATGTGAAACGGGGAAAAGAATTGGACGAAAATCTCTTCGCTACAGCCAATTCACGCAATGAATACTATGCACGACTTCGTGACGTTGTTATCGATATGATTGAATTGGAATACATATGAACCCAATCCATCAATCAATGGACGATCTACAAAACACAAATTGAAGCATTTTAAACGAACAACCTATTATAACCATACATACAGTAGAACTTCTCTACAACGGAAACTTCCAATGGCAGAAAACCTCACAATAGAAGAATTCCCAATTTCATCAAATTCATATTTTTCAGACAAAATTAACTCCACATAGCGGAAGAAAAGTATAGTTAACGAAAAAACGACTCTTTCTTGAAATTTCTGCTATAGAACGATTTTGCTTTCTCAAAATAACTTTTAAAATTTACCAGTAATATCATTATGTATAGAAAAATAAGAAAACAAATAGATGTAGTCTGTTACTTCCTGGGTATTTGCTATTTTCAGTTAGAACCGGTTAATACAATACATTTTAAACCAAGACGGAAGTGAAGTAAACGGATGACATTATCATAACTAATTATTCAAAAAAAAAAAAAAAATCTTATCAAAATTTAACACGAATATCAAACATTATTATTTGACCCGTGAAGGTTGTTATAAATTGTCAATAATTTGAAATGGAATAATAAAAATAATATGTAAAATGAATGACAAACGATGATGACTTTACATTTTTTGTTGTTGTTACTCACCAGTAAACATCCCCAGCAAAATTATCGAAGTAGGTGTAAATTTTTATATATATTGATAATCTAGCAAAGAGTGTTGATGATATAGATTAAAGACGTTATTTGATGATAACGTACAGCATCCAACATTGCTACGTGCACGCAGCGGCATGTATTTTATATGGAAAATAGACTTTCTGAATGCGTATTTTCGGAAATGTGGAAATTACGGTTTGATAACAGCATTGCAAGTACTTCCAATATTAACGAGTGATAAAGAATGTGGCGTTGACTTAGATGAGGCTGCCAATTCTATGAAAAATAATAGCAACACGGAAGCATTTACTGGCTTTATTTCAGACAATTCAAACGATAAGTTCAACAAGCGTATAAGAGGCGTTGTTTTTGATATGGTTCGAATGGGTTATGAACGTTTAAAATAGCAAATAAATGTCGATAACTAGATTCAGTTGAAACACAAAACAAGTATTTCATTTGATTAAAACTATTAGAGCTTCCTGACGGCAGCACTTCTATAAGCTGCTGAATTCACAATTTAAAAAATGATACTTAGCATCATGGTTTATAATTTGTTTTCAAATTGGAATCAAGAGTACATATTAATGATTGACATGGAGCTGATCTATAAAAAATTTATTATTCAGGAACTCTTTGTGCTCGAAATGATATCGTTTAGCCTTGATATGTAACAAAAAATTAAAACTGCGCAGTTTTTTTGTTATCACATATCTTAGTTGATGCCAAATTTTTGAAAATCTTTTACTCCCTTTCCTAAATAGTATTCGTCAACAATGAACGCTTCTGAAGTACGCGATCATTTTCACCTTTAAGCTAATATTACTCTGATCACCAATCAAAACAAAAATGATAAAATCGTTGTCGCGATAACTATGATAATGACAACGTACATTTTCAATTTGTTGAAATCACGACTATAAAGCAATTTTATATTTTTTTCTTGCATAAACTGAAGCAAAGTCACAGAAATGATATAATATTGCTGACAAATAAAAATAAAAGATATTTTTTATAGATTTCCGAATGTGGTTGGATAGCTGCGCTTTTATAGCTGTCACGAAAAGATGTCATAGTTACTCAATACATGTACAAAGTATACAATTGACCAGATTGAATTTTATTGAAATGTCTTTGCACGTGACATCACTATTATTAACTAACACTGTGACCAACAACATTGACGAATGGAGAAATAGAACACACGCAATATTCAAATCTATTCTAATACTTGCGGTCAGCTTAGTAAGCCTCAGTTTGGTCAGTTTTGTTCGATAAGCGCATTCATTTCGGCTTTTCTGAACTAATTTTATTGGTCTAATTTATAAATCTTGTAGTTTGTGAGTGTCCTTCAATTGACTGTCTGGAATGTAAGTTTAATTGCCAATCATTTGGATTTAATCTCATATCTCTTAAACTTTATACTTCAATTGTTTGCACACAAAAAAAATGCCAATTAATGACGTACAAGTGAATTGGTGGTGCGTGGCATGCGCAATATAACTGATTTGTTCGAATCAGAACTACTCAGTATTTAAACAGCCTCTAAACCGGTCACATTAGAATTAATGGCATTTCGGTTGAACCAAAAACATCTTTGATAAATCAATTGAGAAACGGTGATTTCGCAAATTATTACTTGTGCACACAACGACTAGATTTGAGTTGTTCATTTCTTGTGTGTAATAATTGCAACTTTTTAACGATCCCACACTCACAAGCTAATAATCCGTTTGTTCATATTGATATTTGCATATTTGCAAATTTGTATTACATTTTCAATGACAACAACAGAGAAACTTATAATTCATTAAAATAACACGTATACAACGAATGATTTGGAAATAAATAAGATTTATGAGTGGTGTGTGTGTGGCTAAAAATAAAAAGAAACACTGTCCAATAAATCAAGCGCTGATCGAGATAGTGTAAGCTATTGCAAAAAGAAATTCGGTTCGAACACTCGCACACACACATACACGATCAAACAGTACAATGGTTGAGTCGGAATTAAGTGAAATTTCAAGTGAGTTGATTCGCACGACGGTTCGTGAAACGGTCGAAAATGAGTTAAAAAGCAACAACTATAAAATTAATGTGAGTTCAGCGTCACAGTCGGGCGACAATAATTTCATCGGCGTCGTTTATCGAGTGTCATTTTGTAAAGAAAAAAAAATTGAAAATGGAGTGAATTCCATTTCAAAGCTAATTCTCAAAGTTGCGCCACAGAATGTAGCGCGTCGAGAGCAATTCATGTCGCGACCTTGCTTTTTGCGGGAAATTTATTTGTACAATGAGGTGTTGCCATATTTTCGTGAATTTGAAGAATCAAAAGGTGTAATCGTCGATGAAAATGGTTTCACTGAGTATCCAAAATGTTTTCGCACTGTTGATATCGAACTTGATGAATGTGTTTTGCTCGAAGATTTGAGCGTGAGTGGCTTTAAAATGATTGATCGATACACCGAAGAGGTTAAAGCAGATCATGTATATCTGATGATGAAATTATTGGCCAAATATCATGCAATTTCATTTGCATTGAAAGATCAACAACCCGAAAAGTTCAAAGAACTTTCATCGAATTTAGATGAAATTTTCTTTTGCCGAGATTCAATGTTGAGAGACTACTTTTTAAAACAATCCGAAGATCTTTCGAATGTAGTATCTGGCGATGAAGATGCCCATTTGCTGGAAAAAGTGAAGAAACTTCTTCAACAGCATCCAATGGATGTAACAGCCGATTGTTTTGAAACAGGAAGGGATGCCGCAGTGATAGCACATGGCGATACTTGGCAAAATAATGTGATGTATAAATATGATAACAATGGAAAGCCGATCGATATTCGCCTGATTGATTGGCAAATTGCACGACATGTATCACCGATCATTGACATTGTTTATTTCATATTCTTCTGCACAACAAAAGAATTGAGAGATGCTCACTATGATGATTTCCTGAAAACTTATCACGAAACTTTGTCTAAACACATCACAAAGTAAGTAATAAAGAGTTGTATGCTCATTAACGATAATATGAAATAAGGTTACCCCTGAACAGAATCTAATGATTTCTCTCATTACAGGTTAGGATCAGACCCAGAAACACTATTTCCATACAAATTGATGTTGGAACATTTCCATAGTTTGGGAAAAGTCGGTTTGATTTTGGCTACAGTAATGCTTCCAATTATAATGAAAGATAGTGCACAAGAAATAAATTTGGATGAAATTTCAGAAGATGTTGTCGGTAATAAAAAAGAACTTGACGCCTCCATTTTTTTGTCTATCGAATCGAACAAAAGATATAATCAACGTTTGCGAGAAATTATTATTGATATGGTTCGATTGGAATATATTTGAAATGGTTCATTATTTACTATTTCGTTGATTGCACGGTTTTCTGTATTTTTTTCAAATTATGCACTGCAATAAAGTTTATTTAAAAAAAAAATTATGCTTAATTTTTGCCACATTATTCCAGGAAGTTGATTCAAAAAATTCGGCTAACCCATGTCAAAGGAATCATTGTGCCGCGGAAGATTTAAATTACAGTAAATATGTGTATATTGGAAAAAACCTGTTTCTAATCCAATTTCGGGAAATATGAGAATCACTACTAAGGCTTTTTTGCACTAAATGAACCTACTTCTGAAATATGATATTTCGTACTTCTATATGAGCATTTCACATTCACCACATTCTTTATTTTCTTCGCCGCTCAATTTTCCATCGATGTTCCCTTCAATTTGTGTTCAATTGATGTTATTTTAAGCAATGTCGGAAAACAATTTGGACTTTTCACCTAATTAATTTTATTAGTCTTATTTTCAAGGGCGTCTGGAGTGAAAAGTATGCAATAATAACAAGCTGAATCCATGCAAAAGTAGTCGATATTCACTACAATGAAATTTTGATGGAAAAACACTATTATAAGCATAGAGCGTTGAACAAACAGTGGTTCCAAAAATAGTTTGTAAATAGAGTGGAATGTCGAAAATCGCTCAGAAATGAAATAATGAATCAAAGTTTTGACATTGAAATACCATTTAAAATCAATTATTAATTGATTGATAAATACTTACCAATAAATAGAATAGAATCGGCTTTAATTGGCTTAATTAAAATGATTTATGTTTAAAGCTCACTGTGATTTTCATTGTTTGGAATTATGCTTAATGCACAACGTAAATTGTGAACAACCAGAAAGTTGTTATTTTGAAAAGATCGGATATTGCAGCAATAAATTATGGCTTGAAATTTTCAAAGGGCTTTTATCAAAGGGACAGGTATCATCATAATATCATCAAGTGATCGTATGTAATTGGCTCGATCAACTATGAGAGTATTCGCTGAGCTCAGCAGTGATAAAAAAAAAGATAGAAAAAATGATAAAACCAAATTATATGAATTGGTTACAGAACGTGAATGCGTGAGACCTACCTAATCGTACATTACAATTTCGCACTGAAATAAACTATGCAATCGAATTTTTTCTCTGCGCATTAAAGTCCTTGGAGCAATCTTCGAAATTAATGAACATTTCGTGTTATCTTCGTTTGGATATAAAATACGGTATGTCATGTCACCTTTGATTTAAAAAAAAAATAACTCTTATTGTTGAATCATTAATCCAATGAAATAGTAAGGTACCCTTCTTTGAATCAAGTTTGACATTTTTAACTGTATTTTACCGCTTTTCTACCAGATTTAAAAGCTCACTTTTTAATTCATTGCTCGATATTCCGTTGATATTCAATCCACTAGATACACTTGACATTTTGGAAATAAAATACTTATGTAAACGCACGGCTGAACAAAAATATTAATAAAAGGTAATTTTTTGCGTTATGAATGGCATTCATGAACGCGCTGTTAAAATACTGTACATATTTTGGAGATGTATATTCATACAGCAACTCTATGCACACCTTCTCGACTCACATTCCCTATTCAGTCAAAAACCAGGCTCACTGTCAATGGTCCCCATTATCCAACATCCATTCATCCATGGATAGATTTTGTTTTTAAAAGGACTGGATAAGTAATATCCATGGATGTTTTTTAATGGATAAGTTACATCCACCATCCATCACAAATTTATTCATGAAGAAAAGAAAGAGAGAGATCCACTTGGATAGAGGAGAGTTATAGTGCATCCATGGATGGAATAGATGTTAGTTTATCCATGGATGAGTTATATTTTATGGATAAATAAATAAGTTGACATTTCATGTGAAGTATTCGATTAGTATATAGAAATATTGGATGATGGATGAAACATCTGATTCATTTTGGATTTGACAAGACAGATCAACAAGTTTCAATTTTCAGTTAAAAACATGTTATTCTATTTTTTGTCTGCATTTTTATTTCAGTTCGAATTGTTGACATTTCTTATTCTGAAGTTTAATTCATTAAGTTAATTTGATGTTGGGTGGTTTATTCATTAATCCAGCGTCCAATCACATCAAGGAATGATTTTTGTTTTGTTTTTGTTCGACAATTTTCAACATTTTTTCAAACTCTCGAAGGTTTTAACTTCTTAGAGAGCACTCCCACTGGCTTCTCAGTGTCTCCACTCATTTGCATAACTTTCAATCTTGACTTTTAGTACCCAGGCTTAGCCATAATTTTTTTTTTTTTTTTGAAAAATTTACTATAGAAGAAACTATTATATCGCGTTTAGAATTTGCGACGTATAAAATTATTTTTTTTTGAAAAATTTACTATAGAAAAAACTATTATATCGTTTTAAGATTTTGCGACGTATAAAATTAAAAATTTACTATAGAAAAAACTATTATATCACGTTTAGAATTTACGATATATAATTTGAAAAATTTACTATAGAAAAAACTATTATATTACGTTTAGAATTTGCGATACATAATTTGAAAAATTTACTATAGAAAAAACTATTATATCACGTTTAGAATTTGCGATATATAATTTGAAAAATTTACTATAGAAAAAACTATTATATCACGTTTAGAATTTGCGATATATAATTTGAAAAATTTACTATAGAAAACAACTATTATATCACGTTTAGAATTTACGACATATAATTTGAAAAATTTACTATATAAAAAACTATTATATCACGTTTAGAATTTGCGATACATAATTTGAAAAATTTACTATATAAAAAACTATTATATCACGTTTAGAATTTGCGATGTATAATTTGAAAAATTTACTATATAAAAAACTATTATATCACGTTTAGAATTTACGACATATAATTTGAAAAATTTACTATAGAAAAAACTATTATATCACGTTTAGAATTTGCGATGTATAATTTGAAAAATTTACTATATAAAAAACTATTATATCACGTTTAGAATTTACGATTTATAATTTGAAAAATTTAGTATAGAAAAAACTATTATATCACGTTTAGAATTTACGACTTATAAAATTAAATTTTTTATTCAGATTCAAAATTCAAATCACGACATTTCTTCTTCAATTTTTCTCTTTTTATCAAAACGTTATCGTTTTATAATTTCATTTCAGTGTTGTCATTATTTCAAAAATATATATATATATTTTTTACATTGTCCTGATGCAGATAGCTTAATGAACGTTGTATTTGTTATTTATAATAACTTATTAGACTAGCTCCCAAGACACAAAAGTTGGAATTCAATAAAATAAAGACTGCACCATTAATTTGAGTTCACAAATTTAAATTTATAATCTTATTTAAGTTAATAAACTAAATACAAATTATAAGTCTGAAAGCATTTTTTTGATGTTTTAGTCATGTTGCTGACTATGGACGGTGAGACCGTACTGAAATTCATTCAGACTTGTAATTTGTGTTTTGTATATTAACTCAAATAAAATTATAAATTTTAATTTGTGAACTCAAATTAATGGTGCAGTTTTTATTTTATTGAATTATAACATACTGCAGTTTACGATACTGTTCCTGTGTTTATACACTTTAATTTTCAAAAGTTAGAAAAAAAATAAAACAAATATTTCATACTACCGACTACATGGTGAACCACCTTTTTTTGCTATTCCATTTGTTTTCACGTAGATTTTCATACAACATTTTCGTTTTTTTAAAACCAAAATCGGATGTGTTGTACCAAAGGTACGACAAACCTTCACAAATCAATTAGTTAGTACAATTTAGAACGATTTGATTTTATATTTTGTCTTAGATGACGCTAAACAATGAAGTTCCAAACATAGATGAAATTTTGGGAGAACGCATCAAAACTGGTCTTATGAAAGTCCTGAAAAGTCAGTCAAGTTTGGACAATATCAAACTGAGTTTTGAGCCTGGTTCTAAGAAGGGTAAGAAATGAATTCTTCTTAAAAAGGAAAAAAATGCTGATATGTTGTTTTCCAAATAAAAGGTGCCAATTTTATGGGTGAAATATATCGAATTTTTTACGAAGATGCCAACGACTCTGAAAATAAAAGTCAAACATCATCATTGATTCTAAAAATGGCTCCAAGGAACTTGATGCGACGAGAGAAGTTGAGATCGCGACACATTTTTTTGCGTGAAATCGATATGTATGATAAGGTAAGTTTAATTACAAATAACTATTTGCAATACAATCGGGTCAACAGAAACTTGAACATTTACTTGTAGGTTTTATCGTATTTTCACGGGTTTCAATTGTCAAAAGGAGTTGATCCAAAAGAGAACGGATTCAATGAATATCCCAAATGTTATTCCAGTATAAGTGACGATCTTTCCGAGTCTCTGTTTCTTGAGGACTTGCTTAGAAGAAAATTTGAAATGATCGACGTTCGCAAAGAGCCAGTCACATTTGATCACATGTCGCTCATGTTGAAAGCTCTCGGGAAATTTCACGCCGTTTCCTTTGCGTTGAAAGATCAACAGCCAGAGAAATTCAAAGAATTGGCAAACCTTGCGTTTGAACAATATTGGACTATGATTGATTCAGGATATAGTTCGTTTTATTTGGATGCTCTTAAACGATTAACAGATATCTTGGAAATGGAAAAACGTTCGGATTTGTTGGAAAAATTTAACAACGCTGCAGGTAGAGATCATTTTTCGAACATATTACGGATGATTTCAAGCGAAGCAGCTGAACCGTATGCGGTCATTTGTCATGGTGATTTGACAACTAATAATACAATGTTTTGTAAAGATGAACAAGGGAAGCCAATCGAAATTCAACTATTCGATTTCCAGTTTACACGTTACGCTTCGCCTGTCATTGATTTGATTTTGTATTTGTTCTGTTCGATAAGCACAGAGTTGCGAAACCAGCATTATGAGGAATTCCTACGAATTTACCATGAGAGTCTCTCGGACTTAGTACGCAGGTATGGTTACATTAGAACTTTGAAAATTATTCTCAGTTTAAAATATCCTTTGATTTTTTCGGTTAGGCTTGGTTCAGATCCACAAACGCTTTTCCCATTTGAAAGAGTTTTGGATCAATTACGAAAAATTGGCGTCTACAGTATATATGTTGGAGCACTACTACTCCCAATACTTGGCTCAGATCCAGATAAACTTCCCGATATTGACAATGAGGCCAGCAACAAAAATTGTTTCCAAGTAGCAGCCGAATCGAGAAAAGCATATAACCAAAAAGTAATAGATATGTTCGATGATTTGGCTCGTTTTCAGTATATATGAAGGAGATATTCACATAAAAATGAATTTTTCCAATAATAAGATTCACAAATAGTGACACAGTAGCTAACTAGTTATAGATTATAGACACAATCACCCATAGACAAACATATACGAGTACCGTGGACCATCGAAGTGGCATAGTTTAGTTAGCTTGATCTTACTCACAAGAAATAAACCTGAGAGATCATTTAAGGATTCCTATTAAAATATTAATTTGTAAGGTTTCCTTATAATATGTGGAACATTTTATCAGGAAATCTTTAAATAATAAAACATGTTTTGTTTCAATACAGTAAAGCTGGATTTGACCTTTGGGCGCGTTAATTTATTAGGATTCCTGTTAAAACATTGCGATTTCATAAGAAAACCTTACAAATTCATTTTTTTTAATAGGAATCCTAAGATAATTTCTTAGGTTTATCTCTTGTGTGTAGTTCAACAAATGAACCTGGGACATTTTAATATTGCATGTAATTCTATGGAGTAAATATACTACAAAATGTGATGAAATAAAAATGGTTATGGTAATAAATAGTTATACAATCATATAAAAACCTATTTTGAAATTGTATTGATAACGATATATAGCAACCATCAAATTCGCTTATAATGATGATGATACATTTGAGTGTTTTAAATTCCGGATAGTAACTGTTTTAGAGTCGACAAATATGTAACACTTTTGTTTTGTCATTGAACTATCTCGTTAAAAGTAACTACTATGATAACATTTTCCCAATGTTTATAATTTTTCGAATGACTTTATTGTACCTAAAAGAAAGGATTGCGTCTAATGAATATACATTATCTAATCATTACACAATGATTGTACATTATCAACCTAGGGGAGAGAAACCAATGCTAGTTTTTCTAGTTTATTGCTTGAATAATCTAATAATGCTAATATTCCTTTATGAAATTGCTAGTTTTCTAGTTTTTTGTTCTGTCAAATGACAATCAAATGATTGTACTGACACAATGAAGTATTTTGACGTTTTGTTGTTCAGACATATTTTTATGTGTTTTGAATAAATATACACTTATAATAGTGAAAATTAGTTTAATTATTCTTTTTTAACACAAAATCGTGCATAAAGTACTTGTTTCTTTCAATAGTCGACTTGTAAAATTGATTTAGTCACCAAATCATGGCAGAATATCAAGATGGCGGATCAAATAATTTTTGCTAATTTTTCTAGTTTTTGCTAGTTTTTTTCTAATTTTCCTAGTTTTTACTTGAAATATAAAAAACTAGCTAATGGTTTCCGTCCCCTAGTTATCAACTGAGCCGCCAAAAATGCTATTTAAATTCGCCCAATATTCATCAAATTGTATACAATAATATCGTGATTTGTTTCGTGCAAAGCACGGCAGTGACAAAAATCGACCGAAGCGCTCGCATCGGTTGCCAGATGAACTATAGCAACCCTATGGGTTGCTGGTACAAATTTGTGCCATTATTGAGCACGAATTTGTGCCATTATTCAATGCTGCGTTGCCCAACTGTCACTACTGCCATGCTTTGGTTTCGTGTTAACACCAAAATGAGTGACATTTTGACGCTACCTATTCGCAGCGCCTGTACAGCATTGCTGCCCAGATGCTGAATCGTAGCGGATGCCGCACACGCAACACACTTCGTTTGTACCACACAGAGCATATATGTTCGCTTTCGTTCTCTATTCGACATGCGTTTGTATACTGACTATGGTATTAGTGTATCATACTCTGTGAGCTCACTGGTTACTTAGACTATATGACAATATGTTGTGTGGTACAAAACGCGTGCGGCAACCGCTTCGATTCAGCTGGGCAGCAACGCTGTACAGACGCTGCGAATAGCTAGCGCTATTCAGATAGGAAAAAATCATCACTGATTATTAAAGCATGAAAACTCTTATTTTGAGTTTAAAAATGAAGAAAAAAACGTCTGGTTTCGCTTTGATATGCGATCAATTATTATTATATAGTTTACCATCACTTAGATCAACTGTACCGCTATGAAAATTAGTGTACTATCATTTTCATCAAACCACTTGAGAAAAATTCTCGATTTCGATTTCAAATAGCTTCTGAGTTTGTACAGACCATTCCCGTGGGTCTGGCTGTTCATCTGAACAGTTGGACGACATTTTTCTTGTTCTCCAATATCTGAACAAAGCAAAAACAAACAAATGTTAATTACTGTAAATTATTGATCTGTTTTGTTGATGTAAATTGAACACTTTTCACTCACTTATGAGTATGTTGATGAGTAATTTATGACATTTCATTCTTGTTTTGCTCAATAGATAATTATTATTGATTATTTGCATTTCATCCACGTTTTGCCATACACATTTCACAATGAATTCCTGTGCTGTAATACGATCCAGTAATTTACGTCACTTCATAAAAAATTATACAACTGTTCATCAAAAGCTTACGACAACCAAAATTCGTATTCTTCAGAATTTTTATAAACTCTTTTTAATTTTACACAATAGACACAATTTTTTGTAATTTTCAAGCGAAATGTCTGCTTTAATTCTTCTCTTAACTATTGGTGTTTTGGCAATTGCCGTAAGTAGTAATTATTCCACTAATAAATTTCATTTTCTTCTTCAGCAAATTTACATCTTTTTTTTAAATACTAGACTCATTCACCGTTTATAAACTGTATGAAGAAACACGATGAGTATGAAAAATTGCGGAAATCAGTTATGAAAATAAATATTGAATCGGGTGGATCTTCTGAGAGATTGAAAAACGTCGAACAAGCTCATTTAGCTGACTTAGATTGTTCTTCATTGAGTTTGAGCCCCACAAAATTACAATTTGAATTATTATCTGTTCAATTGAATGAGCTTAAACTCGTGATTGATCAAAACGCTTATAAGGCTGATCAAACTAAACTGACGAAATTTCATAACAAAATTAGAAATATTACGTCTTCTGTGGTGCCAGGGTTGGAGAAAGCATATGAAAATGGTAAAAAATGCTGCACAAAAGGAACAATGTTAAAGAAACTTACACCATCCAATTCGCGAGTGTGGAAACAATTTGCTGAACTACCATCTGTAGCCGATCGTGTTAGAGGATCTGTCGAAAAATTATCATCACAGATTCCTGGAGTCATTTCCAGAATAAATTCAATTAACAAATCATCTGATTTGAATGAATATTTGCAAAAGGTTGAACAAGGATATGAGAATGATATTAAAGATATTAATAAAGACATTGCACGCGTTCAAGGTGTCGGTTGTTCCAAGTAGAAATGATTTATGAATTATTGTATTTCAATAAAATTCAAGACGATAAAATTTCAACATATTTTTTATTAATCTTGTGTGAAGATGGAAGCAACCTCATGTTTCATTGCTTATTTGCTTACTTACTACAAGCCGATATGCATTTAGGTAAGTAAAGAACTAGGACGAGTAAGCTAATCAATCCAAACTAATCGAAATGAAACACTCCAGCCGGGTTTTGATGAAAAAATTAACTCAAATATTCAGAAAGTACAGAAAATAGCATCGGTAAAAAGCATCATTTATTTATTCTATATTTTTATTAATTAACAAATATATGTGATGTTTTTTTTCCTAAATGCAATGATTTTATTGAATGGTAGCTTTTCCAATCAAAACTCTTACGAACAAATCACGTTTGTTGTAAAAGCCATGCAAGGCCATGTTAGCAGTTTTAATATGCCCCAAAATCTTGTCCTGACACTTTTTGAAAACTGCAATAGCGATTCTTACTTCTTTGAATTTAGCCCGCGATATGTCTGCATTAACAGCGATACGGGACAAACTAGTAATTGAAGCGCACAACGCATCCATTTTCTTCTTAAAATCACTCTTCATGTTGTCAACCTTCTGCAGTTCCGTTGCAAATGTCATGAACGTGGTTGTATACTTTGATCGCATTACACCTAAGGCATCTGAAACTACTTTAACGTCGGCAGGCCCAAGGACTTCATACAGCCATTTTTTATAATTATCTTCATCTTTTTGTGAAAGATGGGATAAAATAGTTGTTTCAACATTAAGATGTGCAGCTATTTCAAAGCATGTGGCAGTGAGATTGTCACTATCGATGTAAATGGCATTCATATTTTGATTTACCCAGGCAGCGGCATCTTTACGTAACTTGATTGGATCTATTTGTCCTTTTAAGTTCAAATCAATGAACGGTTTCAAGCTAGTTTGAACTGTAGTTGTTGATTTTGGTGTGCAAAGTGAAAAGTATGGACTCAGTACAGCTTTCCAATCTGTTCCTACACCGTAAGCTAACTTCGCTTTGAAATCAAATATATCAATTACCTCCGAAAATGTAACGGCCATTACGCCATTGATGCAGATCTATACGATGAAAATAATGTCAAGCGAATAAGAAAAAAATAATTGATATAGTTTGAAATGACTACAGGGCTGTTATTTTCACTCTGTCAGTGCACGCACACAGAAGTGTGCACACTCACACTCAATGTGCGTCGCACACAGTGCTTGTATTTTGAATGTGCACGCACACTTAGTTACAAATTTGCCAACCGCAAAAAATGTCAAACTTGTGACTAAGTGTGCGCGCACATGCAAAATACAAGCATTGTGTGCGACGCACATAGAATGTGTGCGTGCACTGACAGAGTGAAAATTACAGCCCTGAATGACTATAATTAAACGTAATTCAATGGTGAATTTAACCATTTCCATGTTTCGATCATACTCAAAATGTAAATGTAAAATTATCTTGCGATAGGAAAAATGTACTCCTTTAAATAATTTTGATGACGATAGCACCTAATGACTTTGAATTAAACTCACCTGATCCAACATCAAAGCCAATAAAAATACCAAAAATGAAACGGTCTTCATTGTTTCAGTTAAAAAAAAAACTAAATTTTGTTCTCGTGTCACCGTTTTTGGGACGTAACTAAGGATAATCGTTTATTGACGCTTTATATATTCTTCGAAATTGTACTTATTATGTATAAAATAAATAATCATGTTTGTTTTTATAACATTGTAAATGTGTCGTTGCGTCAATAATTGAATATCCAGCGAATTTTCTACGTATGTAAATTCTGAATTGTGATACACACAAAATAGTATTCTTGTAACCGGCAAGTACTCAATAAATTTCTCTCTTTTTTTAAAAATATAATACTACTTTGTTTGGCTTTTTCCAAAGGTAATTAATATATTTCATCTTTTCAAACATACTTGCCGCCTAGTATGAACGTAAAGCTAATTTGTTTGTAACAGTTTCTAGGTTGAAATGGGATTCTTTATTATTTTAATAAGAAACAATGTTGTGAATTTGCAATATTTTTCAGTAAACACATAGTTACGTCAATTCTATTAGCACCTGTACAAGTCTAGGTAAAAAAAAAAATTATATCTCATGAAGTAGACAAGATCATCAATGAAAAGAATGAAAAAAAAAACTAGCCCAAAATTTGGACTCCAAACCATACCATTATTCTCAAGCTGAAAATTGGATTTTTTTTCATTTGATGTGTATGCCATTTTTTAGGTGAATTCATCGAAAAAGAAACGTTTTTAATGTTCAAATAAAGATGTTAAAATAAATATATTTTCTTTGGAAAAATCCTAGTAAACTGATCAAAAATTGCCACGAAAATTCATAATTCATAGGAAAGAGATATATCGCCGAAGTTTGTTTAAAAACGATACAGTTCTCATTTGTAGTATACTTACGAACTCATTCGTTTGTTGTATAGTAACAAAAGTTATATTCACGATCATTCTGTAATTATAATGGTTGATGTTTTAATATTTTCCAATCTCAACTGTAATAACTATATCGCGGCACGTTTATCAATATATTTAACTCTGCTGTTAATAATAAGTGGCATCATTATTTTGCTCATCGCCTTTGGATGCTGTGGCTTAGCTTTTGAAAATGCAAGTTCATTTCTTACAGTAAGTTAACAAACAGATAATCAATTAAAAGAGTAATATGAAATGATTGCTTCATTTTCAGATTTCAATCGTATTGATAACAATGTTTGTGTTCGAAATGATAATCATAATTCTTCTCATTCGTAAAAATTGTTCATTTAACAAATGAAACATTAAAGGGATAAGTAAAAGATAAATTATGATTCAAACTCGTGAAATCATAAAGAGTTACTTCTTTTTATTAATTCATATACCACAATAAACAGATTACTTAATTATTAATTTGGATTTAAATAAAAATGCCAGAACAAATGTCAATTGGTTTTACTTTTTTCAATGAAATAAACTTTCGATGTGTTCGCCACAACTATTTTGGAATACTTTGTATAAGTAATATGCGAGTCCTATGGCGATAATCTAGGAGGAAATATTCACATTTAAACTTGATGTATTAAAGTTTCTTTAATAAAATTTACCTGAATACATCCAATGGAGAAGTTAAAACTTGCCAAAATGATTGCTTTTGCATTCAAATATTCAAGTAATGGTAATTTACAACCAGATTGCCATGCCATTGATTTTGTACAATTCGTTTTTGACTGTGATAGATCGTGACAGCAGCTCGGTGGTATTTTTTGATGCCAATCGTCCGGTCCATTGATTCCGCAGCATTTCATCTTTACGAAGAGAATTTTTTTAATGTTTAAATATTCAAAGAATTTGGTGTTTTAGAATATTGTAATTGAAAAGCGGCTTATAGTACCTCAACTTGAATATTATCCCAAATTTCCACATTGTTTTTGTAATGCTTAAACTTTTCATTGAAACCATTGATTAAAGTGTGATTAAGTTTAAATTTTTCACTAATTATATCTGCGGTTGCTATGATTTCGAACACAAACAGCACACATAATAACACGAAAAACTAAAAGAAGGTTGAGGAGAATGATAAAGATTTTGTTCGATTATTATCAAATACTTACGTATAGCAAAATACAAGTTCTCTTTGATCTCGGAAAGAGACATAGAAATGAAACAAAAAATACAATTCCACCAACAATTGAAGTTCCTATTGGCAGCAACCAAAAATGTTCACCTTTAATGAACAGAATGAATTTTTAAGTGTCCCACAAATGTTTCATACTTTATGCACATTCTTTTACCCAAAAAACCTCGATAACGGTTAATTTCTACATAGATAACAGCGCCAACAATAAAAATGACAAAACCAGTAAGCTGCAAAATTGATAGAAAACATTTTTATGTAATATGAAGGCCTTTTCACACAATAGGAATCGCACTTACGACGAAAAACAAATCAAAAACAAAAACCATCCTTTTTATGCGTTTAATTGCTGCTTCGCCAGAAGAGATGCCGGCTTTGAGGGAATTAAACCAATCCATATTTAAAAAATAATAATAATAAGATTTTATAATAAACTGAACTGAATTCTTAACACTTTGATTGGCAATGAAAAAGTAGAGAATCGAATAAACTGTTATATTTGAGAGAAATATAAATCCCTTCTTTGTTTTATTATTCATTATTCACATTTGAACTAGTCATTTTGTAATCTGAATATACTAGCTTGAACACGTCATTTCTTCGAATCATGTGGAAATGTGTCACACGTCAACAAGATCATTTTTCACATATCAACAGTGACATCATCGAAATGTCCCAATTTAGCTGCAAAGTGATTCGGGTGATTTTATCCAAATAATGAAAAACTTCATAAAACTTTATTTTCTTACAAAAAATATCTATCGGGGTTGATAAGCATTTCAACTAACATCCAAAACGAGACAGATTGGGTTCACTTGCTTTTCGGTAGGCCACTTTTTACCATACAAATAGAAAAATTGATATCATAAGTGGTATGAAACACAGAAAAAGTCTCTATGAGTCCACCTCCACTTGCTATTTGAATAAATTAGTTCAATTCTTGCAATAGAGGATATTCCCTTCCATCAAATTCATTCTCTGGAGATATGGTTTTGTCAGCAGAAATAGATTGAATTGAAATACTAATGAAAATGGCATTTTAAAGTATTTCGAATAACACATCAGTTTACTGTAAACTTTTTATTATTGTGCAATTTATTTTCAAATTGTGCATATTATGAATAATGCATAACATACAGACCAATTATGACTTACTCCCAATTATAATAATTGTGTATGATAAATATTGATAATGTAGTTATAATTTCATTTAAAAGCAAAATAAAATCTTTGTCGCATTATTTCCAAGTAAAAATTTCCTTTCTGACTTAATGAACATTTCAAGTAAAATCCAAAATTAGATCCAGTGACCGGTTCGCGCATATTTCCATGCTTGCCTAAATACGCTAGGTAGCATAGATATGCCAAGCATAGCCGCAAACGCAACCGACGCATCGCCGTTCACTCTATATGAACAATACACATGTTCGTTTATGCAGACGACCGTGCACATACAATATAGCTCGAATCGAATGGCGACGGGTGCGTTGCGGCTTACGTCTCCGCTATGCTTAGCATAGCTATCAGGCATAGAAATATGCGCGAACCGGTCACTGATTAGATCACGTGCTCGGATATAAATACAAAAATCGACATCACAAGTGGTATGCAACACATAAGAAAAATTCCATGAAAGTGATCAATTTTTACGTCTTTGTATGAAATGTCTGAGTGTTTGTAAAAGACTTGAATATGTTCATCGGAGTGTCATTTCTCAATAAGTCCAGCTGCACTTGCCATTTGAATGAATCGATTTAATTCTCTCAAGAATGGAAAGTCCCTATTCACCAGAAACTTTGTCGCATAACCATAAATCATTTAATGCCAAATTTGGATGAATATTCTGTGAATGTTTGCGTGAAATTGCCACTGCCAATTTTGAATTCCACGCAAGCTGATCCAAGCAACCGTCTAAGTCATTGCAAATTTTGAACCGCTAGTACTGGAGCCAGATATGTCTATCAATAATACAATAATTGATACTGAATGACATTTTTGCAAAGGAAATTTCTTGAATTTACCTGTTAACTAAATACAACACAACAGTTATTACCATAGTCACTTATTGGTATATAAAGTGTAAATTTATTGTCTTTAGTGAAACGTTAACCTTTGGTCAATCTTCCTTAATTTTGGGATGCTCAGTACCCGTAGTGGAATTTGTATGAAAAATTTGGATTTAAAAAAGAAATTTCCGTGATATTTCGAGCAATATCATGTCTATTCTTAAACCAAAGATATGCATGTGTGCAGACCGCTATCTACGCTTTGATTGCGGATTAAATATAGAACAAACACATTACAATTATTCGTTGAACAAAACTGACTTTCGCCACACGGAAACACCGACCAATACAACAATTGTTTATACATCTGTATGTGAGCACAAGTGATACACCAACTTTCACAGAAAAACTTCAATTAAGTTTTCCATACAAAATATATGACGAGCACTGAGTGGCCCAAAGACAAAATCCGCATGTGGTTTTTTCTGGTCTTTTTGAGTGCTTCAAGTGGTTTTGCAACAATATGTTCGTTTTCATTCATTATTGTGTGTAGTTGTTTTACTGGTATGCATATACAAAATGTCATTTAATTAGTTTAATACAAGAGAACGTTATCAAATGCGATAATGGGAAATGGTACGCAATGGTCATATTGTTTCATCAAAATTATCGTCGTATTCCAAACCTACACATTCAGGGTTATTAGATAAATGAATGCGTTCTATATATATAGAATCGCATTCAAAGAAAAAGTGCGGTGTACATTTTTATTTCACGCGACTTTTTTTTTCGAACCCAATCAAATCAACAAAATATTTGACAAATCATTGATTCGAACATCTCAAATAATTTGATCTAAGTTTTGATTTTGATTTGAAATCCAAAATCGACATACAAAGGTTTCACAATGTAATGGTGCACTTATATTTGCAATCGACCAGATTAAAAGACATTATATGTGTAGATATACTTTATCAAACACTTATTATATATTGAGGATGTGCACTGTTTTCGAAATCTATTCAAGTATTCGTATCCAAACCGCATAGACTCTGCGCAGTGTGTAAGTATTCGATCTCTTAGTTTGTTCAGCAAATTAAAACGGTTTGGATCAAAAATTCGTCTGTTTGAAGAAGCAAATCAAAATGGTTGACGTTGGATTGAGTTTCGCCAAATATGTTGTATTTACTTTCAACTTTCTATTCTCGGTAAGTTTAATTGACATCAAAGTTATTTAATTAAAAAAACTACAATCAACCAATATTAAATCTTCTTTCCAGTTGATCGGCATAGCAATGGCTGGCATTGGAATCATAATTAAAACGGAAATACTTTCGTATGAAGCATTTATGGGTAATTTATTCGTAGTCAAAAAAAAAAACTGATTCTAAAATATATTTAAAATTACAGTGGATGTTTCGCCATCATTTCCAATTGTGTTGATTGTTGTTGGCTGTGCTCTATTCCTTATCGCATCTCTTGGTTGTTGCGGTGCAATCATCGAGAACAAGTACATGCTCTTAAGTGTAAGTGATTCACTTATATGAATTTCTTCCGCCATTTCATAGTATTTCTTGTTCAGTTTGCGATCGCATTGATGACGATTGTTGTAGTTGAAGTTGGAATTGGAGTTTATGCATATGAGAAGAAGGGCGTATTGGATGAACTCTTGGAAAACAGCCTAAACGAAACACTCAAACGTAGTAAGGACGATGTTGCGTATCAGCGACAATGGGATGTATTGCAAACCGAAGTAAGAATTTTGTCACGTTTTGTGCAATTTTGGTGAATAGAAAGAGAATCAATATTATTTATTGCAGTTTGAATGCTGTGGTATCAACAGTCCATATGATTGGAAAATCATAGGTAATCCAATTTACTTACCATCATCGTGTTGCCACAAGGATATCAACAATCAAAGTACGTGCATCGAATCAGATGCATTCGAAATCGGATGTAAACAAGCATTGATCGATTTCATAAACAGAAAAATCGAATATGTAGTCGCAATTTTGGTTGGAATTAGCGTATTTCAAGTATGTTTCAATTTTTCTTCAGCCAATACCATTTGACTAACATTTCTTTATAACGTTTTATATCAGGTGCTGGGCATCATATTCTCATGCTGCTTGTTCTCAGTTTTCCGTAAAAAGATAAACGAAGATTGAACGGAGTTCTGATGAAAGTGTTTTACCTTAAAAAAATAATTGACATTTTCTACTAACCATATCGGCTAAGTATTTGAAGTACATAAATAGCGGCGGTCGAGTCCAAATGATCATAGGAAATCAGTGAAATCAGGAAAAAAAATGTAAACATTTTTAATATTAATAAATGATGCAATTTGAAATTCCACCTTTCTCTTTGTTCTCCGAACTTTTATCAATTCGCTGACAGTTTGTTTGTTTTATTTTGCATCAAAAGTGTTCTTTTAATAAAATCTTCTAATTGGAACTTCTTATCTAATTTCCAGAATCTCTTTTTTAATTTGATGCATCATCGCTAAATGTATCGCTCATTCAAATAAGGTGTGATCTGTCTAGATTGATAGCGTTGTTTGAGGTAAAAATGTAAACAAAAATGCCAAATGCTATCGCAAAAGCCTATTGAAGTTTTACAAAAAGAAATTAAGTTTTTAAGGTCGCAAACAAAATTGTTTTGTTTGCAAAGAAAATCATCTGTTGAGAAAATAAACAAAACCTCATTCGTATAGATAGTGAAATCTTCATTCAAATGTGAAAAAAGTAGATTGCTTCGTATGAGCGAATTGTCATGTAAGCAAAATCTCTCTGATTTATGCCGGCGGTAAAAAATAATGATTATTATAATCAAATGCCCAATTGCTTCGGTCACAAGCGAAATGTCAAATCATTTTGCAAAAAAAAAAATTCCATAAATTTTTTACCATGTGATGGACAACTTGATTTTATTATCTGAACCTGTAGACAATAATAGCGCTCTTAGTCATTGGTCAAACAAACAAATTCTTCATATAAACTGCAATTGCATGTATTTGCATGTACGCAATATATAGATATCTCGTTTTCTGTTTTTCCTTTTTCCACTCTATAGAGTGAAATAAATATATTTTTGCTCTTGTGAAAGAAAACGTAGTTCGTATACGTTATTAATTCTTATTGTTTCCATTCCGAATGCATATCATTCAGTTAATGTAGATGTGCGCTGATAGCGGCATCTCTCAATCGATTGTTGCAAGTTTATCGTTGGCTTTGTTGTCGTTTAAACACACACGAAAGGTGCAAGGTACGGCTCGAATCATTTGTACTGATACACTTGTGTGTTTGTGCTCACAACCGACTATGCTCATATAGTTGAATGTCTGTGATTTAGGCTTTCAATATTCTCGTCTGTATTAAGACTGCCGATATCAACGAAAAAAAGGTATAAGAAAACAGCTGTCAGACTGAATTGTAGCGTCAACAAGTAAAGTAATTATTCGATTATATCGTCATTGAATTTAACTGTGTGATTAAAAAAAAAAATTATCAAAAAAGGTAAACAAAAAACAATAACAGTTTTTACGATTAAATTGGTTGCTCTGATCTCGAATTTGATGTTCAATCAAATGAACGTTGAACGACCGAAGTGACCACGCTAAATTCTCTTCGATCACATGTACTAAACGGTGCACGCGTACATTTAGTTCGGTCTTTCTTTGTTCATTTATTTAAAACGGAGAAAAATCTTTATTTCAAGTTTAAGTTTATTTTTTATAGACCAAAATGGACCCGGGACCAAGCCTTGCGAAATATATGCTATTCTTTTTTAATTTACTGTTTGCGGTAAGTTTCTTACAATTTTCTTAAATTATTCAACATGTTTTACATTGATGTTGAATTTTCTTAGGTACTTGGCGTCGCAATGGTAGTGATTGGTGTGATTATTCGTACCAAACTGGTGAACTATCATGATTTCATTGGTAAATAACTGATTTTTTAAACGAATAAAATACTGATTTTACAACAATAATTAATGAATAATTTTCAGAATACGATTTGTCGCCATATCCGATTCTTTTGATTGGCGTCGGTTGTGTTGTATTCTTTATTGCGTATTTGGGTTGTTGCGGTGCTATCAAGGAAAATTCATGTATGCTTTGTCTCGTAAGTGTATTCACAACAAACAAACAATATACGCCTTATCTGCTGTTGATAATCAATGTTATTTTTGGTTTTCAGTACGCAATTATTTTGATTATAATCGTCGGTGTCGAAATCGGTTTCGTTGTTGCTGCAAACGCAAAAAAAGATGCATTGGAAGAAATCGTTGACAAGCGTCTAAAATTCACCATAAATTCCATTGCAAACCATACGGATTCGAGTGTGGCGTACTATGAATCTTGGCATTTACTTCAAACAGAGGTATGGAATTTAATTTTGTCTATTTGGTTTGACGATGATAATAATAAAGAGTTTGACAAAAAAAAATTTAATTGGTTTAGTTGAAATGTTGTGGGATTGTTGGGCCAGAAGACTGGAAAAATGTGTTGCCAAAAGTTGAACTACCCGGTTCATGTTGCCAAAAGGCGGCAAACGATACTACATGCACCGTGAATACCGCTTCGAAAACTGGTTGTAAAGCAGCTATCATCGACTTTTTGAACAGTAATATAGTGACGGTAATTGGTGTTGCTATTGTCGTTGCTGTTGTTCAGGTATATTTTTAGTGCTATATTTTGTTTTGTATGCAGAAAAGGCTTTAATTTGAATTATCTTTCTTATTTCGTAGTTGTTAGCCATAATTTGCCCTTGCTGCTTATATTCAGTGTACAGACGCGATGAAATGTTACCAAGAAGATGGAATCGTCATTAAACAAACAAACACTTTCACAATGAATGACCAATGCCTCTAATAATCATTGTACTGAACGCAGAAAATATCCCATGTAAAATTTCGACTTTCAGAGTAAAATTAGCGAAAAAAAATCTCTTTAGTGAAAACCTGTCAATTAAGTTCATTTTTTTTTTCACCATAAACTGTCAAATTTGTAATAGAAATAAAAATAGAAGAACAATACATAAATAAATGACTGATAGTTAATTTGTGACAGAATCATGTGATTATTTAATTAAAAAGAAAAACGAGAATTAGTCGTATTTGGAGTCACATTATGTTCATTCCCAAGCAACGCATTAAAACCAAATATACTATTCTTTGTACGCTGTCCTATCCGGTCTTATTCAAGTGAAAAGTGGCGATAATCGCTACAAAATTGAGTAACAAGTGGGAGACTATAGCTTGACACAATCAATGCTCGAGAGCAACATTTGAGCAGTTAAAAATGTTTGCTGGGAAATAAAAGGTTTCGTTGCGGCTCTGTGTTTACCGGTAGATAAATGTTTGCGTTAATCATATTTACATTTCAATACGCTTGCCGATGACTCAATTCACAATACATCAATTCGTCTGTTCTACTAGTCTTATTTTTACTTCGAAGAAAAAAACTCACATATACATACAGAAATCAGTCGTTATTTCGCATATTAATTCTCATGTCTGAGTGGCATGAGTCAGATACAGATAAAAAACCGAGTAAAAAAGTATAGCTCACGAAACCGAATGCGTTCAGACTAAATTCAATCATCAACAAGTGAATAAGTCAAATAGCTTGACATTTTAGGCAACGATTCAGAACATTTATTCAACAAAAACTTATATAAATCATTCAAACAAGTGGTAATTGGTGGGTAACCAATAGTTAGTGTTGAAATATTTCGATTTACTTCAATAATTTTCGTACAATTTATAGAAATTGACAATTTTTTCCGAATTTTAAAAAAAAATTCCAGATTTTCAAGCCAGCAAAATGGATCTGGGAGTAACTTTTACAAAATATGTTGTGTTCTTTTTCAATTTCTTATTTGCCGTAAGTGTTCACAAATTTTATTTGAGGTCATTTTGTGTTTTACTTTTTACAAAAATAATTCCCATATTGCAGATAATTGGCATTGGAATGGTTGTAACTGGTTTTATAGTTCGCACAAAATTTATCGACTATCATGATTTCATCGGTATACTGCGCATTAATTTTAAGATAACTGACGTGTGATTTTAACTAATTTGCAATTTTATTCGTAGAATACGACCTCACGCCATACCCAATTTTATTGATTGTCGTTGGTTTTGTTGTGTTTCTTATCGCATTTTTCGGTTGTTGCGGAGCTATTAAAGAGAATACATGCATGCTATTTTTGGTGAGTGTAATCTTTGCAGCAAAAACAAACTGATCGCAATATGTATCGTTTGTATGATGACTAAATAACTTTGGTATTGGTTTCTCTTATACAGTATTCGCTTATTATGATTATGATTGTTCTGTTCCAAATTGGTATTGTTGTTGCTGCTTTATCGAAAAAAGGCGATTTAGAACAAATTGTCGACAAGCGTCTCCTTGATACACTTAAAAAATCAAAAGACAACTCGAAACTCTTGAAATCTTGGGATTTGCTTCAAAATGAGGTAAGGTTCATAGCACTGAACGAAAAATATTTACAAAATTCATAAATAAACTTCAAAAAAATATTTGTATGTAGCTACACTGTTGCGGTGTCTCTAGCATGAATGACTGGAGTGGTGTTATAGACTCAGACCCTACCATAATGCCAGGATCATGTTGCCACAAAGGCATCGATGACAAGACATGCAGAATACAGGATGTCAAATATCCCGGCTGTAAAACAGCTTTTCTGGATTATTTGAACAACAATATGTACACCGTGGCTATTTTTGCAATTGTCGCTGCTTTGGTTCAGGTATGTTCGAAATATGACAATACAATAACACACAGCTTTAAATGATTCACATCTTTTTGCAGGTGCTCGCAATTATATTCTCTTGTTGTTTGTACTCGGTGTACCGACGAGGTACTCGTTCTTATTCCTACTAAACAAGCACACAACATTTCAACATGAGAATTTGAAAAGAAAAATTCAAATGTGTTTTAAGATCAGTAGAGTTACCGATTTTGATTTATTTATTTAACAGATGAATAAATTTCGATTCATCTCGAAACTACAATCATATTTCGAGATAAACTATATTTTATATATATAGATATAAATAAAAATTGAACAAAGAATGCAATCATATATTCTTATAATCCCATCAATGAATCAGCTTGGCTTCGATAAATGACTCAGTTTTGTTTTTTGAAATTATTAATACACTTTATCTACGTATAAGTTCTAATCTCTCGTCAACTTAATGAGTGTAGGCGCACACTAAATATAAACCAATTGTAAAATTTTACACTGAATTTATTTTTATTTGTTTGTTTTTTTATCTTTTTTTGTTTATTTTCCTTTGTGTCGGTGCGGTGTTGTGATTATATGACCGACATAGTACGAACGATTTATCTCTCGATTATTGTTTTGAACAATTGACATTTTTTTGAATGAAAATTGAAGAGTTGCAATCTCAATGTCCATTTTATACTGTAGATAAGAAGTATTCATTTCACCAAATTGACCAATATCAATAAACTTATATTAATGTAATAAATCACGATGCATTTCCAGAAATTTGATAATAAAAATATGAACTTTTCATGGACGATCTTTTTTTTTCTCTAATGATTCAATGTTTAAATTTAAAATCGATGACAAGCTAACACTTTAATAAATTGATTCGAAATGAAGGTGATGAAATCAAAGAAAAATAATATGAAATGATTAACTTCAAGAAAAAGTCACAAAATAATTGAATTTTCTACCAAATTTGACAAAGTAAAACTAATGCAAACTATTCCAATTAGGCGCCATTGTTTGAGTACAAACAATTATTTCTGTCATTGAAATTGTTTCAGTAAATACAAGAAGCCGATCAAAGTACGATATTATATAGAAAAAAATTAATATTCGGATTGATCAAAGTCGACGTTTTTCGTACAGTCTTTGAAAATATTCAATAAAATTGATTTTTTTTAATTCAACGGTGAAAAAATGAAGATTGGGATCATTTTTATAAAATACGTTGTATTTTTTTCGAATGCATTATTCGCTGTAAGTTTTACAAATTCTAACAGCAACATCCAGACATTTAGCTCAATCTTTGGTAATATTTAAAAATTTCTCAAATGATATAGATACTTGGTATTGGAATGATCGCCACCGGTTTTATTATTCGCGAGAAATTCGACGAATTTGATGAATTCTTTGGTAAGTGACATCATCATTTTGAAATAGTTTCATAAATGTACCATCATTTTCAAATGAAGATTTCACGCCATATGCGGTAGCGATGACCGTTCTTGGCTTTGGCGTTTTTCTGATCGCATTTTTGGGCTGCTATGGTGCAATCAAAGAGAATACAACCGTTCTATTGGCAGTGAGTGTAATGAAGCCAAGAGTCGATTCTTCAAATTAACTTGTTTTCGAATTTGTACAGTATTCCAGTATTATGATTGTAATTGTTTTCATTGAAATCTGCGTTGTGATTGCGGCTTTTATAAAACGAAGTGATTTGGAGGATGTTGTTGAAAAAAGACTCTTCGATACCCTTCGAAATTCCAGTGAGAATCCGGTCTACTTTGCTTCTTGGCATTTTCTCCAAACTGAAGTAAAAGAGTCAACCGTGATATTTTTGTTCAAAATTCTAAATAAATTTAATCGATTAACAAAAAAAAATGTTTGCATAGCTAAACTGCTGCGGCGTATTCAGCAAGAATGACTGGAATGGTATTTTACCATCTAACGTAATACCCGGATCTTGTTGCCAGCGAAGCATCGATGATGAGACATGTACTCTAGAGGAAGCAACCGGAACTGCATGCAAAACTGTTTTCATTCAATTATTAAACAAGAATTTGATCACAGTAGCCCTTTTTGCACTAGTTGTTGCATTGCTTCAGGTAAACACTCACTCAATACCACATTTTATATATACATGTAGTTAATGTTGTTTTAAATTTTATGCAGATGTTTGCAATTGTATTCAGCTGCTGTTTGTATTTGGTATACCGACGACGTCCACAAGCGACAAAGTACTCTCAATCATCTTCGCAGAATTTGTAAGACAAAAAACAAACCAATTATGCACATTTTCATTTATTTTCCTCAAAACTCAATTCACTCCAGCCAGACAATATATTTTGATTTTGTCATCTGGATATTTCAGCTCATCTGGATAACGTTAAGCGATGATACGAAATGAAAACAATAGAAGTGATTGTTGTACTGTATAGATAGGTATAAACATACTACCATAACTATAACAATCACTTCTATTGTTTTCATTTCGTATCATCGCCTAACGTTATCCAGATGAGCTGAAATATCCAGATGACAAAATCTAAATATATTGTCTGACTTCAGCAATTGTTGTTGATAAATTGGTTTTAGTCCAACACACGTCTTGTGTTCATCGGTAAAAAAATGAAAATTAAATTGAATATTACCAATTCACCGGTATCCAACTTTTTTTTCGTGAATGCCTTATGCCAATACATTAGTATTATCGCTGAAGATTATCAAAGTCGTTTTGAGATCTATTCAAAACGACCTTCCATTTTTCACCTGAAAAATCTCAATGCCTTAAATAAGATAAAACAATATTGTTATTTTTGTCATTTTCAGTTTACACAAATGTTTATTTCTTATTGAACTGAATGGATGCATGCAAAACACATGTCTTCATTATATAGAATATGTATACACATCACACTAGTGATCAGAGATTTCTTATATATGATACATAAACACATCGAAGGGATATGATATTCAAAAAAACTGTTTTGCATAAAATTCGAATCGTTTGTTTGTTTTTAAATCTAAGGCTGATTTTAGGCATTTCTTCAGAATTTTAATTTTGGACCAATCAACATTTCATGCGATTATTGTTAACCATTTACATTGAGAGAAAAAAGGTGGATTTTTTTTATTCATTTGCTTCGTTCTCAAGCCAACAACAACATAAAGAAATTGAGTAGTGCTTAGATGTACACCATACGATATATTATTTAAAATTATTTCATTCTTACGTCTAAATGAACTATTCTGATTATGCCAATTCATTTTCGTTAAAAGTAATTGTGTTTGTGTGTGTGTGTGTGTGTTCACTTTAGAATTTTTGTTATATTTTGTGTCTGTTTAAGAATTTCATTGATGGAATGTTGTGATTTTAAAAACATCAATATGCTATTAATTAGCGGCTAATTTATTTATTTTTTATTAAGAAATAAATATATATTTAATCTAAGATTTTTTCTTTATTTCTTGAATTCGATGGTTGATTCCGTTCTGTTTTCGTCGTTGGTGTAAACACCATAAACAAGACAAATGAAAAAGATGTAAAGTGAATTAAATAAATTCAACATTTTTGAATATTGAATAAGAAATATGATTTCATCAAAAATTCCGAAAAAAAATCTTGCAAAAATATGTGTAGATTAAACAAAATTAGTTCATTTTGAACTGTCAACTAAATATATGCTATGTAAGTTAGTGTTTTTCTCTCTTTATGTACTGTGAAAATTCAACGAATATAGAATATGATGTGTTCATCAAATGGATACCGTTATATGCAATACATAGACTTCGAGTGATACGAAACCACGAGGTCGATGTCTCCATTTTGCATACCATCCATTTTTACGATGACTTGTATATATAAATATAGTTCAATGAAAGCCGTTAAATATAAATCGTATCGATCGAAAAACATGATCGACTTTGAATTATATGTTTAAAACTATGATCTTTGTTGTGTTGCTGTTTGTATCATGATTTGTATATGTTTTTTTTTTGTATTTTTCATTTGTTGCGATGATTCAGTTTCTTCGATGATATTTGTGATGATTCCGAGTCATTTATAGTCTTCTTTTGATTGAATTTTTATGTTTTTTAAACTTAAACGGCTTCGTAGTTCTTACGGAATGCTCGATACAAGCAACAAGCGTAGCCCAAACCAACAATCTAAGCATAGAATAAAAAAATCGAAAAATTAGATTCTGAAGAATGCAGAATAATTAAAATGTTTGGTTTGTTTGACATACTTGAATCAATCCAACGGCAACAGCAACGCCAGCCAAAATAGTCGATTGAGAGCTTAAATAGTTAAGCAATGATGTTTTGCAACCTTTTTGTGTTGCATCTTTTTTGGTACAAGGCTCGTCGATTTTCAATGTCAAACAGCATGAACGCGGGAAAGCAGAACCATTTAGTACTTTTGGAGTGAAATCATCTGGGCTATTGACACCGCAACATTTCAACTAAATACAATCGAGATTCATTAGATTAATAAAAAAATTGAACAAAATGTAAAAAAAAACGTCCTTGAACTCAATTACTAGTGCCGGAATATAAAATTGAAAAGAGTTTAAATACCTCTGTCTGAACCAAATCCCACTCCTTCTGGTTTGCTTGATAGTTGTTGAGTGTTTGATTGAATCCTTTATCCAGTGCGTTATTCAAGTCATCTTGTCGAACATAGCCGAAGGTGCCGATTCCGATTTCGAACAAGATAATCACGATCAACAACAATGAAAACTAAATCGCGATAAGACAAAAAAAAAATATTATTTTGGATCGGAGAATCCGTACTATTACAATTAAAATAATTGTTCGGGATATTTTTGGTTTTTCATCGAAATGTCATGTTAACACTTCAATTGGTAACCATTCATTCCAAAACGAAAAAGGTCAAAGTATACAAAATTTACCGTGAGAACCATGCATGAGCTTTCTTTAATTGCGCCACAGCACCCGAGGAATGCGATAATAAACACAATGCCACCGATTATCATCAATATAACTGGTGCGCTCCATAGGTCCTCCCCTGTGAATCCACGAAATTCATTCGAATTATAAATGTTTAATTTTGTTTTTACGTGGAATGTTCAATTTCTCTTACCCAGAAAGTTTTCATAGTGATTGAATGCGCTGAAGATAACGGCGCCAACCGTTAGAATTGCAATGCCAGTCAACTGTTAATTTATATTACGAATTTTTATAGTTATTTTCAAAGTACATTTTTGGCATTTTTAAGAAGTAAATAAGAACTATTGAATAAAATGAATAAAATATGAATATGTTTTTCGTAAATATTTTAGTACTCACGGCAAATAGCAAATTGAACAAGAAAACTGAGTATTTAGCACAAGTTACTCCACAGTCAACCATTTTTGTTTAGCTGAAAAATAAAATAGAAAATAAAATTTATAACTTCACTAGAAACAAATTGAAATCTGTTCTCGGAAATTAATTTTTAAAAAATCGTAACACCAATCGTACGCTTTTTGCATCACCATTTTTTCAATAGTGGCCATTAAAACAAAAGTGCCATAAATATATAGAATGACATGAAAGTATACAATGGATGAGTTTGTCTGTCGTTCTATTGACCGTGCACCGTTTTTTTTAAAGAACGAAATCCAAACAATATGGTTTCCGTAGACCCATTGTCTTTCAGTCAGTCTCCGTGATATGAATGTGAGTTTTATGACAATGATTATTGCGTGTCATTTAATTGTCTATTTATTGCTTGTTTCTTTCTCTATGGAAAATCACGCTTCAATTGTACCTCTTACATTTTGAAATTGCGTTGGAGGTAATGTCATTTTCTGGTAGCCTAGCTGGTGTCGCATGAATTTTCGCTCAATATGTGATAAAATTAAGATAGGTCAGCCGTCCGATTAACCTCTAGTCAAATAAATTTATTTATTTTGCGATTTACATTTCATTCGTTGCACCGCATCCAATTATCTTTGATGACAGATTGATTGCATGAAATGTGTCTTTAAATTAATTTTTATAATAAAATACGTTCTTGTGATGTAAATATTTATTTTCGAATCGAAAAGAAAGTTCCTTTAGTATTCCGTTCGTGTATATTCGAAAATTCCATTTCATTTCGATGGTAATTTTTGTGCGACCAATAAATCGTCGAAATCGGATTTTAAAAATGCATGATTTCGAAAAGGAAATTGCATATATCAATGTATATGAGATTTTAAAAATTAATCAGTGCAATTTGGATCAATAATAATGGTCATTTGAAAAAGTGCGCCAGATGTCGAAGTAGCCGACTGTTTACTAATTTGTTTACGCTAAGAAGTGGGACATGTAACGTCATATGAATTTATAGGGACAGTAATAATAACTTTTAAAAACTTCGGTTTCTAGTTTTAATTCGCTCCGTATGAGACTTAATCGACAAACAAACTTCAGTTTGCTTCAGCTAAAAGTGTTTTAATGTAAGTTTCATGGCATACCATCGATTCAATGTGTTATTGTAAAATGCATGACACCACGATATGCGCTCACGTCGCTCATACACATGCTGATTGAAGTGGTTTCGTATACAATACACACATTAAAAAGAAATAAGTGCTTACGTTTTCGTTCTCTAACGCTTTAACCCGAACACAGAAAATGCTTTCAATAAATAATTAATAGACGTGTTTCATCAATAAGTTTGGCATCATGCACACCAGCAAGGATATTGAACCGGCCTAAAAAAAGACCAGGGTGCCGTTCGGAAATCATATACACACACAAAAAATGCGTTAAAAAAATATTATGTGAATTATACGAAGGGTCTGTAATTTTCATATCAAAAACAAGTGCTATTCATATTCAAATGAAATGCGCCTACACGATATATACTACCGATCGCCGACAGTGTTTGTGTGTCGTCGGTTTTCGATATTTTTCACTAATAAAAAAAAAAACAGCAAATCGTATCGGAAAAAATCGCGTGCCACCAAACTGAATATATGTTTATGGAAATTATTATAATAAGAGGTTATTGCTACTACACAGTCATATCCGCCATTGTTTGAATGCAACAATTCGTCCCCTTGTGAGCAAGTGTATGTGTCTATATGCGGCGAGCGCTTTACCATTTATAATTGCCGAACAGTTTGTATTTTTTTTTCTACGTTCGATTGTATTGTTTATATAGTGACTAAAACTGTCCCTATGGAGTGGCAAAAAAACAAACCAACAACGGAAGAATTTACATTCCAAACAATATAATGCATTGTGTGTGAGGAGTGTTCTTTTTTATGAGTCCGCGCGCTTTTGTTGATTCTGGTCGTTATAATGCCAGAAATAAATGTTTGTTTCGCACGTTTATTTGTATGTATTTTGCTCTTCGATTCGGCTCACTTTTCACCGATATTTCTTTAACTTTTGGTCATCAGATCATTATCACATGCGTGTATGACATTTTCATGTTGTGCTTTGTAGACCCCCTTCACAAACCCACTGTTTGCACGTGGTGTTGTATTTTCTAACCTGTAACAATGTTGTCGAGACAACCAACAACAACAACAGCGTTAACACGCTTCAACACGAAAAAACCCGAATAAATTTGCTTGAATGAAAATCGATTAGTGCGATTCAAAAATCAATTTGTCACCACTGTGTATACAAATACAATAGAGTTGACTAGAGACGACTTACATTATTCCGACATATAATAAATTCTTGTCCATGCAAAATGCGATTTAATGATCGAAAAATAAACAAAAAAATGAACTATCGTAATAACCAACTACGACGACCCGAATGGAAATGGTTGTATTAACAAACAGTTACACCGAAATAAATGAATATACGTATGTCGCTCAATCATTGTGAGCTCGTTAAATGCGAAATGAAAATCAATACAAAGACGATATAGAGCAGTGCGCGGGCGGTGTATATGGTCGATTTGATTCGAAAAAAAAAAAAACCATTCTCCTCTATTTTACCGTTGAAAACTAAGGCGCAATAGTAGCATTCGTTTTTGTATTCAATAAAAATGAAACTTATGACATTTCCCTTTTTTTCCCATTAAAAGAGGGAAAAAAATGCTTCAACTACTTTTATTATTGAAAAACTTATGTGTTTCGTTTTTGGTTCTTGTAATACTGATTTCGTGAATTTTACAACGATTTTTTTCCCGGAAATACTTCCAGAAATTCGACTGTGTGAATCAGTTGTGTGACTAACGACACAGAAAATTGCTTGAGATTTGCCTAGAAACATCATCTTTTTCTCTTGTGAAATTAATCACGAAACTTATTATTATTTCATGGTCTTATCTCTCTTTTGTTTGTAGTTTGAAAGTTGGTGGTTGATATCGCAACGAATACATCAACAAATGATATCGCACATTGTCGTGGCTATACCAAATAAGTCATTCGATTTTTCTGTATTTATTCTTTTTTATTTACTTTTTTGCAGTGTTGTTGTCACTGACGATGTTTTTAAGGTTGGGCTGATTCATTACTGCATTGAGTTTATTGCAAACAAAACAGAGTTAAAAAAATCACATTTGACCCAACTCACCCTTATCAGCAGAGACAACAGATAAAAGATGTTTGTACTCAAATTCACGCTCGAAATGCAATTATTAGCGAAAACAACTCTCTTTTCATTTGTTTGATATCATCCAATTTAATTTAAAGTCAACTCACACTGAAATCGCAAAGTGTGAAATATGAAATGCGCGACGAATGAATATGGAAATCGATTCTTTGAGATCATTTAAATAAAATCGATGTGAATTTCATGTGTGTGTGTGCCGGCAACATTTGTTGTAAATGTGCAGTGATCGTCGTATGATTATTCTAAAGAAAGCCTCTAACAAACAAGCGGAAAGTCAAAACAAAAAACCAAACAACAATCGCTTTCACCTGTTTCGAAACCTAATGTTTTGGAATGCATGAAATTATTCTCTCATCGGTTCCATTGTTTTTGTGCAATTGATGAAAAGAGACAATGCCAGCTCGAGAGAGCTATGAGTATGCTCGCATCATATATAGACCGTTTTGATGGTATGTATATTTATACGAAGTAATCTGACGCCATTCTGTAAACACGTACGCAAGTATACATCGGAATAATTTTCATCATTTCAATATGTAATGAAGCCAAAGACGAACAACAACCACAAACGGTGTACACGAAAGAAGAATGCACAATACTTGCGTTAGATAGTGTGTCTATATATGACGGTGTTGTGTTCTTTATTTGGAAACCGTCTTTAACACTTGGCGTATTTTCGGCATGAAGAATTTTCATGCGTAATAGTCTGTTGTAGTGGATGGCACACGAAACAAAAAATTGTAATTTTTCTAACGTTCCATTGCGCTCATCACGCACTTTGTTCTTTGTTACTTTGACACAACAATAGCTTAAAAACTATTAGAATTTCGTTAGATTGCTTTTACTCTATATATAATTTAATGTGTGTTTGTTTCGTAAATTGCCCCGCATAGCGAAGAAAACAACAACAAAAATCAAACACTTTTCACACAGCGAAACGAAACGCGCTAATGTTTCTTCAATTTTTTTATCCAAGTATTTCTAGAATGTTTAGTTGAAGCCATTCATCTCTCAAGAATTTTACTTCGTGTTTTTTTTTCTCTTCTTATTCTCATTTTATTGACAGTAACTTCACTGTCGATTTGAACTTTAAGACGTGTAGCAGTGCAGAGAGAGAGAAAAGCAGAAAAAAGCAATTATTTTCCATGGCCTCGGTGTCATCGGTTTTAGATTTGCTTGATTTTTATTTTATTTGAATTATAGTTTCAGCCATTTGCTGTTTTCCAAACTAATTTAGTTAGAAACAATAAAAGTGACAAAAAAATTGCCTTATCATAAACTCATTTTTGCCTTTGACGTGATGTAACTTTAGCCTTTGATTTGTTGTTTGGATTTATTTAATCGCATCAAATGACACGAGTCAATTATATTTTCAATTATAGAATACTGTCGAGTTAATCTCATATTTCAGCTAAAAGTGATCAATAAATAATGAATCGACATCAAACGCAACAAAACAAACATTCAAATCAGATTTTTTTATTCTATTTCAATCTACTATTGATTATGTTGTTTATTTTTACCTTATTTTGCGTTGTCGTTGTTGAAATTCACTCCGTCGATGTGTTGCACACAAATCAATTACCGTTAGTTTCACAAAAATTACACCAACTTTGATAATGTTGCTTTTGACAAATAGACTTCAAATGAACAATTCAATTGGATTTGAAGATTGCAATTATCACCTTTTACTCTTTTTCACTAGCAAACGAATTCAATGAGAAAATTATTTTGATTCTTTCTTTTTGAAATGCTTTTACTGCTGGTGCGTACAATACGAAAATGTAGACTATTCCAAGTGATACACAAATGCCGACTGAACAGCGACTCTCTTCAAAACAAGCTATTTATTTGTTGGTGCTTATTTTGTTGAGCACAACCATAACACTTCTACTCTCTCGCACACACTCTCTTTGCTGTTGACAATCTCTCTTGTAAGAACTCTCCATCTGTCAAATGTTTTGTCTAATACACAACGTCAATTGTGAACGAGTCACAACTCACAATGCAACGATGTGTTTTTGTTCTTGAACAAAACAAAAAGTTTGACTCTTTTAGTAAATTCAGAATTAGATTTTTTTCACAATCTATGTTCAAAGTTCAGGTATTTTCAGATGAAAAAATGAATTTATACATTTATATCACTGAAGTGACTTGGTCAAAATCACAAATTTTTTGTTTGATTTTTTCGTCACTTCAGAATTGTTTTTTTTTTCTTATTCAACTCTTTTGAATATCTAATTAAAAATTGAGTGAGATTAAGATAGCAAAGCGTGAAGTATTTATTCATAATAAAAATTACACTTTATTCAATTTTCAAACAAAATTGGTATTTATTTTACACTTTTTAGCAAATTCCAATTAACAAACTAATTTAAACTGGAAGAGTTTAATCTTTCAACATTATAAGTGAAAAATTGGTACTTTATGCACTTTACTTACTAAAAATCTGATATCAGTAGTGTGATATAGTAAGACGCAATTACTAATTACTAATTACTAATTGTCACAAAAAGTGATATATTATTAGAGGTAGTAAATAATAGAGAAGAAAAACAAGTAAAATCGACACATTCTTGTAACTTATAATTATTTTTTATTTAAGAATAATAGATAAATAAATAAATAATAATAATTGTTTCGAAATTTTGAGATATTCTCTATATCTATACCTTTCTTTGTTGCTGGAAAAAAGTGTTGACAAATAATTTGAACAGAAAAATCAGTTTCGTAAATAGGCTTGATTTTGAGTTCTCATTTAAAATCCATTATGAGAAAATTTCACGTGAAACATTTCTATCCTGAGTATGTAACCCATCCTTCGAAGAAAAATACAATTAATTTATTTGGCGAAGGACATTGAAATACGAATATCCTCCATTGACAACCTAATATTGAAGACAATTTGTATTTACTCATTATTTGCTTCACATTTTATCAAAATTACTTTCTTATAAGTTTCGCGGCTTAAAATGGTGTTTCCAAAGCCTTTGAGGTATACAGGTTGTTGAGTGGCGATAATGATCATCGGCAGAATTCTTTGAGTTTCAATTGTCAGCTCATACCTAAGAGTTGATCAGAAGAAAAGAATGGAAAAAATGGAAATTAATCAATGCGTAATGGATCGGAATAGAAAATGAATCGAAGGAATGGGTCAGGAATGGTAGAGTAATGGAATAGTAATTTTTAAGTAAGTATGCCTCGCTCATACCAGTCACTTTTGAACAATTCATCATCGATTGCTTCAAAATGCCAGCAAACTCCTTCGCCAAAGTTACAACAGAAGAATGCAATAGCGAATGACCAAAAAATTAAAGTGACCGGACGAATGTACTCCATTAAATTTTCGATATCTCTAGCCTACATTCAAATATAAAAAATGGATTCCATCATAATCATGAACTATAAATATAAACTATGTTCTTAACCAATTCCATCTGAACGACCAAAAGCAGTGTACAGCAAATCGTCGAAATGCTCCAAAGTAAAACAAATGTGTTTATAAATTCATACAAATCCATAACTCCTTGAACCAGTCTAAAATATTTAAATGGACATTTAGAACACGTTAAATGGATTTTGATAAATTTACGCAACTCTTTCGCATCCCAATGAAATTTTATGAATTCCACCAACTGTCGCTTATAAGTGACATGTCCCTTTCGGTGTTTGATACTTTTATTCAGAATATTTAATTGTCCCTTCAAATCGATGGCAAGCGATGTCAATATTTCACATGATCCCATTATCATGATGACATTACAGAGCCCAATATGAATAATATAATACCACATTGAAAATTGAATTGCGAAAGCGCAAAAATATCCATAAATTGATCTCCAAACGAAAGGGAACCTTTCAAAAAGTTGGAATTGATGTAATACATTTTATCGATTCTTAACATAAACTTACCACATCGGAAAGGGCAAACCGAAAGCATCGCCGCCCAAATCAGTTTTAAAATATAAGTATAAGGTTTTGGTAAGATTTGGCAACATTAAACCAGGGATTGTAATCTTGGTATAGGTAAAGTAAAGTATTTCACTCCATTTTTCGATCTTTTCATTTGCCTTAATATAAATAATAGCCGACATTTTATTTGCTAGACCTGGAAAGATGCTCATAAAATGATTTTATAACGATTTTATTGACAAAATGATAACACCCACGTTTTTCTATGACACTCTCAGCGTGCTCAATCAATTTAAGTATTTTCTGAATGAATTCCACAAACATTAAAACCATAATTAATATAGTGACCAATATGTAAAACGATTCACTATATTCTCTCAGGTTTTTTGCTTTGAAGAGAATAAACAATGTGGTAAAAAGAAAACAAACTCCGAATAAAATCAAAACGAGAATATTTTTCGGATTGAAAGGTCTTTTATTGAGAGCAGTTATTGGACGGATGCCCAGGATTTGAAGTGGTTTTTTAATCTGTTCAAAGATTTTCATGGTGTTTTAGTACGTCACTTTGATTTGAATTTCGAATGATGACTGATAAGAATTCATCTGTTCGCTTTTCAACTGTTTAACTGACAAATGAACGGTAACATTTGTGGTTTTATCATCTGTTTAAACTCTTTAATTAAAAACATCACGGAAACATCAAGGTGTATAATCAAATATTATTCTTGAAAACGTGTGAACTAACCCATTTTCATTATTACTTCCATACAAGCTTCCATATACAACAGTTTAATTAAGTGACTGAAATCTTATTAATAAACTTAAGACTTCGATTTTCAATGAATCATTTTGCGTGATTTTATAATAATCGAAATGTCAGACGTGTTATAAATCACGAAATCTGAAATGTGTGTTTGAAAGGACATTTTATCTGAACTCAAGCATTTCATATTTCATAGAACAAAAGTAACATAGAATTTGGATACAAAATATATGAGAGGCTCTCAGTGCTCAAGAAAGCGGAATAATACATAAAAAAAACCATAGTTTTGGTGGTGTTTGTTTGAATATATTTAAATTTTTGACGGAAACACTGAGTGCCCCGAATATGTTTCTAGGGTCTAACATTTTGTATGTACGTAAGTGTTGCTAAAAAGAACATTTATAGATTTACATTATTGCGTCATTATATAACAAACTTGAATAATAATTACGAAAAAATCGATAAATTAAGATTTATTTTTTCTTATCTTAGCTACATTTTTTTCCCGTTACATTTCAAATTCTCTATCAACTACGAAACATTAAGATTAATAGGCTACCTGATGATCTTCAAAAAACGACTAAATCTACGGTGGTTTCATTTCTTCTTTTAAAAATGATTATAAATTCCCATTTAAGATTTTAATTTGAACATTTATTCTGATCATTTTCATTTCCTATAAAAGTGTGTTAGTTAAAAAAAAATAAAAAATTACAAAGGAAAGTGTATACTGAAAAGTTAAAATCTGACATATTTCTATATCTATATATATATCGTTTGGTTCACTGTGAAAAGAAACCGCTCATTTTTTCTTATTAAAAATAAACGACAAACTCAACTATGGTGATTGTGCAATCGACTTGAAGCGAAAAGAGACTTTATGCTCGAGGACATTGTGCTCGTTACATTTTCCCCTGTGATTTGTGTTAAATAAGCTGTAATATATCCATTGGTTTATCCATGGGTTTAATCTATTCACATGCTAAATTTGTGAATCACAATGAATTTGTTCATTATTTTGATCGTGGCCGATCATTGGTTGTATCTCTCATATTTTATTTTTTTGGAGATAGTCGTTCCTGCGTTGAATGCTATTTATATTTTCGTTATATTAGTATATTTGTGTTGCATTTGACCATTTTCACAAAACAGTTTCCTTCACATATCTGAATCACATTTAACTATGGCACATGAGCTGATTATCGCAAGCATAGGACAACTGAAAACGGTCAAAGTGGCTCGATGATGATCAAGACAATTCACCAATCGGCGCATTCTCAAGCCAAAGGGTGTGAATGAAGCTGTACAATCCGTCGCTTACAGACACTTTGTATGGTGTTGGATTTAGCGTACGCTTGTGATCGTTACGCAGTGAGCGAAGCGATGACTGAACCTTTTCACGAACTTCTTCAAGCGTTGGCAACACCTGACGAACGGCTCCATTTTGCCAATAAATCTGAAGAAAAAGCGAGAAAAAATGATTTTTTTTTTTTGAAAAAATGTGCAATATATACTTTTAGTGGAAATTCTCACCTTATACATTGATTCAACTCTCGATGGAATAACGTAGGCTCGTTTCGACTCTTGGAATGGATGCCTGCACAATACTTTTTGGCCCACTTCCGGTGCTGGTTCACCGTTCTTTTGTATTAAATCGATCAATGCATGACCATCAGCGCTGTACAAACGGAACACATTCTTATTTCCTGGCATTGTTACCTTTTTTTTTATAAAATCGATATAAAATCTTTAATTAAGTTATTATTTTATTAAGAAAGCTAAAAACAAACCTTTTCCACATCTTGACTCAATTTAATTCTTGCTTGACCATTTATCTCTACCAATTTGTAAACACAACCCAATGCTGGTTGACGTTGACATGTCACTATTCATTATTCAGAGAAAAAAAAAAACAAATTTATAAAAAAATTGTCTGTTCAAAATAAATTCCATTGATGGAATTTTTTTCGTTATCATATTGAAATTCAATCAAATTGAAATTGAATTAAAGATTCGTGTTTTAAATTCAAATTGAAATATTCACCCAAATGCGTTCCAATGCCGAAGCAATCGATTTTGTGTCCTTGTTCGTTCAAACTAAGTATAGTGTCTTCGTTGATATCGTTCGATGCCACAATTGTTATCGATTTAAACCATGGAATTTTAAATTTCGATGCCACCAAATCGAATGTGTCACGTGCCAAACAAGATAAATATGCCAAATCTCCGGAATCAATTCGAATACCAACCGCACGATATCCTTGATCATTCAATGCCATTGCCACCGCACAGAAATTCAATAAGCCCGACCTGATTAAAACAACGAGACACAAAAATAAACATTTCAAATTCGATTCGACGGTCTTATTATTATTCGATTTATTTTTGTTGAATGAATAAAAAAGTGTTTTCTACAAAACAGTCGAAACAAATCGATACATTTGGTTTTACTTCAAACACAATTAGCATTCTAAATTTTAAATATTCTATATATTTTATACATTTTCAACATATTTTGTGGATACGATGATATCAAAATGGCACAACAAAGATTAGTAGCTACAAAGTTTTTTGCTTTTATGGACATATACATGTATAACCAGGGTATGGCTTGAAAAACAAAATCGATGAAATTATCTCTATCGCTGTACGTCTCAATTATAGACGACAAAAAAGCAAATAGCAAAAGAAAAATAAGTAAAAACCCAACTTCAAGACGTGTGTGCAAAGCGAAATGTGTGCATTCAACACGTGAGTGCAATAAGTATATATGTGTAAACGGGTTCGATATCATACGCCCATGCAAGTGGTTGACCTCTATCTTGAATTCCATTCGAATGTATATGAATGTGATGAATTTTTTTGAATTAATGTGGCACAATGAAGTATTACTATTATTGAAAATCGATGTATGCGAAAAAAAAATTAAATTTACAATTTATATACATTTAATGAGTTTCCAAGCTGACATAAGGGTATTGAGTTAGAGACATGTGATTTTTTGTTTTGCCGAAAGAATTGAATGAAAAAAAAAAAACAATATTTTTGCCCCAAAAAAGTTGAAACTTCTCCATTTATACGTAGAAGGATGCATGCCGTTAGAATCATATTCATGAATTTCCGACAATCAAATATCATTTAAATCAAGATTATTTACCTGATCGATTTGCGATATTCATTTAGTTTTTGAACGACCGTTCGATTGTCGTGCTTATATTGGCCATTTATTATGTTACCGTTTTGATCAACGGACTGTGTATTTTTGGTTGTATCAACTCCATTGGAGACACCATTCGTGTGATTCACATTCATATGAATTGGACTTAAAATGTGATTGTTTGCATCGCCGTTTATATTTTCTTTGGCACTATTCAGAATAATCTTTTGCGATTTCGTTCGGATGTACACTTTTTTCAGTTTATCCTTCTTTTCTGATAAAATACTATCAATTGTGACAGATTTGGTGTGGTTCTTGCTGAGATTTAATGTTGCATTTAATTTGCTGGAATTTTAATCAGTCAAAGTTTACATGAAGTATATTTACATAAGTTTTGTGACAAATAATGTGGTCGAATGGATTGAGATGAGATCAATTTGCAAATATGATGGGGAAGTTCTTTTTGGTAGAGGGAGAGGGTGTGCAAGAAGTGTCAGCAATACACACAAAATACAAAAACTCACATACAATACAATACTTTAGCCGCCTTGAACTTTTAGTGTTAGTTGCATATAGATAAATTTTGAAAGCCATCATCAAAAACATAAATAGCCAGTACGAATGTAAGTTAAATGCATATCACAAATATTTGAGAATGGGAAGAAATGTGCATGTGTGGCTACATAAAAGAAAATACCTCTTAACATCGTACGTATCAACTAACGCCATAAATCCATCGGGAAAGGCGATTGCAAACGATACCATGGCTGCTAACTCACCCTCACTTGATTCATCAGGCGACACCTCCAATAATCGTGACAACGGTTGCAGATGCGAAACGGCCAAATCAAGTAAATTCTTTACGACACCTGAACAAAATGACGGAAAATGATTTTTTCTTAAATTTCAATCGGAAAATGTGATCAATGCTAAAAAGGGAGCATTTTTCGTCTTTGTTTTGTTGTTGTTGTCATTCATAAATACCTGTAGATTTATGCCGCAGATTAACTATTTTGAGCTCGTCAATACCGGAAAATGAAGTAATGTAAGCATGAGCATGTGTTCCCTTTACTGGAATGTTGAACCATTTTCCAGCCAAAACATTCGATGTACCATCAAAACCACCTTCAATGCAAAAGTAAAAAAAAAAAAAAAAAAATAGTAAACATACACAAATATGTAGAATTTTTTTTTTGGTGTGGTGTAAATTTTCCCCCTGATAAACAATTTCAAATTACTTTTGCTTGCTCTCTTTCCCGGAAAAACATGCGAAACTAAACCTTTCCTGCAGTGCAAGAGCACACGCAATAGCGAAAACTTTTTTTATGAACTTTAATAAAAAGTGAGTAAACTTAAAAGAAAGTTTGAGGTATCCGCATTTCAACATAATAAAAAAAAAGTTCTTTTCATATTTATAATATTCATTTTCAATTTGTATCAAAATAATTTTCAATTTACTAAAATCCGTTTGGAAATGTTCGATAAATTTGTGGATAGGAAAAAATCGATGAAAGAACCTCGAACACCGACTGAAAATAACCGCTCAAGATCAAGTTTAAACGGTGCATGTTTGTTCACGAAAAACAGGTGTCGAGCGACACACATCGCGGCAATTGATTAATCGAATATTCGGTGTTTAAAATGCTGTTTTTTTTTTTCGACGATGGCCAAAACCAGGCTCGAAACTGCCGATTAATCAATGCACTGCCAAAGATATATTGGCAGTTCATGGTTAACACGAAAAGTATCCAAATTGCGCTTATTATGACTTCTAAGAATTGATTATTGTTTGTGATGTTTCGGTTTTACGGCATTACCCGAAAAAATTTCAAATTCTCAATTTTTGTTTGTTTTGTTCAGAATTATCATGTTGTCTGATTTATGTACTGTGTTTTACCATTGTTTTGCACGGTTTCTGACAAGTTCGACAGAGAGACTCGAGGCACAATGAGTTTTGTTGCACGTACAGCAAATCGTTCGGTACCATGATGTACCGGTCTCTTGGCATGAACTTAGCGGTCGCGCATTCAACACCACACATTTCTCATGCTCAAAGCTTCCTTGTTTTGCTTGTCTTCATTGCAGATATGATCTAATTTCAGATATCATTGCTTTTGTGGCGCGAAAAAAAGCGTTTCTCATTTTATTTTATTTCTATTTGGCTTTTTGTTGTCGTGCGGTTGTTTTATGAATTTGTATCATGATAGTGTGACTTTTAATTGTGCACACACGTCAACACTAAATCATTTAGTACGATGAATATTGATTTTTGGTATTTTGCAATGTACACATCAAGGTGCTTTGTATCTGAAACAACCATTTTTATCCTAGCTTCCGAGGTTGGTTTCAGTTTTTGGTTGATTCCGAAAATTTTCGATATTTTGTATGCTTAAAAATGCGATGTGACATGATGCAAACAATTGAATCGTTAACAAACCAACGTAAATGTTTTATATGACATTTTCTAATGCAAAACATACATTTTACATATGAATGTTTTTGGGTTTTGATTGTCTCGCTGTAAATTATACGATTCAAATCATTAGCATAGGAAATACGGACGGTTCAAAGACTTTTGTTAGTTTTAACAATAATTAACGCGATAAAATTGCATCCATCTCATTTATTATATTTATCGTTCACTTTGTATGTACAACTTGATTCATGTGAAATTCGTTTGATAGATAAGGAATTATCACACAATACAACTGGATATATATAAATAGCCGCTATCGAGTCTGAAAAGCTCTTACAGTCATTATTTTGTGAGAGAGGGAGTCTTATAGTTATAAAAGTTTTTTATATTCGATTACCGCCGATTATGGTTTAGATATGTGGAAATTATTGCTTTTTGTGACGTTGTAAAGCTTTACAACTCCTCTAATTCTGATGGAGACATCAATTTGGCATCTCTTGTAGTGAAAAAAAACTACGAACGCATTCCCCTTATTCACACCATATAAGTGTCAGAGAGTAAAGTAAAATATATCTCTATCTGTATACCGTATTTGTATGATTAAAACGATATCATCCAAATTAAAAATAAATGATGCAAGCAAAAAAGACTCGTAATGTTTATCTTTCGAAGTGTTATCTGTCAATAACCACTGTTTCATTTATATGAATTGATAATCATAGAGTGTTGAATAAATCTTTAGAAACTCACCCACATAAGCGTATTTGGACGCTGACAATCCACCTAAAATGATAGACGAATTTAAGAAATATATTTTGTTGAAATATTAAATTGTAAATCACCATCCGGCCCTTGTGCACGTCTCAAACCGAATTCCAACAATTTTACATGTTTGCCCGCAACCATACGATATCGCGCTGCATTTGTGGCCATCAAACTATCATTATTCGGTGATGATTACAGAAGAAATTTTAAAGAAAAAATGTTGAGAATGACAAGAGTTTAAGAAAAGTGTTATGAAGAATATAATAGATTTGGATAGGTCTCATTATTTTGAGTGTTATACTTTTAAAAATTCACTTTTCTGCATTTAAGATTAATGATACTGTGAGATAATAGAGCCATACCTTGCATAATTGACTAATGTCAATAGCGTTGTTTCCAACAGCTGTACGATGATAAGTGGTCCTTCTAACTTGATGAGGGGCACTCTGAAAATAAGTCATTCGGGTTATCTCCCAATTTAGAATGCTGATTTGCAAAACGGAAATTTCCGTAAGTATTGTTCCGAGTTGGAAAAACAGCAAACGATAAACGTGTTATGTTGCGAAGAGAGATAATTGTTTCAAGCGAGCACTTACAAGAAATTGCAATATTATGACGTAATGTTGACGTCCAATGAGATAATTCTATATTTACCTTGGAAAAACAACGGACCCCTCTGGAACGGCAGACAATAAAACATCATTGGCGGTCAAATCTTTTAAATAGTCAAAGAAGTCATTTTCAATGCTATCGGGCAGAGTTTGCTTCAGATATTCGATGTCTGAGTCGGAATATCGAAAATTTGCCAAAAACTTCAGACATTCATCCAAACCGGCAAAAATCGTGAATTCACCATCGAATGGATTTTTCCGAAAGTACAAATCGAATACAGCATTATCATTCATTTTACCAGACTTCCAATAAGCGTATGCCATTGTGATTTGATAGAGGTCTACAAAGATAATGTACAATAGAGAATAAAAACATAAGAAAAAAAAATATTTGATTACTTTGAAATAGAGTTAGATAAATTTGTGCCTATTGAAATATGACAACCGACGTTTGCTTTATTTACTCAAATGTGAATGCGATGTCATTCTTTCTTAATTATTTATTTGAAAAATGCTTTCTAAGCCAAATAAATACACAAAAAGTAGCTGCGTAAGATCGGCGATGGAAATGTCATAAAAAAATTTATTGTTTAATTTTGGAGACATAAAAAATCTGCCGATTTGACAGAATGAAAGAACTGAAAAAATGTTGCAAGTGAGTTACGCAATAAATATTTTTAATAAGCACTAGAAATCGACTAATATTTTATATCAATCCACTTAACTACGCCATGAAATTACTTTGAATAACGACAGCTGAAAATAAATGCGGAAGTACTTACCGGTAAGAAGTGGCTGCACCACTCCATTCTGATTCAGTCCGATTTTATCTGCTGCCATATTCACTATTCACTTCACTTTTAATTGGATTTTTCGTTTTTCAAAATTTCAATTGGGGATGTTTCTTTTTCTTAATCTCTTCCAAAAATTCCAAACCGTTAATTAGCTCGTTTGAAATATTCGTTGATTAAATCGATCGATCACTATTTCTTCTTCTGTCTCTGCTGTAAAATGCAAATATGCGGAAAAAAATGTGTTGCAATTAATTTGATATCACACTGGCGCGGTCTGGAAGTGGGGGTCCAGGAAATTGAATCACACAATACGTAAAGTCCGTGCAATAGGAGTTCTAATGCTAAAGTGTTGTGAAAATCGTCGAGCCTTCGGTTTATATACACACTCGATTTTAATTACAACGGACCTGCGAACGAAGTCGAAACGACTAAATTTTGAATCGGTTGCTGTTGTTTGTTCGCTCTTTCTTTCAGCTCAATTGACTATCGACAACAACAATGCATAGCAGTGATATGTGCAACAAACACCGAAACAATGTATCGTTACAACGAAAACACGCGCATACACGGAGAAAACATGTTCGTACACACAAGAGTGCCTTGAGAGTGCCTATCCAGTATGAGAAACAAGTGAGCGGTAACGATGGTTATTATTTGCAATATTTAAATCAACAAACCACACACACACACTACCGATAACTATTTCATGTATCTTACGATAATAATTCACATGTTTGTACTCTGTTCGGAACGAATACGGCAACAACAAATCAAAAACAATTTTCGTAACAACGACAGTTTAGTTGTAGAGATGTTTACTATTTCTATTCAACTGTTTTGTCCGATTAGCTTAAACCAAATAAATCGACACGAGGCAGAATAGATGTACACGTATCAACACACGAGAGAATTATAAAAGAAGAAAAAAATAGTACGCGACAATGATTTAAATCATGGGATTTAATTTATGTACACATGTATTAGGTCGTGCACTTTTCAACAATGAACGAACTAAAATCGTGTGGAATTCGAGATGTACGAATGGCTTTGCTTTGAATTTTTTCTCCTCATGCCTTTGGAATTACGTTTATTTTTCTTTGTTCGACGAATACTTTTTATAAACTGTACGTCATTCGCTGCTGATAGATTTCAAATAGATGATTACTCGAAGTTTATTTTTTCCCGATTTTAAACTGATAACATTTTAAAAAAAATTCATAATTTTGTTTTACCCCCATTTGACACCAAATAAACTTTATGTAAATTAATTTCAAGCTGAGCAATTATCAACGATACCGATAATGACCAAGAAATTGCTCTCTTTCTTTCATTCACGCACTTTCACTTTTATCAGTCATTGTGTCATGTCTTGGTTGTTATCAAAAATGTGTCATTGTTATTTTTCACCGAAAAAAATATTCGAAATTTTCATGAATTGCGATTCAGATTTTTTTTCTCTCTCTCTCTTCACATTCGATGTCAATCCTTATCATACAATTGCTTGGCACTATCAATGTGTCGAATTACGTGCTGCAAACACTGTGATTTTTCTCTATTGTCGCTACACAACACCGCTAACGAATGAAAAATTTCACTCCGAATATCGATTAAACACACATGCAATTTAAGGTTGTGTGAAGGTCACATTATTACTTACAAATGCCCATCAAAATTCCACACCAAATATGCACTACACCATTCAATTTAGCTATGTGACAATTGCTCATTCACCGGCATTCATAAATTTGTTGCACATGAATACTTTCTTCTTTTCGATTTCGATGATACAACTCCGGAACAACACAACGCGAATCGCGCTCTCACTCACTCTTGGTTGTCATATGAATTTGAAATTATGAGTGTCTGTGCTTTCATATGACGTGCATTTTGATCAGTGTTGCCATTATTTGACAACTCTGTCGTGTTACGTCATACATGAATTTGACAGTTCACACCAATAACACTGTACACACACAAGACATACAACGATGAAAAACAACAAAGATTCTCGATTATCGAAAAACAGATGAATTTTGAATTAAAAAAAAATGAAAGACCTGCATCTTTGAACGAGGAAATATGTCAAATTTTGAATTTATTTGAATTGCTTATTGATTTTGAAATGAGTTACAATGATATTGTAAATATATTTAAATATTATTTTTTTTCAACGACAATAACAGTTTAACACAAAAAAGCTGAATGCCATGATTTTGTTGAAATATAAGTAAATTGTTTATGCTTTTGAGCCCATTTGTTCTCCCCCCTTCCCAATATCCCAAAAACCAAAGACACAAAACAACAATGAAATTCTGTTTTTCATTCATTTCATTATTTCAGTAGAAGAACAATTCAGGAAAGTTATTTTCATAGATGGATTTATTCGGTTGATTTGATTTCATCTGTTCACTTGGTCCGATGATTTGTCGTTCGACTGCCAATGAATTGAATAAATCACTTAATCGCGATTGAATCACATCGTGTTTTGGTTTTGTTCGTCGGACCAAATCTTCAAAGTTTGCATTACGGAATGTGTCCACCAATTGTCGTTGTGACTCAGAATGTTCACGTTTTGTTGCTTCGGTTGGTTCGCCCAATACACGTTTCATTGCATCAAAATTAAATTCAGATGTTAATAATTTTCGTTGCACGCCAGGTGAACTGTTCACACTATCGGCATCGTTAAACGATTGAATGTCACCAGAACTACCGTATGACGTTGCAACCGAATGAATATGTGTCGGATCAACCCATGAATGTTTGGCACCACCTTGATTTGTTGAATTTAAAATGTATGGTGTGCCACTTTGCAAACGTCCCGCTTCAATGCCAGCACTCAGTAAACATTCGGCCAATGCCATCTTGGGGATTGAAAATAAAATACATATTTAGATTTCGATGAGGTTCAAATGATGAAAAATCATGTCACCTTATCCATCATCACTTGTGGAATGTCCAAATTGTACCGTCCACTCGTCTCAATCAATGGTGGTAGCAAATGTGATGATTCAACAGCTCGATCGGCTACAATTTTATCGGTGTACTCTGACAAGCTGTTGATACCAGTCACTCGACACACCAGCGACAACAATGAAATCGAAATAATGTGCAAGTTACTTCGATGCGTATCCGATAGCTCTTGTGTATTGATCGCATATTGCTGAATTCTATGAGTGGAAATAAAATTGGATTAACTAATGACCGAGTTTTTTTTTTAAAACCACCTGGTTGGTAAAACTCACCCCAAAATAAACAGCAAAAACTCTTGAATCGTTTCGCCGGTGCACATTTCAACGACCAGTAATGCGGCCGTATTGAATGTAGCTGCCATTGCCTCAGTATTCATGTCAATCAATAATGTGTCCAATAATGCTTGCATAATATTCGCACCATGTTTGTGTGTGAATATAATATCAGAACGTGATGGTGATTCGAGGCTCAGATCCACATAGTTTTTCGTTTTAATGACGCTCAATGTGACTTGATTTTGATGACGATCCAATAGTGCTTGGAATATTTTCATCACAATCAATCGTGTGGGTAAGTGTTGAGCGCGTGCCATTCGCAGCAATGGTTGTAAGAACGACGATGGGAATGCTTTTTCAAATGAAATTGTATGGTATTGAACGCCGACTTTTAGTAAACTCTTTAGGAGAATTGTTTGTAGCAGTTGATCGGCTTTGCTGGTTTTAGACAAGTCCGGCACCGTATTCATGATGAACAACATGATTTCTATCTTTTGATAGTCCGGATGATGATTTGCAAATTCACCCAGAGCATTTATTAATGCTTCTTGATATTGTGACTCTTCCAATGTTGGTTCGTTTTGTGTGCTCAATGTACTTGTACGTAAATGCGTTAGCAAATTATTGATGATGTCCAATGCGGATGGACCGACCGATTCACCAGCTGCAATTGCAATGATTTTCGATAACACGACGGCCAATGATGTTTTGGTGCGTGGCGATGACTTTAGATTTTGATCCAAATGTTGCATAAGTGTTTCGACAACCGTATACGAATACTGCGGTTGAATCGATATCATCACTATGCGGAACGTTTGAATGGCAAACTGATTCGGCACCCACAATTCGTGACGATCCAAATGCCTGTGTAATGGAATCATTTGTGATTAATGAAAAGCAATGGAATTGTTAATAGAAAAAATGATTTTTGTTGAACGAAAAACTTACATGAGAAGCGGCTTAAGTACAGATTTGATATGAGTGAATGAAGCTCGACTGACTAGTTCACGAAGTACAGATTCTGCCAAAACTGGTGGCGATGAAGCCGATGACTCTTCAGTTGTTGCTATTGGAGTCGAAGACTGTATGGACAAAAAAAAATCGATTTTTTTTTTTTTAGAAACAAAAGATACCGAAGAAGGCAGAATGAAATAAAATAGAAATGGAAAAAAAGTTAAATGAATGCCTCACCATGTTTTGCATGTTAAACAGAAGCGATGGAACAATCTTTTCCATATGCTGTTTGTCCCAAATATTTTCCACCAAATCATCGGAAACCGTTTTTCGGATGACTCCTTGCAAGCCCTTTATTCCAGCAACCCGAATTGAATCGCGAAGTTCAACATTTTCATGGTTGCCATGGCACATTGATGAAAACTTTGAAATGAAAAAATCGTACCGTCGATGATATGACGGCGTGTCTTCTTCGATATTCGCAAAGCGAACAAACTGAAACAAAAGAAAATACGCAATCCAGGTTAATGTCACTCTTTGTTCGAATATCAAAATGATTTCAACAACAAAATGTTTAATTTTTTTCGTGTTTTCGATGATTTATGGCATGTACAATTGTACAAGCAAAAATGCATACTACAAAAATATAATTAATAAAAACTCACCGAATTCGTGGCCAAAATTTGTAAATTTGGATTTGCGTCTTCCATTAGCTTTTGAATCATTCGCAAGAATGACTCGACAAACAAATTTAGTGTTTGTGCATGACACGCCATTAATAGCAAATCCATTGCTTCCATTGCGATTTCCACAAGCCTATCGAATATAGATGTGATTATAGCACTCAAAATAGATATGTATACATAAATAGATTTTTATTCTATTGATCCAGAATTAGTGCAATTTTAACAAAAATAGAAATAAATAGCTAAAAAAACAGTTTCACTAAAAATCAAGGTTAAAATTCCACAATTAAAAATAACTCTGTGAAAATAAATGTCTTACTTGTATCGTTTGCGATGAATATCTTTGGCTGCTTTTTTATACAGATATTCGCCGATTCGATCGAGTTTTTCCGGCGAACTAAGTGAATAGAATGTAAGTTTCTCCATGTTTGATTTAACTAAACCATCTTCTGGATTAACTGGAAAAATATTGTCCACCAGTCGTTGATATCGAGGCCTAAATGCCGAACAACAACCGCAACAACCTTCAAATATCACACAAAAGAAACGAAAAAAAAAAATGATATCAAAATCAAAAAACGTTCACTTTTGTTCAGTATGTGATATTTTGAAAATGGAATTTATATGTGCACAAAGAAAGTGGAGAATGATGACGGTACACGGACTTTTTTTTATAGAAAATATAGCATTAGCGTTGAAAATCGATAAAAATTGAACTTTAGAAGACGAAAATAACTTACTCATACTGACTATCGTCGTATTATAGAGAGCAACAAGAGTAAAAGATACTCAGTGTTAAAAAAAGAGTCGCTTGAAAAGGGTGAAAGTGAATGGAAAACAAATAAAAAAAAACACACAAAGGAAATATTAAGTTGTTATGGTACACAAAAGGGCAAAATCTATAATTAATTTGTTGGTTCCGTTTTTACGTCCGTCTGAGCTAGATTGTTGGACGGAGTGACACACAACAAGAAATTTTGCAGTTGAAGAAAAGAACAACAACTACGAAATACTAACACATTTTTAATCACATACCGTATACGGTACGGTGTGCATACACGTATGACAGTCTCACGTATGGGTATTGGAATCACGACGATAGTGCTAATGGCATTGCCAACAGCATACACGCATACATATTTACATTGAATGATGTCGAAACTAGGTGACTCGACCACAATACAAATACAATAAAAAAAGACAGCGAAAATATTGGAAAAACGGACACCACTGACATTTAACTATTTCTTGATAAAAAAACTGACAAATCAGAAAAGTCAAAACAAGTACACAATGCGAGTATTATGAAACCATAATAATTGTTTGCGTAAAATTGAATGACCCAACGGGGACAATATCGTCACTCGACGTGATAAATTCAATTAAATGAACTTGAAACGATATCTATTTCAATTGCTGGCATTTACTTTCGTATTGGATTGAAATTTCATTTGCTCTACTTACAACTTGGTGCCGTGCATTTTTGAATCATGGTATCAATGCATTCCGGGAGCTCGATAGGCTCAAAACAGCATCGAATCATTGACATGATTTTTATCTAAATATAATATGACTCCAACAACAATGTATATATATAGTAAATATACTCAAGAGAACAAATATAGGTTAAAATTTTAAAACGATTTTTTTGTACATATGAATATTTGTTTGTCACTGGGTTTTGTTATTTCGAATTTTTTCTATCACATTATCACAGAAATTGCCAATCTACATCTCGTCTTTTTTCAGTCAAAAATTGAATCGATTTCAATTTAATTTGCCATAATTTGGTTTTCGTTTTTTTTCCTTCTCGGCCGTTGCTGAAATGTTGTTTTTTCGCACGGTCTATGCGCACTGATTATTCAACACGCAGTCAAATACATTCATTGGTCGACCGATAAACAAAAATTCCTATGAAAACACACAACAGTTCATGGTGTGAGCGCACTCGTGCTTCTGCTTTTGCGTATGTCGTCGTCCGCTGTGAATGTATATGTGTTTGTATTTTTGACACAATGAAACGTCAACTGTCAAATACACAATCATTGATGATGTAAACAATGCTTAAAACCATTTCTCCCTTTGGTCACTTTATCAATTCTAATAGTCTATTAGTGTTCAATCATGTGTAGTTTCAGACAGACCTAATTTCGCTTTTTGAGTAGGTGATTTTTTTGTTTTAAATTGTAAAAAAAATGCAAAATATTGTCCGAAATATTCGAGACCGAGTTCGGATGCTCGGCGGTGTACAAATCTCAATCGATGCAATATTACCGATTGTTTTGTTGCCGTTAATGTTTGGTGTTGCGGCCATTAGTTTTTATTTTATGATAGTGATTTGTATTGTGATGCCATTGTTTTTGGGCTATGCCCAATGGCTTCGAAAATCGTATGCGCCACGTACAAAATTCTTTTTCATGTGGACATTTTGGTCGGCAGTATATTTGTGTTTGATATATGAAATGACCGTGCCATTGATGGAACTGTTGCCAGAAGAAAATTTCATATTTGTCACAACGCTATGTATAGCAGCGTTTTGTTTTTACAAGGTCAGTCCCATTTTTTTTATAACAACAACATCAATTGGCAATTCCAACAATTATCTTAAACACACATGTCATTTTCCGCTTGAATTTATTTTAGACCAGACAAAAAGCACTCGATAATTACGTAGCACCAAAAATGGATGACATCGATAATATTCGTGATACTGATCAAGCACGTTTGCTAATTGACGATGAAGCGGTCGATGAAAATGATCCCTCAAATGACAATTCCGAAAATGACTCCGATCCTTGCGATTTTATGATATCGAAAACAAATAATGTGTGTCCAAAGTGTCGTCGTTACATTCCACCACGAGCATTTCATTGTAAAATCTGCCAACAATGCATAGCAAAACGAGATCATCACAGTGTCTGGTTGGATTGTTGCATCGGCGAATCGAATCACAAATTCTTTCTGGCCGGTTGTTTATTGGCAATGTTTGCATTATTATTCGGTGCAAATCTATCGATGACATCCATTTGTCATCCGTTCTTTGTGTTTCGCATTTTTAGCATAAGCGTCTTACTACCCGACGATTGTAGCGATGTATTCGATCAATACGAGTAAGTTACACATTAATAATATACAACTTCATCTACGTAATTTTCAACAAAATTCACAATCATTGAATAAATAATTTTCAATCAATTTATTTTCAGCATTGCACTTTGCTTTGTCGGTTCGATATACGCTACAGTGATGGCCATCTGCTGTCTCATCATACTAATTCAACAGTGCTATTTAATTCTTAACGGCGTTACGGCGTCCGAATGGAGTCGCGGTGATATAAATCGTAATGGCTGTGCTATGAATTTGAAAGCATTCATTTGTTGCTCACGTTGAAAAAAATTAACTTTACATTCAATAAGGATGTAAACGAATGAGTGCGATGGAGATGTTCCAGTTGGTATTCGTTCGTATTTGTAAACGTTCGCTTACATCGTTATCATTCAATTATTATGGTTCAAACAACTTTATCATTTTCCACGTTACTAGAATAATAAGTTAGTCATTAGTCATAGGACTTTTTGCGCAACCATAAATCAACTATTTATGAGGTTGTAGCTATCGGAAGTCCATAAACATTTTAAAATAAAACTTTTACGCGAACGGTAATTATTTTATTTTTTGATTCGATTGTAAAGCGATAAAAATAATCAATTGTGGTTTGGAGCAATAAAAATATTCAAAAATCTAACTCTCTATCCGTTGAGGTTTTACCTTAACTCGTTCTAAAAAATGTGTTTCGTATTCAAATTATTAGTACAATTTGAAAAAATCGACACTCGTGGTACTTCTGTGGAAAAATCATTGAGTCTCGCGTTCTGTATCCAAATTCATTAGAACAGAAAATTAGGTCAATAGTTTTTAATAATTAAATTATTCAAAAAATGCACAGATGATAGATGAATTTACAAATTACATTCTATATAGCCTAAGGTCAGATGGCCAGATTTCAATTGTATGAAAGTGATTTTTTTCCCTAATATAATGGGCATATTCGTGAATATATCGATTGAAGGAAAAAGTTTAGGTTGTTCGAATTTCATGCAAGTTCAGTTTGTGTAATTTATCCAAAATAATTGCCACTGATTGTCACTATGTTGACTGACAATTACCCAAAATTAGGCCTCGTTAAATATTTAATCTGGTTTGCAGTATTCACTACTATTCAGTCAATGGTTCTGCACGTGAGTGAAAATAAAGTGAAGAATATTTAAATAAGAATGCACAAAGGCTTCGATTAAATACAAAAGGAATGTTAAAATGGCATTTCCCTTTGAATGGTGTTAGATAGTATTATTATTTTTTCGTTTAGTGGTCGATTCTAGTTTAATGGAATTCAAAAAAATTGTTTTTCTTTATTTTAGATAGATATTGCACTTTTACGTATAAATTTTGTTCGATTTTTAAGAAATATGAATGCCAAAATGGGTGTGACCTTGATAGAGTATATTTGCCAAAAACGATGTGGATTTGGCAACCATAAATCCTAATCAACTATAGTTTAAATTAATAATAAAAATCCAAAATAAAATGAAGAGACTGGTCACCGTGGATTCATAAATACACATTAACTTTTTCGTAACGCACACAACTACGTTCTTCTCTACAACTTTGCTGCTCACAAAACTGTCACAATAAATATATACCATAATCTATCTAAAAAATTAGCAATTATTGTCTCAAGAATGATGAAGAAAATCATGTTCAATAAACGATTTTATTGATTTTAATTGTAGTCATTTCTTTTTTATTGACACTGCCCGTATGCAAATAAAACTGTTGGTCTCTCGTTTTGCTTGCCCAAAACATAATGTGGAAAAAAATGTGCTCTGTGGAATCAAATTCGAAATCATGGACTATAGACTTCAATATATTGAAGAGAAGATATGTACGAGGGCGACTATTTAAGTTTCTTCAATATGTATGTTTTAGTATTGCCCGATGCAAACCATTGTCATATTCGTAAAGTTGGACATTTTTCATGACCATTTGACTTAACAGGACGAATTTTAGTTTTGTGGTATGGCCACGGTGTCAGTTGGAAAAGGTCAACTTCGCAAAAAAATGAAATTTACAAAAAAGATTATTTCTCATAAGTTTTCAAAAAGAGCTGCCTGCTCAACAGTATTACTTCCGACTCAAGTCGGGGTATGGGAAGGAAGTACCATACCTTGCCACTGTATACAACTGGTTCACTGAATCCCATCGTCATGGTGCTCGCTACAGTGATCAATTGCGCGATGGTCCTTCGAAAATTGATGTCATCGAGAAAAACTCTGGTGCCGATTGAGTTAGGATCGAAGTTTCTTTTACAGTTAAATTGTGGTATGCCCAAGGATCACAGAGACTCCAATCATTTGGTTCTTCCATGAATTACAACATGAAAAAAATAAATCTTTACGTGTCAACCCACAGTTGCTCAAAAATCGATTGATTTTAATCACATCCAAAAAATCATAACCAATTTGACATAGGATAATAAAAACACGTCTATACGATCGCAATAGAAGCCAAGACATGATTCCAGTAGTTTGGACCTGAAACAAAAACTTGGTTGACTCTCTGAGTCTTCAAACATGAACACAATCGAACAAAAGTTGTTCGTTTGTGAAGTGATAGGGAAAATCGGACCTCATTATTTTACAGTGTTATGTGTCATGTTGCTACCATGCCTTTAGAGGATGAAAGGTCCTTCAATGCTGAATAGTACACAACCATTTGATTGTCAAAAGTCATCACGGGAATATGGAGACCAAAACTCTGAAACTTATAATCCCAAAACATGGCAAAAAGAAGCCCATCAAACAGTCGACTATTTGACCACCCAAAAGATCGAATTGATGCACAATACTCCGTGTACGAATTATTCGGGACCCCTCTGTCCACCAGAGACCAAAATCAGTTGGATACAATATATTTTTCGTACTTGAAATTAGGTGCATATTCAAAAAAGTGCACTTTTTGGAGTGTCATGTTTAAGCTGCTGTCGTAGCCATACCACAAAACTAAAATTCGTCCTGTTAAGTCAAATGGTCATGAAAAATGTCCAACTTCACGAATATGACAATGGTTTGCATCGGGCAATACTAAAACATACATATTGAAGAAACTTAAATAGTCGCCTACGTAGCGGATGAATGTAATCACCGAATATCACAAAAAAAATATCAAAATCGCATTTATTTCTTTTTCAATGAAACATCTATTTATATTTTATCAATTCTATTGTATCATATAAGTATTGATAACAAATGAAAAGATATATCTTTTCAGGCTATAGCCTGTTAGTGGTATTAGCACAATGCAGCAAATAAAATTGTTCAATGATTTACTGTGTAACGAAACAATGTCTGAACTGGTTGATTGTGAAGCTATTGAAATATCAGCGAATTAGTTTAAAACAATCATTCCAACTGAGCAGCAAATATCAATAACAGCGACTGGATTCAATAAATTTAACAACTTTTCATCTATAAAATAGGTGAGGATAATAAATATGGAAATATTAATTGTAAAATTTAAACAGAATTACCAATAAATCCAATTTTTACTATCAAATTGTTGTTACTTTAGAAATCTGACACTCGAAATTAATAATTCTTGTCTATACCTAGTTTTGAGGACCCACTATTGAGGAAGTTTGACACTGTAAATGTATTGATAGATTTTGATGTGAATTTCATGCTTCCATGCAGAATAATGGGTGATTTGGTTATAGAAAACCATTTTTTTCGAATAAATGCAAAAAATGGTCCCAAAATTCGGAGATTATATGTGCGACGCACACAGCTCTGCACAGTGCAGTTGCGTTAAATATCCAGATATTCTAAAATATCTCGGATGGATATCCATCCGAAATACATAGACTGCTAATACTTTATAGTTTTGCACGTAATGAAAAATTATTATGATAAGTTAATAATAATAAGCATTCCCACCAATATCGTTATTAGGATCGGAACCTAATAACGTTATTATGATTTTATTAACTTATCATGATAAAATCATAATAATGTTAATAGGATTCATCTTAATAAATACCGTGGATTCATCTTAATAAAACAAACAATTTTTATTTTTAAAAACGTAAAAAATTAAAATATTTTTATTTCTACTGTTTTAATAATTATTTAATCGGTTTATCACGATTGTGACACAAAAGTGAGGTTATGTCAACCAATTCATTTTTATTGATTTAATATTTTTGAATATTGTGGACAGAAAATCTCACAAAATTAAAAAACAAAAAAAAAATTATTTTCAAAAATGTAAAAAATTAAAATCTATTTATTTCTACTGTTTTATTTTAACAGTTTAACGCAGTTTAATCGATTCATTATGAATTTCCAAACCGTGACGGCCATATTGTCACAAACGTCAATTAGTACTCGGAATACGCATTAGAGGTGTTGTTAGCTACGGGCATGATCAGGCTTCGCATAATAAGTATTAGGATGTAATCCTAATAACATTATTATGATTTTATCATGATAAGTTAATAAAATCATAATAATTATCATCCTAATAAAAATTTATTACGATATCGCAAAACGCAAAACTATATAATACTTATTATGTTTTATCATAATATTTATCAGGATTCATCTTAATAAATACCGTGTTCACTTGATAGCATATTGTTTTTCAGCTAAAAACAATTTTCAACAGATGGCGCTACCTCAGACAAGTGAAGTGACCACGGTACGAGAAAAAAGGAAAGTTTCACTGGCCCAACCTGTAATGCAAGAATGCGATACATTAGTTGCATTTCAAGCCCAGGTAAACAACAGCATGGCCGGCCTATTAATTGCATCGCTAAGCAGCCGCAAGATAGAAATCGAGGTTATTAACGTAAATGAAGAATTCCGCAATATAGGTAGGTATTGGCACTCAACTAATTCAACGAGCTGAAGAATACGCCATCGAAAGAAATATCATGAAACTCACTTTGTTTGTTTCGGATTCTAACCCGAGAGCTAGACATCTATACGAACGCCTCGGTTTTGTTAATTTTATTCATCGTGCTCATGGATCCATGTTTAAAAATCTCAACGCATAATCATGCCTTGGATTTAGAATTAGTAAAATCATACGAACTTTTCCTGAAAATTAATGAATAAAAATTGTATTATAAAATTACAGTAAATATACAGTTCGACATCAATTTTTTTGGACTATATACCATTTTTAGATTGGAAAAAAAAATGTATCAAACTCAGTCATTAAGATCATTTTGAAAAAAAAAAAAAGAAATAATAAAATAAAAATGAAAAAAAAAACAAACAACGACCGATGGGAACTAGTATCGGATATTCCCCATACAAATTAATTTTATCGATTCTACGAATACGACATCTGTTGAAAAAGATACCGATTTTTGTTTCTACTGTTGCTTTGACACAGCTCGAGCGAACTATACAGCGAACTATATAGCTGTATTACAGACGAACTAATACAAAAGAACACACAGACTCCGATCCTGTGTATGCGTATGTATTGTAAATTTTGCACAAGCAGCTACGATTGACGACTGAGTGCAGAATTTGTAATACATACGTATACACAGAATCGGAGTCAGTGTGTTCTTTTGTACGTTCACACGAGCTGTATTAAAACACCACTAGTAACTGAAATCGGCGAGTTTTTTAGTAGATGTCGTATTGGTGGAATCGATAAAGAAAAATCTACGATATTAGCGCTCATTGTCAACGAAATACCTAAATTTTCATCGAACAACTTGACTATCCGTTTATCTTGCTTTTTTCATGCTTATACTGCTGGATCCACTTTGTTACGAACCTTCTTGACTTTTTGATGTGTTTTTCGACCTTCACTATTGACTATTTTGGTCCAAACGGATGCAAATGCAAAAAACTGCTTCAAAACGTTTTGAAAAATGTTCGGAATTCATGTTTTGATTGCATAACAAACACTGTACTGTTTTGAGAACTGTCAAATCTGTTGTGCGCCGTAGCTTAGAGTGTATCTAGCGACACCAAAAATATTTTTAAGATATTTGAAATTTTTGTCTAAAAAATCGATGGCTCTATATATACGTAAAACAACGTACTGTACCTTAGCAGATCACACAAAAAATAAACCTGACAAATCATTTTAGGATTCCTATTAAAATATTAATTTGTAAGGTTTCCTTATAATATGGCAACATTTTATTAGGAAACCTTTAAATAATAAAATATGTTTTGTTTCAACACAGTGAGGTTGGCTTTGACGTTTAAGCGCGCCAATTTATTAGGATTCCTGTTAAAATATTGCGATTTTATAAGGAAACCTAACAAATTCATTTTTTAATAGGAATCCTAAAATAATTTGTGGGGTTTATCTCTTGTGTGATGATCTGGTACTATTTGGTAGTTCTGAAAAGATCTGCAGTATTGTGTCAGAGACAAGGGGCCTGTACAGAATTTGGAATGACCATTAGCCTAGGGGGAGGCCACCAATTTTTACTATACAAAATCAAAGCATACTAGAAGCTACTAGAATATTTAAGAAAGAGAAGAAGCTAAGAATACTTGTGAAAAAATGTTCATGTCGATTCTAGCATATTAAAGTATTGGCAATAAATTTTTTTATCGTGCACTGCGATGCGCTACACAGTGTGCATAGCAGCAATCTGTTTGTGTATGAGAAATGTCAAACTGGTTCACTTCACCCATATAATTCATTTGCGGAGTAATTTTGACGGTGGCGGGACTGTGCGGAGTTTGGCGGAGATGACATACAAACTCTGTGTGTACGAGGGTAACAGCACTTCTATGTGCATCATTCTTACGCAGATGATTAGTAACTTAGCTGTGTGTACGGCTACTAAGATGTTCGTTTGGACAAAATAAATCTATGAACAGATTTGGATGCTATCTCCGCCGAACTCCGCACAGTCCCGTCATCGACAAAATTACTCCGCAAATGAGTTATATGGGCACTGATAAACATAGCTACGAATTGGCATGAGAATATCAGCGCATATTCATCTGCTATTTCGTGATCGTGTTTTTGTGAATTATTATTGTTTCGACAAAAGTATTTCTTGTTTGAAAGTAAGTATACAAATTTACGTCAGTAAAACATTTCTTACATACCATCTCTGTCTCGGTCATGGGTTTTTGGTTTTTTTCCATGTCGTTATCAACGTTCGGATGTGTAGTCCCTATATGATTCTATAGTTGTCTATGCGAGCAGTGAGGCCATGCTAGGGTTGGCACAAGCCCTTATGGGGACATGTGCTCAGAGCCGGATCAGTGGTAATCAGGAGATAAACTGCACCTGAACGAAACATTGAGCGTTCCTTGAGGCCTGCCAAGGTTTTATCGGGACGGGGACATCTACAGCCTTAGCATGGAAGCCGTTTGAACAAGGTGTCAATTTGCCTACTCAGGTACCACCGGAAGCAGACGCCGGCCCATTGCTGTGTTCCAATCCGTGTTCGGTATCAATGCCATGTGTGAAGCGGTCATCGTTGACGGTTTTGGTCCACGAGTGGTATTTTATTTCTCACTTACCCATCGGCATGCACTGGTGAGGGCATTCCTCTATCCGCCACCTGAGGACGCGCCCGATGGAAGATTCTCTAACTCCCCACGTGTGTGTGTGTGTGTGGAGTAGATATTTAATTTAATTTTAAAGCATTTGAATAATCAAGCACTTGGTTTACCTTTTCTTATTCATTGACGCAGGTTAATTTGAGATACGATCCAATCGTTGAATTGAAATATTTTTCGGTTAATTTAATGTAGGGTTATCAAAGCGATAATTCGGTAGATACACTGTCGAGTTACACAAATTCGACTTAAAATTATATCTTCGGAAGAATTTCTTCTTTGATGGTTTACATTTATTGACGGTTTCTAAAAATGTACAGCGAGCATTTCATTACTAGTTACTACAAAGATGAAAAACTACAATGAAATATGTTCAATAGACAATTTTATTCGTTTTTTTTTTTAATTTATTTTTTACATTTTTTAAATATTCAGTAATATCCAAAGTTTTGACAAAGTTTATTCTTGAGTTGACAATTAAATTGTTTTATCATTTAAAATGAATTTTTTTTTCTTTTAAATTTCCCTAATGTAATTCAATACATCTAAGATCTAATAGATTTCAGGCATTCATTGTTTGAGTTGCGTGTGTTTTAAAAAGTGTTCTCTCAAAAAATCCACTAAAATCGTTTTGGATGCATTGTTTTTTTTTGCTGCAGACAAGCATGAAAAGTTAAAATTTGACAGAATCTGATGTGAATTTGAAAGAATTTTGTCGAATGAAATCCTATTAATTTTATTTGCTTTCTTAAGCCAATGAGATACATGATTACGGCTCTGGCACATTACGCATATTGAGTCATACTCGTATAAATAAATCTATACAATTAAACAATAGAATTTAATTTAACATATTTTAAATTAAACCTAGAGTAGTTAACTATTTCACTCTCTCTTTCTCTTAAAATATCGAACAACATTATCGAATAGCATTACGAATAACAAAGAAATTATTGAAATTACATTTGCATTCTTTATTTCCATACACATATTTGGCTTAAGGTCACAACCATCTCTTAGCTAAATGATCAAAGGTTGATTTCAAATAGCTCCGAATAAAGTACAGTAAAACACTTTCAACGTCCGAAACTCGGAATATTATCTCATTTAGAATAAAGGAATTTTATATGATTTATTTCAAAATTTCATGAAAATACCAAAGAAATTATTTCATATTATTAAAAGTAAATACTGTACTTTATTTTTTCAACCAAAAATCCTTAAATCCATTTTATATCTTTCACACTTGTGCTCATATAGCTTAATTCAAGCAGTTTTTAACTGAATTCTGGGTTCACAACAAAGAAAAATCACATAAAATGTATAAATTAAATTAAATTAAAGAAAAAAATGGTATTCAATAATAGTAGAAAAGAAAATAAATGGGTAACATGTCTGTGGTTCCGGTTATGGGCAATGAAATTCCTTTGCACACAAATCACCAATTAAATTAGTTAAATTACAGGGTAGTTTTTTTTATTTATTTTTTTTAATTATTGGTTCAAATATTTTTCTCTTTATACATTCTTATTCATAAAAAACATCGATTTTCACAAGGGAACGTGTTTGATGTGATCTGAATAATATATTCGTGTTAAATATACGGTTTTTGTGGTTTGTAGATTGATTTTCACACTTCTGCAATATCAGGCTATCTATTGGCGATACACACACTCGAACACGTTTTTAACACACTTAATTTTGAAAATATCTTTTGAAAAGCAAAAAAACTGAAGGTTTTACCTTCTAAACTTTCACAATCTACAAATAGCAGTAGAAATTAGACAAGATCGATCACATTTTATAAACACAGATGATTTGTTTCTCTATACACACTTATTTAAATGAATACGGGAAAGGTGAGATGATCGCAATTCTCAAATAGAAACACAAACATGATTGACACTTGCGTAACACGTAATAAGTTATAAGTAACACACACGCACAGTTTATGTGTGCCATAAGACAATATAAATTTACGGCTTTTCATGGCCCTGCGAACAAAAGAAAAAAAAAACACAAAAAATACTCAATGATATGAATAATAAATGATAAGAAAACAATAACAAAAAACGGGGATAAAAATGATAAAGATAGAAGAATGGCAGCGTTAGTAAAATATGTAAAAGCGATGAGCTTGCGGAAAATGTGTTAGTTTAAGCAGCAAATTATCGGTTTTCATGTTAAGTCTCGTTTGCTGATATTGTGTCGCTGAATTTTGTAGAAAATCCTTACTATTTGTTATTGTTTTAGGTATTCATATAAAAGGTGGAATGACTAGAGACCATCCATATAATATTTGATTTAATTTTTTTTCCTAGTTAGTATATAATTTAGTTTTGATTCATCACGATTAAATATTTGGTCATTTCAATGATCGACATTCTTGTATGTAGCCATTATTGTGCTCTGTTCGTCCGACACCAAACGGATACTTACACGACCATTTGAACTGCGTCGCACTCGTGAATCAAGCGTACCAATGTTATTGTTTAACGTGCTGCCACTTATGCTACCCGAACGATAGTCGTCGTTGTCATTTAAGCAGAGATCCGAATCCGAATCGGAATGACGGATATTTGTTCGCTCCTACACAATTCCATTTCATGATGATAGAAAGAGATACATGCAGAATGTGATGTTTGTTAGATTATTATTTTATATATTTGTTATTATTGTTTTATAATTTTCATCTGGTTAGTTAGGGCGGAGGAGATTCTTTTCTAAAAAAAGGAGGTTTCATGCAAAATTGATGTTTGAATTCCATGCAAAATGATAACTAATTTGTATTATTCAACTTAAAGTCAACATTTTAGTTCTAGTTTCAACGACGTTACGAAAAAGAAATCTTAAGCGCACAACTTAACGATAGTTCTTTAAACGCAAAGAAGAAGAAGAAGAAAAAAAGATGAATTTTAGGAGATAATCTAATTAACAAGTTAAATTTATATTATACCTGCGTCAATTGTTCGGTTGTCGTAAGTAGCCGGGCGAGTGGATTACAACACACCGGCAATGTTTCCAATAAAGTAGGTCGCGAATGCGTTAATAAAGGTTTCATATAACTAAAGGATAAAAAATTAATTCATCGAATAGTTTCATTAACTCATAAAATATGTAAAAAGTAGTATCTTATCATTAATGTTAAACGATTTTATGGAAGTATTACTTTGAAATGAACTTACTTTTTATCGAAATTTCCCCAAATCCTAGCTAAAAGCGCTTTCTCGCATTTCTTTGGCACTGTCGAAACATTTGCTGGAACATCTGGAGATGCTCCATGTTCAATATCCTGTGGGCGAAAAAACGTACCAATGTCATGAAATAATCGTCGCAACAAAAAACTGGCAACACTTTTGAAATAATGAATGAAAAAAACCAATAAATGAACATGAAAATGATTGGAAAATAACACGTGAAAATGATAAGTTTTTGGTTTTAATTGATAAGCTATGAAAATCGCAAAAAAACACAAAACAAACGCTAAATAAACAACTGAAGAACACAAAGAATGCGATGAGTATTGTGTTTTTCTCACCAGAGAACATCTCGGATTTATATGTAGTTGCGCCAAATTCAATCCTGTGTCGATGGACTGTCATGTTCCAAATGTGTTTTAATTTGTGTGAAATTAATGGAAAATAATGATTTTATTTAAGAACAAAAACATGTGTTTTGAAATGTAAACAAAATACAGCTTTTTTGACACAAAATGACCAGTGAGTAAAACAAAAAAAAACACACACAGTGAAAAGTGGGAAAAAATATTGAGGACAAAGATACTTTACGTACCGCTGATGTATTTTCCATGGAATTGTAAACCTGTTTTGTGATTTTTCGATTTTTTATACGATGCAAAACGAACACGAATAGAGACACGATTGTATTGTGTGGGTGTGTTTTGATACAAAAAAGTTGACAGTAAATAAAATGTAAAATAAAAATAGATAAGAAGAATATGACTATTGTTTCCAAATGGATTTGTTTGGTTTGAAATTCCAATTCAAAATTAATTAATCAAAGAAAAAGTGGTAAATTCAACGGCAACTCGAACTAGTGCAACAAAAGCTTATCAATGGCAATTTTTTATGATGTTTCGTTAACACTTTTATTGACGAATCAACAAATAAAATAATACTTACACTGCGGCCCTCGTGATGATTCAGCGCTTCAGTCTCGTCTTCCACACCAAATCTAGCCGAAAAAAACAGCAATTTAAAACGATTTTTCAATAAACCAGAATTGTTTGTTATGTTTTATGGGTATTTTTTTGAGTTCGTGGGACTTACGGTATTTGGAAGAATTTGAGCAAAAAATTCGTGGCACCGCCTTGAGTTATCACTGTAAAAATTACGATTAACGAGGTCGTTGTCAGCATGGCTTGTCGCGCTTCGGAAACTGTATTTCGAATGGCCAACGCAAAGGACATTGCACCTCTCAAGCCTATTTCAAAAAGAAACCCCGGACAAATTAGTGAAAAGTCGACATGGAAATGAAAAATTGATTATAAAAAATTAGAGCCAAAAGAGTTGTTCGATAAAAAAAATCCAATTTGTGTCGAATAATTTGTCGAGATAGACTCACCCGCAAAGAAAAGCATATGTTGAAAGTTCATGGGAATTTTCGGCTTTCGTCCAAGATTCAATAGAAATGAGAGTGGATAAATGTTAGCAGCTCGTCCAATCATTGCACAAATCTGTAATGAAAATGAATTGAAGCACTTGTTCAACTTGTTCAACGTGCTGCGCTTGCTGATATACGTACAAATCCCGTGGTAATAAAGAGAAAATCGAAATGATGTTTGGGAAAAGTGAACATGGATACACCGATGTACGAAAATATGAAATTCTCCGCTAGAAAATTCAACAGTTCGAATATTTGCTTGGTACGAAGACGCGAGTCATCCGATAAATTATTGTACGTATAATGTGCTTGGCAAATGCCACAAAACAAAACGGAAACAATTCCTGCAAATCGAAACAACGTTTAAATTAATTCAATTGTATAATGAAACTCGATTTAATTTTCTTTTTTACCTGTTAGTTCCGTTACTTCGGCTATAAGGAACGTGCTGTATGACATAAGAACAAACAAAGCCGATTCAAGCAGCGGAAAGTCACGAATTCGTGTAAATTTTGTCATTAACGCCGTTACACAACCCATAACTGCGCCAATTGCAAGCGATAGCGAAAAAATGCGACAAAAATCACCGACAGAATGAAAGAATGCTCCAGCTTCAAAACCACCCGAGCTCGAATAATGTTTATCGTACTTTTGAATTGAACTGAAAACAAAAAATCGAAATTTGTTTTACTTGTGCTAACAATAGTTAAAATGACATTTTTCAAACGATGTGGCATTTTGCAGCGCAAAATTGTTAGAAAAAAAACCAAAGGGCAACCATTTATTTTTCCAATGAATTCACTATTCAGTGGAAAAATAGCACAAAAATGGTTTTACACTCTGTCAATAGTCAACTCTTATCGTTAATTTAAAATCCAAAAATAGCAACACTGTAAATGGTAATCGACAAAAAAAGTGCTTTCGCGCATAATTAATAAGAGCCTCTGTGTGCGATTATATTGCAAATTAATGTCATTTGTTGTTATATCGAATGAATCAGCTGGTGTAATGAAGCAAAGCGTAAAATTGAGACGTCTCCAAATTTATTCGTTTCAGCACGAGAATAGACTATTTAATTCATTTTAGAGCACCACCACCACTTTAACGCTGCGTAAACAAAAACAAACGCTACAAATTGTGACAATGTCGAAACTCGTGTTTTTGGTTGTAAACGAAAATTTGATATCAACACCGAAATATAATTGTCGCTTTCGTTCGAAATAGAGACAGAGAGAGAGAGTGAGCGAGATTACTTACCTACTCATTACTATAGCCACAGCGTCGTTCAAAACGCTTTCGCCAAATACCAGCGCATACAAATTAACATCAACATGTAAAGCACTGAATATAGCCAGTATTGTCAATGGATCCTAAATGAATATAAAACACAGTTCATGCATAAATTTGCGTTTATCAAGTAGTAATGTATAGTATACTGTATACATTAGAGCACAAAGTTAATTGGATTTGAATACAAAAACACATGACTTACGGTCGGTGATATCAATGCTCCAAAGTAAAGTGTATCGAGAAATGTGAATTTTAGACTTCCCGGCAAGAATTTAATGGCAACATACAGAAGCGAACCGATAAGCAGAGCAGATATAGTGGTTCCAAGTATGGCAAACGTCAGAATAGCGCCCAAATTACGAAAGAAGTATTTCTGCATATTGAAAATATCAAATTGCCTATTAGTAAATTTTCTCGAACATTCTTACAAGCGATGAATGGCTCAAATTGCATTGAATTTGAACTAAACCCGATTGAATAAAATTGATTTTACCCGTTTGAGTGAATAGCCAGCATAGAATATAATCGGCGGTAGAATGATGTTGAAAAAGATTTCTGGATCGAAAATAGCCTTCAAATCGATTCCATTCTCCTCCCTGTTGACCATTTGTCCACGAAATGTATAAGCATATGTTTGATCCTGTACATTTTTTATGGGCAAATCCCCAGGAAACTAAACAAATATGAACATAAATAACCACATCAAGTGCAATTCCAATTAATTGAACACAAATAATTAATGGCAATTAAATAGAAATATAAATGGAATAGAGAACGAATGACAGAGAAAATGAAATAAAAAAAAATAAACGGCGAAAGAAACCCTCAGCATGCCAATATCGAATGACACTAACATATGCGACAATGTCATTGTAAATGGCCAATATGTTATTGCCACCGATATGTATGTGCAGTGCATGCATGGTGCGGTGTGATACAGGACCAAAAATAGAGGTAAAAATACATAATCATTCGTGATTATGACTGGAGTCGATAGAAGATATTAAGAAGAAAAAAATGTATATTGAATTACATTGAACCATAGTGAATCGGGTGGGAGGCTTTGGTTGTACGTTGTCGTCGAAACATTCGGATAAACCGATATATGGGTGGTTGTTGTTTTACTCGCAGCATATCGTATCAATGCACCAACAAATAAACCTGCAAAAAAAAAATGAAATATCTTTGTCAACTCGTTCAACATCTTCATTTCTTCGAAAAAACATAACTAGTTTTATTTGCATTTTTGTTCATAGTAAGTTGACTCTGAGTAACATAAGTATGAAATTGAGGAGAGCAACTGAAAACCCAAGAGTTGAAGCAAAAAAAACAACAACATTTCTCATATTATGAATAGAGACGGTTCGTGTTTCATGGCGATTCTTCGAAAACTGGAGTAATTGATGCAAATAAAAGTGATTTAATGTGACTAAATTGCAGTTCGCAACTCAGTTTTCAGTTGTCATCGTATGACACACTCGGATTATCATAATGTCAAACTGTATAACGGAGTTGTTTCAAGTGAAATGAATATGCCGCAAATTGATGGCATTTGTATTCAAATCATTCACTCGCTCATTCACTGGCCAGACATTAAACAGACACTCAGTTTCATATCAGTACGAAAAGAGAAGAAACATATGTTCGTTTGGCATCGCATTTACTAGTTTTACTTCTCATTTATTGTCTATACAATAATATAGTTGTAGCAGTTCGAATGACGAACGAACGAACAAACACGAAACAGTAGAAAAAAAAAACACATTTATATCGATCAAATTCACGGCAGATGACATACATTCGCATGGCAATGACTTTGCATCGAATTTTTTCCGCTCGAGTCTCACTTCCTTGAATCAAAAATACTCGTTGAACAGTTTTTTTTTCAGGTTAATTATCTAATGGAGTCATAATCTTGATTAAAATTGAAGGTAAACCGCGCTTGATTTCAATTAAAAAAAAAAAAGAAAGTGACTGAAATTTCGCTTGTGTTTAGCTATCATTATCACGATAGATTGTCGAAAATATTATTATTGAAATAAATCACTCCAAAACCAATTTCAATACTTTGATATTTTCATTTGAATTCTGAGTGCAAATCTAGAGAGTGAAGCGTTTTTTCAACTCTATCAGTTAATATTCAAACGAATGCGATAAAACGACGACGTAGATAGAAATTCTCTGAAAAATTCTCCCTTGGGAATTTCCTCAGAGAACCAAAACTTGAAAAATGACGACGTACACAAAAATCTGATTGACTTACCATAAATAATGGCCAAACCAGTTTCATGGAGCCAACTAACCCGATGATGTTTAAATAACCATATTGTTAGAATAGTTAACGTTAGTAAAAATGTATACACTAATAGATTGAAACTATCGATTCGATGCAGTAATGTTGCTTTTGCGTCTAATTCAATATCTGTTGATTCGCAATGCACTTTGGCAACTATATCACTAAACAAAAAAATACCAGCCACCCCGTACAATATGGGCAACGATTTGAGTCGCACAATCTTCGCGTGTGACATTGCCATTTTTATCGAAGAATTTGCATTTCTATCAACACAATCACATCGATTGTTCTGCCTTCGTTTGTCTGCGGTACACATTTTTCTCTTTTCAAATACACACGGGAACAAAAGTCCACACGAAAAAAAACAACAACTAAGCTCAAAATTGAGGAGACAGTAAAAATAAACACAGAAAAAAATAATTCGGTGAATTACGTTTGAGAACGCTACTCGTTTAATTTTTTCGAAACGTATCGAAAGAAAAAACAACTGAAAAAAATTCCATTGAGAAATGTTCACGAACGTGCTGTCGCTGGCAAATTAATTCAAAAGTAAAATTTTCTAATCTGTTTGTATGCATAAATTCAAAGCAATCAATAATTTTTATTGAGTTGTGCACACGCAGCAATTCGATAGATTTTGATTGATACTTTCATTCATCATTCCATCACTTGACACGAAAACAAAATTGCAAACGAAAATTCGATTAAATTCTATTGTTGTTCTTCCCTAAAGTGGATCCACTTGTCTTTTAATTTTATTTATGGACAATATTTCAGCATTGACACACTTGCACGTCACTCAGTATTTTTTTTTCTTCTTCTCCGCTTCTTTCACCAGAATATTCTAAATTAGCGAATTTTTTCGAATGGAAAATTCTGATTCGAAACTATGAAACACACAAACACAATGAGAAAAAAATAAATAAATAAAACAAAAACAATGTAGAGTGACGATGAAGATTCACGGTCACTGAGATGAGTCTTGATATTTGTGTGTTGTATTTTTATTTTAATTGCCACAAAATTCGTACGACCGAACTAGCAAAGCAGTACAATACACACGATGTGTCGTACGTCTCTTGGTAAACTGGCTGCTTGACTATGGTTTTTCTTATTTGTTTTGACACATATTATCAAATTTATTTCTCATTCACATTGGAATGCACTTCAATTCCAATCGCTCGTTCCAGTTTCAATACATTGAATTGGTGTGACAGACACGAAGTGTCAATTTGCCAAATACACCACGTGTCTGGAAGCGATGTATGGTGAATAATTTTCCAAGCATTGGAATATGCGCAGAATGTGTATGAGAAATAATAGGGAAATGCAAAAACAAAACAACAGCACACATTCACATACCATTCTAACGGAATTCAAATGACACATTGTAAACAAATGAAACGGGGCTTTTTTATATAACAAAAAATAAGATTTTATTTTTTTTCGCTTGCTTAAAATTAAAGTTTGAGAAAAGCATAGAACACAATTGTTTTGCTGCTTTTTTTGAACTTAAAGTGAAAATATGGCAATATATATTTAAAATTTAATCCGCCGTTTTATCTATATATGTTGTGCTCCAATCTGGAGTACAATCGCACGCGCTCACTTTGTTTGTGTGTGGCGATTTTATTCAGAACTCAAACTATCCGAATTATTTTTTTTTTTACTTCTTTACGAAGAAAATTACACATCATTATTATTTTTTTGTTTTCTCTATCTAATTCTAAACCAATTTATCTAAACTTAAAATTGTCCACCCATCAATATATGATCATCATCGTATCGTGATTTTCAAACTTTAATTTAAAGAAATATCACAGAATTTCGAATATGATTTTTTTTTCGTTGGTTTCATTCATGATTCAATCACGTTTGAGTTGTTGGTTCAATTTTGCTATTCACTTTTTTCTCTTTGAGAAAACAATTTTTCGATAAATTCGTGATGAAATTATGAAGAAATGAGAATTTTTGCCGCTTATCCGTGTCGACAACAATTTTCTCCGTTACTCAGGCCTTTACTAGTTTCTTTGAATTTTCGACCGCATTCGATCGTTTGTTGGTGGTGGTTGTGGTGGTCGTTGGGCTTGGCGCCAACGATTTGTCTGAATGAACACGCTTACGGTGAGAGAAACAATTACCGGAACTTGCGACTGAAATTGTGGAAAATGGTGGTGAATTAGTAATTCAAAAGTGTAAAAACGGTTCAAATCTATTCAGAAATTAAGACTTACAAGCTTTCGGGCAAAATGGACATTGAAAAGGTTTTGCGCCAGTATGCTAAGAGGGAAGAAAATATGGATTATAATTCCTCTCCAGAAGCAAATAAAATGGTTTGATTTCATTGATTTGCAAATTTTACCTGATTGGTGTGAAATTTTAGATCTTGACTTCGCTTGAATGTTTTTTGGCAAATGTTGCATTTGTGTGGTCGAATGTTACTGTGCGAAATCTCATGTTGTTTCAATGTACTGGCAGAAGGGTATACGCGTCCGCATGTTCGACATGAAAACTTCTCTCCCAAATGGTATTCATTGTGCCTCTGCAAATTCATCGCGCTCTTAAACCTGTAAATTGAAAAACAAAATCAATTTTATACATTTTACATTCGACGTAACAGTCTTACATTCGACCGCATTTATCACAATTAAATTTGCCTTTCGGTTTGTGTGTTTTAAGATGAGCATTTAGATTGCCGGTGGTTGAGAATCGTTTACTGCAAATGGCGCATTTGTGTCGTGTACTGAAAATGGAACGGGCACGTGTTTTTGGGCCACTCTGATCGATTTTCACCTTTCGCGATTGTCGGCTCTTCGACTCGGCTTTCGGTGCTGTGACTTTTGAGGATGTTTTGCTTGTTGTATTCGTCGTTGTTGTTGTTGCTGCCGTGGTGACAACTGTATTTTTGGCGGTTGTTGTGGTCGTAGTATCTGGCTTTGGATTGGACGGTGGTGTTTCCGGTTCTTTTTCCTTTGTCGGTGTGCTTAGTTCGGATTTCGACGCCTTTACAGGCTCAGCCTGTGTTGTTGTCGAAACTTTTGCCGGCGATAGCGTTGGAATCTGTATCTTTGGTGGCGGCTGTAACGGCGGCGTTTGCAAAATGATTGGCTTATCAACGATTGTTGATGTTGGTGTTGGTACACTTGTTTTAGTCACTGTTGCAACCGTTACCGGGGCTTTAAGTTTCGCTTCCGGTATGACTGATAGTGATGGCATATCGTTGCCGATTTTCGACTTCACAATGGCCGGCGTTGTGGTCGTTTTATTTTGAACGATTTTTGGCGGAACAACGATGACCGGTTTCGGTATCGCGACTGAATTCTTTGAAAACGCGGACTTAAACAATCCTTCGGCTTTGATGCGAATTTTTGGCGGTGGTGATGTGGACGCAATGATGCTCGATACAGACGATGACGACGAACCTGCTGTTGAAGTCTTTTTATTCGGTGACTTACGTGATTCGGCTTTTTTTCGTTCTTTCTTCGGTTTCGTCACTTTTGTCACTTCAACATCCATGCCCTTTGACTCATCATCATCGTATGGGAAAAATAGATCCGGATCAACTCCCACTTCCATTTCGGTGACATTTTGATCCATCATCGTTTTTGACGAGTAATCAACTGATGTCGTTCGACTCGTATCTAATGGCGCAAACGAACCATGATCGAGGTACGGACCAAGCAACTGAACAAGATCTTCATCACGCAATAAATCCGGATTATTCAATACACCACGAAAACTGGCATTTTTCAACCGATCCAATTGTTGATCAATTGTTTTGCCCGGCTCATTCCATTTTAGTGCACGTAATATCAACTTTTGCAACTCTTGATCTTTTATAACTTGACCCAATTTCAAATCTTGGTACGTGAATATTGTGATGTCCTCCGTGGATAAAACGGCCACAGGCTGTATTGAAAGAAGGAAACGTTAAATTTGGCATAAATTGTGATAATATATCATTGAGCTTGAACATTACCTGTTGTGTTTGCTGCAAATGCTGTTGTTGTTGTTGTTGCTGTTGCTGCTGCTGTTGTTGTTGTAGTTGTTGTGCAGTTTGCGGAGGCGCTGGTGTTATCACTGTTGTCGGAGGCAATTTAATCGGCTTTTGTTGTGGTTGAACCTTTTGCTTTTTAATCGGTGGAGTTGGCTGAATTGTGATTGTATTTGGCGGTTTCGGTTGCACCTGTTGAACTTGCGGCGTTGGCGGCTCACGATACAACGTTGTGTTTAACGACGATAATGCCGTACAGTGTTCACGATAAATCTTTTCCGAATACATGATATTGAACAATTCTTGATTTTTATGCGCCATCAGTGCATAGCAATGGAAATTCTCAATTTTTCGAACGCACTCATTGCAGACGAGATGCGACAACTTGTCCAAATTATTGACCTGTAAATCATGAACAAATGGAAAAACGAGGATATGAGAAATTGAAATCATTTTTGTATTATTTAAATACACTGAACAAATTATCGGGCTATAAAATGGTTTAATTTGGACAGATTACAACACTTTATGCAATTTCTGCATTATGAAACTATTACACTTGCAGTTGTAATTTGTCCAATTTTGAATGCAAATCACTACTCTTAACTTTGAAACAACATTTTTACAAACCCATTTTTACCAAGTAATTACGAACAACGAAAAATTGTGAAAATATACTTGGAGGAAAGGCGAAGTTGACAATTTCATTAAAAGACCAAAAACTCGAACTGAATTATATTCCAAATAAAAACACACGAGCACATGACAAACTTTCTGGTATAAATTATCGAAGGAAAAGTATGCGACCAAATTCCGAATCTATGAAAACACTGATCACTCTCACATCAAAGAAAATTGCGACAAACAAAAACACAAACAGTACAACGAAACCGAATGAAATTATGTTCTCTCGCCGTTCATTTGTATCCAAATCATAAAAAAATCAGCTGGTTAATGTTTGTTTATAAAGTCATAATTAATGCACAAGCTCGGTATTGTATTTGGATTAGCAATATTTTGTTTGTTTTTATTTTAATTTGTTTGGATTCAATTCGAGATGTAGAAACATTGAAATAAAATAGTCGTTATTATAGCAATAAGTGTCAAATTTTGTGTCATCAACGACACGAATCACTACACAGAGCAGAGCGTAATTTTTTAAGTATGAATGTGATTTTAATGCGCTTGAGGCAAAAAGGAGAAGCGAACAAAAAACCTGAAGAGAACACAAATACAAATTGATTTAAATGAAATCAATCTCAAAAGTGTTAATGTGTAAAATTATTGTGTGTCATTGGAAATTGGGCATTAAGAGCGTGTGTGTCGAAAATTTGTTCGGTCAATCAAATGCGCACAAACACATTCACCACTTATAACAAATGCATGCAAATTGATTTTAATGTCATTGTTGTTGGAGTTTTCGTTGAATTCGTTTAAATTTTCGGTTTTCAAAAATATACTCTCATTTGAATCGGAGCATCACTCTGTAGTCTGTTCGCATAGACTGTGACTGCTTGTAAGCTGTGTGCATTTGTTTGTGAATGTGCAATTGCATGCAAAACTTCTAAGTAAATTCTAGTTCTACGGCCCCTGTGCCAATGCTTAAAAATAAAAATCGATAGAGTTAAGCGAAAAATTGCCAATGTACATGTATGTGTATACGAATGCAAAAGTTTAAATGTGTGTCACACGGTACAGTGTCGACATGTAGAAAATGTTAGGAGCCGTACTTTGTGAATCCACTTAATGGACTAAACAATACATACAGCACAAATTTGCGAGTTTATACACGAGAAACGCACAAAACACACGACTAAACGAACAAGAAGAAGATGATGAAAAAATAAAGTATCAGCAGCTAAATAACTCGCTCTCGCGCTTCATTCGTATTGCAAGGTTTTACATTTTGCTAAGTCGGTAAACGTTGTTCTGCTCACGACACTTTCTGGCGCTATTGCGAATCAAGTAACGATAACTGAGAGAAAGAGCTCGGTTATATGCGATTGTGTGAGTTGAATTTTGATCGTTATGCGTGATATTTCTGCTGGGTTCGATGGTTGTGAGTGTAAGTGGGTGACAAATACAAACCAATTTACGCTGATTTTGTAACTTTAAACTTATTCTTGGTCATACACAATAATGATATCACATAATGGCTATGTGTATGTGCATGTATTTGAGACTCACATTAACACACGTTTGGCACACACACACACCACTTTAAAACGCACAAAACTGTAAAGTGAAACATTTTACGAATCGAACATGGAAAAATATACATTGCAACATCATCACACTCTATCGACCGACTCAGTTCCAACTGATAAAAAAGGCACATCATGTCATCAGCAAAAGATCAAAGTCAACAAAAAGAAACGGCATGGAATTTATTGAGTTACTCAAAAGTGTCCATCGGGACAAAATAAACACATTTTGGGAATTGCATTTCCGTTTCATTTCGTTGTGATTGAAATGAGTAAAGGGTGAACATTTGCAGTAAGAGGTTGGAATATAGATTTTGTATACACAAAATAAAAGAACCGCATTCGCAGGCAAAAAGATGAAATGCGGTTTTTGTTTTCAAAACATCGAAAGCAACATTTAGGCAACTCTTTGTGTGAGGGAAGAATATTTCTTTTCGCGCGATTTTATCAATCGCTTATGTTTATTCTTATTGAAAATGATTATTTTCACCAAAATGTTTACTCAAATTTTCCCAATTGATTATCCTATAGTTATGTCTATATACACCAAATACCGTTCATCTTACCTGTATGTGTAGATAGTTTTTGATTTTGTCCATCAATTGATCTGTGTTAAAAATGGGTACACCTTCGGTGGCAATTTTAAAATCAACTGCACATATGCGACACATCAGCTCGATGTTATGCTCTTGCATTTGTGATTGCTGTTGCAGCAACGTTGTTGCTGTAGCCATGGTAATCCGGTTTTGTAATTTATTATTCTTTTCCGGATTTGGTTAATGTCCTTCTGGTTTTGTGTGAGAACCACCACGTCCACCTCACTTCGGCGGGCTTGTTAATCTCTTGATGTGTTCTGCAATTATAAAACATGAATATGATATGAGTTTCAAAAACTTTTCAATACAAAACAAACTAATCTATCTTCAACATAAAATCCATGTGGCCAAAGTAATCTAATACTCGTAAATCTCACAATCAATTGTTTTGTAATAAGGACCTTTTCGATTTGTGTGAATTAATGTTGACTAGGATTTCACGCTAATTCGTGGCACTTTCCATTCAACAACAATTTAAAAAAACAGTTACTGTCCGACCAATGTACGGAATGGCTTTGAATTTGTCGTCGAGATTTTGACGATGTTTCGAATTGTGTTGCAGTGTCAATGTGTGTGAGAGAGTGTATGCAAGCTTGCTAAATGCGCCACAACCAGAGATTGAGAATGGTTGATATTGAATTGTGTGCGTATGTGTGTTTTGAATAAATATAGTACTGAGTTGGCTGTTGGGTTTTGTTCTTCGTTCCGAATTCCGACTTGATTTTGGTCACGTTGTGACAACGTACGTGTGTGTGTGCTTGCGCGAGTATGTATGCGTGTGTTTCTGTGCATGTAAATTTCTACACTTTGCATATGGTTATACGTGGTGCTATATATCGTTGGTTGCCTACAAAAGTCTATAATATAGATTTGGTATGAAATGTTTGTTTATTTGGTATGTTTCAGACTGAACTAGAATGACTGCAAATACATATGTTGTCTGTATGTGTGTGGATCTGTATTTTAATTTGCGACGCATTCAATTTGCACCAATACCACCACAAATGCACAAAATTTGAGGCGAAAAATGTATGAAATTCTGAATTACATAGAATAAATCATTGGCTAACCATGAGTTGATTAATTATTTATGTTTTTTACCCGAATGTTTCTGTATTTATTTACAAATCAAACCATCTTATTTGTAAATATATGCTACAATGATAATTGAAAATCAAGTAAACTCTTTATTTTTGGCTAACACACCAAAAAATAAAATTAGGTTTCATTATATAAATCGGTATTCGAATGCGAATGTAAGAGAGCGCGCGCACACACAAACATAGCGCCAAAAAAGAAACAAACAGCAAACACTGTGTGTCAGTGAGTCCATGCTCAAGTCAGATATTGAAACCGCAGCAAAAAGAATCGAAAGCACTAACTGCGAGAGAGAAAAATACGCGTGTTCAGTGTATGCCAAAAACGAATGACGCACTATAGTTATTCGTGATTGTAATTGAATGTTATTCGCTTCGTGTATGTGTGTGTGTGTGTGTGTGTATATGAGTTGAGTTTCTCTCGTTGACTATACTCGCATTTTCTATCTCTGCCACTATGTGTCGAATACGCGCGCATATGCTTCGCAATACACAAGAAATAGCAACAGCAAACAGCACCAAACTGACAAAATAAAGAGCAATGTGTTGAAATCACATCATAATTAACAACAATAGTGATAGCAAGATGCAAAGAACAAAAAGATGTTGCGAGGCAACACGACACATAACGACATTTTTCTTATTCTTTTTGATAAAGAAATACTTCTTCGGCTGGTCGCGACACTGATTCATTCGCTGTCAAATCAATTCGACCGAATATGTTATATAGCACAGCATGCATATTGAAGAAGAATAAAAAAAATATCATTCATCCATTGCTATTATCATTGAATATTCCTTGTTTCGGAATGAAGCATGGAGCTAATCGAACGACATAGCCACCAAACACACATACGCATGCACACAGACACACACACACACACACACACACACACACCGACAAAATATTTACATCGTTCGAAATATTATTTTGTTAGGCAAAATATATTGGAGATGTTTACTGTGCCCATTTGCCATGCACACGCAACACATACATGCACACATCTATATCTCCTATTGATCAACTCAACGTACATATATATTGGGTACGATGTGTACTGTTAACTGCTATATGGATTGCGCATCGATGTGTGTATGTGCATGTGTTGGTATTTTTTTCGTCATATCTTTTCGCAGCCTGACGATTAACATTTTTATATATTCTCTTCTTGAGGATTTTTCATCTTCTTCGATATGAAATGCAAAATAAAACCACATCATTCTTAACAATTTCCATTAAATCCGTTGTTTTAACGGTTTTCTCCCTTATGCTCGTCATGAATCCTTTTCGATTCGACAGACCAAAGTGCATTACAATCTAATTAGACTGGCAGAACTATATTGGACCGTCAAATTCAAATTCACCAATAATCCGATTAGATTTTCGCAAATGAAAAGGACTTAAATTCTAATCATAATACCATCACACTACAACATTCGAAACGGTTAGCTACTCTTTTCAAAAAAAATCATAGTGATTTTTAACGGGGAATAAATAATTTCGCTATTTTAAATTTTTAAAAAGAAATAAAAATAAAATTTACCACAAATGCACCAATGTCCAATGGATTGCGTTTGGTTTGTTTATTTGTTTACAAAAATCACCCCGGAAATTGTAGTTATAATAAAAATGGAACGAATGCCACTTGAAAATCGAATAAAAATACAATAACGAAATGATTTATGTTTTTGTTGTGTGGCTGCTTTCAAATTTTCTGACACACTAAATGTAAGCGACTGACTACGTTTTGTTGAAATGTGAAATAGAGTCGACTGTACAAAAGAATCCACAATACTGGTATGCGAACGATAAATGTATGTGTAATATATACGAGAAGCGACGATGTGAGTATGGTTCGAAGTGAAAAATGAGCACATCCAATGCTGTGCATACGTAGTGGTGCGCACACACACACACACACACACACTGTATTTCATTATGAGAGCACTAAAAGCAGCATTGCTGTTGCTGCTGCTGTTCGGCCCCATATAAACTCATGGCGATGGCATTCGGATTTTACGATTTGCATGTGTATGAGTGTGCATGTAAATTTTGAATGTTTAGTGCTCCGTTTGCCTTTTTTCTTTCCATTTATCGGTGCTATTGAACAAAAAAAAACACTATCAAGTACACAGTACACACACACAAAGACACAATCATTCGACGAATATGTGCGATTCAATTTTATAAAATTCGATGATATTTGGTGCCCTTTTGCAAGATCCGAATGCAAGTGCATCCACTTTTACAAACTCATTTGAAAAAATCACATTTTTCGATGTATATATGGATTGCATAAGTATTATAGCATTCACAAAATTACTTTTAGAATGATGATAAATACTAATATATTTTTGTTCGTTGCATGCGCGCTCAAGCGCGCCTGAAATATATTTCTTTTTTTCTTTCGTTTCATTTTCAATTCGTGATGCATTCATTTGATTGTATTTGTTTCAAACCCGATTCTAGTCTAGAGACTTTGAACAATTTCAATTGTATAAACATTTTACCAACACATCAAGAGGAAATGCAAAAAAAAATAGAGAAAAACTAACAAACATACGCAACACAAAAAGTGCGTACGCATTGCACTTTCAATTTGTGGTTGTATTGGTGGTTTCTTTATGCGATTGAAGAAAAATCCAAGAAAATTCACACTTTTCCACCGATCCTAAGACTGTGGTATTACTTCTGCCAATTTCCTTTTCATCGCCTGTTGATTTTTGTATCATGTCGACCGGTTACGGTTTCAAGGAGACATATGGTTAATCGCACTCATTTAACCATCCATTTGAAAAACCAAAACAATCAACATACGGTATGTATTGTTCCCATATCATTGTCTGTTTCTTTGCAAATCGAGATGTTCACGATTCTCTTTTGCACGGATATTCGTTGTTGGTGATGAATTGAAAATTGCCGAGGAAAAGTACCGTTTTGCTTGCAAATTTCTGGATATTGATCCTGATGCAATTTGCTCTTAAGAAAATTGCTTTAAAGAGTACCTAACTGTTGAGCATAACTGCGCTACGTTCGGCAATATGTTTCACTTTGGCCATTTGGGAAAAAAGGATATCTTCCTTTTCTCATTTGAATTGTACATTTCCGTCTTCAATCGGTGTAATGTTGAAATAAGTCATCATCATTTTCATCTGGAAAGTAGCCTCAATTCAATTTGTTGCTATTCAATTTTATGAGCTTGCTTGTTTGTATGTGCATTTGTATGTGTTGGTGAGCAAGTATGAAAAAGACTAAGACTTGAAGCCTCGAGAGAAAAAAAAACGGAATAATAAGTTAAAAATAAACATTGAATCGCATAGATTGAGAGAGCAACATTGTGAATGTGTGAGTTGGTTGCCTCGTATATTTAACTATAGCTGTTATTTTCCATTCTGCGACGAATGAACGAACGAATGAAATATACAGAAGAAAAAAATATATGAAAGCTTTCTGAGTGTATTTGTGCAATTGCGATTTGTAGTTTGTACATGTGTGCGTACGCATTTAATCAATATAATTCATAGCACGTATGTTCAAAATAGGAACATGAAAGCCCACATCATCTCTCTGTCTGTTTTACAGCAAAAGCAACAAATAGTCACACACACACACACACACACACACACACACACACACACTCACACATACACTCATATACATACATGCATACGAATGAATAAAAGAAAAATTATTCATTATTTTATGTTTCAAAAGTTGATTTTGGTAAAAGTTGCTGAAAAATCCGGATAAAATGTGCAATTGAGCACGTAGCAAATGAGGAAAATGCAAGATTTCGCGCCAATTTTCCTGCTTGCAACAAATTCACTTGCCCATATGCCCACAACGACCCAATGAACGAAGTGTGGAAAGCCGACGCATAAATTAATAGCTCGCATAAAATATGAATAGAGAGATACAACTAATTTGGGTTCTTTAATAAAGTAGCGCATTGTAAACAATCTACAGCTGATGCTGTTCGACTTTTAATATGCACCTTTCGATAAACGGACGAGAAACGAATAAAAGGGAGAAACGGAACTATAAAACGGTCATTAATTTCCAAACGAAAACATTCTTTTTAAAGCCCCATGCAGGGTGCATTCCAACAAACAATATGTGCATGCATTCAAGCTCAACAACATTTACGACCGTAGCGAAAATTTCGAATGCGGCAAATTGCATATTCGTGTATTTTTCTCCATCCAAGCCAAATCGAACGGCAACACATTTTCAATTCAATCGAAAATATTACCGAAGCAAATAATTGTAAAATAGACACACTCTCACACACACACACGCCGAGAGACAGACACAATTTCATCTTGAACGCAATTCAATTTTTGTTTTGTCATGCGACGCAATGTAACTCTCTCACGTCTCTGAGAGTGTGTGCGAGTATTCCTAATTCGCTTTTATGTTGTATTGTTGTTGGTTTTTTATTCGACGTTGTCGTCGTCTTATTTGAATTTGCGTGTGCTTGTTACATTTCACTTGCCTATTCGAATAGCAACAGCGCGAATGCCGTTCTCGCCATTGTCGTTCGTTGTGTGCGTTCATGTACAAGGTACACTCTTCGCTTGTGTTGCATATAAACGTGTTTTTTGTTGTTTTTTCTTCTCGCCTGCTGTTGTTGTTCGTGTCCAACTTTTTTTTTCTTTCTTTCTTCCTCTCTCGCGTGTATGGTGTTTTATTTTCATGGCTCTCTGTGCGACTGTGTTCCGAATACACGACAACCGTATTGCAATATATGTACTATATGGTCTCTTGTACACAAGATATATATTAGCTTTTGCAAATGTGCATGTGTGTGTGTGTGCACGACCGTGTACGGCTACATAAAGGAGATTCGATTTGTTTTTTTTTCTTCATTCATTTACAACATGCGCATATTTATTATCATCGTGTTGTTATTTGGTTTCTCACTGCCACTGTCGCACACACTCTCCAAATGTATTGTCTTTGTATGTTCTATTATTATCAACAAAACCATAGTATTTTAACCGAACAAACATTTGGAGTCTCACGTGTATATTTTGACTCTAGATCGCTAATAACTATTTGATGAAGTGGTGGCTATCTATGACCATGATACGCACGATATTTAGATGAATAGCCTTGATTCTTTGGCACACAAATCAAGTGACTTGTTTCTTTAACTACAACTGGAATGAGAGTTTTGGCTTTGGTTCAATCGTTCGATTTTATTTTTGGTCATTTTTCTCTCATCAACATCTCCAAATGACATAACACCGAAGTCTCACTAAAAAAAATATTCTGCAAATTCAAACCCGGCTAAAACCCGTTCGTTTCAATTAGTCATGAAATCGATTTAAAGGCATATCATGACAATTTCACTTCTTATCTCATATCACCATCAACAAAGTTAATTTAAAATCCAATTTGTTTTTTGAAAACTATAGCAATTTACCTCAAAAGGAATGGGTCTGTATCCAATATATTACAGTAATTAACTTTGAATTTCTGCAATGCTCTTTCAATTCGTGATAAAGAATTTGTGGCTTTATGACTGATTCACTATGTGTTGCTATTGTCGACATTTGTTTCACATAATATAAACTTCAAAACTTATACTACTCTTACAAACTACGAAGTTTTGTAAACAAACCTGAATACTGAGAAATTTACTTGGAATGATTTCCAATGGAATGTTTTGACGTTTTTTTGTATTTCTTATGTGAAAAAGGTGTGGTGGATTTCCATATTGGAATTACACATCAAAATAGACATGTGTCTACATCTGTTGAACAAAAATGAAATTATTTACAATATTTTTAAATCAGCTGATCACATTACGTAGATGAATTAATACATTTTCTGCAATGAAAAAATCACCTTTGATTACATTGTAATCATTTATATAATATTTATTTTTAATGAACGAATCGATTGCATTTTCCTCAAAACTCCTTAGGAAATCGAAAGAATTTTCCCAAAAGTCCATCGTATCTAGGGTAAATCCCGACTCCGAAAAGTAAAATTGATGTAAATGTGTAGTTTCGAATTTCCGTAATTCAAGGGATTGATTCCTTTTGCCCCAGAGTGAAAATGTTTGAAAAAAACTTTTGTCAAAACTTATCGAAGAAAAGAGTTTCAATAAACACACAAACGGCTACTACTTGCACATCTATTTATGCATCCAATTCCAAATATCATATGTGCCTGAATTTTTCTGTCATTTTGATTCAAATAATGTATAAAATTTAAGAAAAGCTCGCATATCTTTTGTCAAAGAAAGAAAGTTGATAAAATTCAAAACTGAAAGAATGAAAGAAATGAAAAGATTTTCTTATTTTTTGTGAAATTTTTTATTTTTAACAGAAATATTTTTCAAATTCGACTGAAAAAAAAACTTCTCCATGTAATTCAAGAAAATTGATTTCCTTGATTTGTTTCTTTTTTTTCTTACTTTCATAAAAAGATTCAATCGTGACAAAAGTAAAAGGAAAGATACCCATGAGAAGATAAAAAGCAAAAATGTCGTTTTCCCGATTTTTACGAACGAAACTGTGCATGCCATGCACTGCATGGAATGTTCCAAATTGAGTCAGATTTAATTTCATTTGATGTTTTTTTTATTTCATTGTACAATTCAGAATGAAAAATGAGTTATTTTCACAATTTTAAAATAATTTAAAAGAAAAATATATGTCATGACTATAGAGTCATATAAGTGACCACTTAACTAATTGCTTCTGAAAAAAAGGTAAAAAAACGATTTCCACAACAAAATAGCCCGCAACTGAAACTAATAAAGAAAT